TTATTCTCTCTGAACAGGTGACTATTATTAACAAACAGGTGGTCTGTACTTTCCAATAACTCAAAAATATACCAAGTAGGCAGCTGTTACCTTCTCACCACTGATTACAGCCACTAAAAGGTATTCTCCATGAGGGAGCCACAGGGGCAGGATAAACTTCATATTTCTCAACAGAAAAGTGCATTAGCCAGCTGCGAGATTACTCAAAGCCACATATTATGGAATTTGAATCCCTTAAAGGAGAAAGATGGAGTACAGAAAATAATTTTTAATGGTTTAAAGTTTTCAAATTTGATAAAAACATAAGTCACAGATCTGAATATCTCAAAAAAAAAACCAAGCACAAGAAACATAAAGAAACTGCCACAGGGAATATCAAAGTTAAATTTTTCCAAAACAGTAATAAAAATTCAACCTTAAAATTAGCCAGAGGATAAAAGAGAAACACAAATAAAGAGAATGGCAGATTTCTCAGTGAAAGCCCCCCCCTTTTTTTTTTTTCTTTTTCTTTTTGAGACCGAGTCTTGCTCTGTTGCCCAGGCTGGAGTGCAGTGGCACAATCTCAGCTCACTGCAATCTCCACCTCCCAGGTTCAAGTGATTCCCCTGCCTCAGCCTCCAACATAGCTGGGACTACAGGCACGCACCACCATGCCCGGCTTATTTTTTGTATTTAGTAGAGATGGGGTTTTACCATGTTGGCCAGGATGGTCTCGATCTCTTGACCTCATGATCCACCCGCCTTGGCCTCCCAAAGCCCTGGGATTATATGCATGACACACCGTGCCTGGCCAAACCTCTGAGTTTTTATTTAAAAATCTTTACTGAAAAAAAAATCTGCAGGTATAATTCTATTACTATAAATGTATGTCAGTAAAAAAGTAATATATCTTCATTTTGATTTCATTGGACAAATTTAGACAAAGCTGGGTCTTTAGCCATTTGTTTACCCAATATGATATGTCTGTCTTACCTAAAGTGTGAAAACAGTTTAAATTTAATGTAGTTATTTACATGGTTAGATTTAATCCAGCATTCCATTTTTTTCCTATTGATACTATCTGTTCTTTTGCCCCCCTCCCTTTTTTTTGGCTCTGTTTTCTTTCCAATTAAAAAACATCAGCTGGGCACGGTGGCTCACACCTGTAATCCCAGTACTTTGGGAGGCCAAGGCAGGTGGATCACAAGGTCAGGAGTTTGAGACCAGCCTGGCCAATATGGTGAAACCCCATCACTACTAAAAACACACACACACACACACACACACACACAAAATTAGCCAGGCATGGTGGCAGGTGCCTGTAGTCCCAGCTACTCAGGATGCTGAGGCAGAAGAATCACTTGAAACTGGGAGGCAGAGGTTTCAGTGAACCAAGATTGTGCCAGTGCACTACAGCTTGAGTGACAGAACAAGACTCCATCTCAAAAAAAAAAAAAGAAAAAGAAAAGAAAGTGTTAAGTAATTACATTTATATTGACTTTGGCTTATTAATTACATAATTTTGTCTTATTTTAGAGGTTTCTCTGGGGCTTAAAGATGGAGCTGCAGACCATTATATTTAGCAAACTAACACAGGAACGAAAAACCAGATGCTGCATATTCTTACTTACAAGTGGGAGCTATATGATGAGAACACACAGACACACAGAGGAGAACAACACACACTGGGGCCTTTCAGAGGGTGGAGGGTGGGAGGAGAGAGAGGATTGGGAAACATAACTAATGAGTAATAGGCTTAGTGCTTGTGTGATGAAATAATCTGTACCACAAACCCCATGCCACAAGTTTACCTGTGTAACAAACCTGCATTTGTACCCCTGAACTTAAAAGTTAAAAAATAAGCAAATAAATAAATGAAATGCAGAACAGTGTGTACAGTCAAAAATAATTGAATAAGACAAAAGAAATGGAACAAAATGCATCCCATGTACAAAGATTTAAATAAATTAATATTGTTAAAACGTTCATAGTATTCAAAGTGATCTACAGATTCAATGAAATTCCAATCAAATTTCCAGTGACATCTTTCACAGAAATAGAAAAAAATCATAAGATATGTATGAAACCACAAAAGACTCCAAATAGCCAAAGCAATTTTGAGAAAGAACAAAGCTGGAAACATCACAGTCGCTGTTTTCAAACAATATTACAAAACTATAGTAATTGAATCAGTATGGTGCTGGTATAAAAACAGACACATAGACTAATGAAACAAAAGAGAGAGCCCAAAAAGAAACCCATACATATATGGTCAACTAGTGTTTGACAAGGACACCTAGAATGCACAACGAAGAAAGGAAAGTCTTCAATACACGATGCTGGGGAAACTGGATATCCACATACAAAAGAATAAAGTTGTGTACCCTTGTCTTATATCATGTATAAAAATTAACTGAAAGCACTCTTTAGTTGGATTGACAGTGAGTGCATTAGCCTTTCCTAGTAATTTGTAGAAATCATAGGAAGGTCTTTGAAACTTTCTTAATCCAAGGATAATTTGTATTAAGTGGCATGTGACATTTGGGTGACATATTCATATATTTTTTTAAGTTATTATATTTTACACACTAATTTTGATTTGTTTTTTTAAGTCAAATATACGTTTTTCACTTGTCACTAACTACTCTTGTAGATGATTTTGGTGGAATAGGAGACACTTATGAAGTGATTTATACGATGTAATTGTTTTTGCTGTGGTTATAACTACCCAAAAGAGAAATCTTTATTTTCTGCAGAAAAATAATAAAAGTAAAAATAAATTATAAAGAATATACAGGCCAGGCATGGTGACTCACACCTGTAATCCCAGCACTTTGGGAGGCCGAGGTGGGTGGATCACGAGGTCAAGAGATCAAGACCATCCTGGTCAATATGGTGAAACCCCATCTCTACTAAAAATACAAAAAATTAGCTGGGCATGGTGGCGCGTGCCTGTAATCCCAGCTACTCAGGAGGCTGAGGCAGGAGAATTACCTGAACCCAGGAGGCGGAGGTTGCGGTGAGCCGAGATTTACCATTGCACTTCAGCCTGGGTAACAAGAGTGAAACTCCATCTCAAAAAAAAAAAAAAAAAAAAAAAAAAGAATATACAATACATTCACAAACTAAAACAGAATGAAAACATAAAAATTAACAGATGAGCTGTAAATTGAAAGAGATTAAAAATTACGGAAGCTATTTCATTGACTATTATACTGGTCATACTGGTCATTATTGATGTTTGCTGAAATTTAAAGATTTCAGATTGTTGAACATGTATGTAAATAAATTATCAATAAGAATATATGTATTTATAAATATGATTCAAAAGCTTCACTTCCTCAGAATAGTGTTACTACTCAAGTATCAAAGAGGCCAATTGGGTCATGAACACATGAAGAAGCATCGACACAATGTTTATAATCTAATCTTCATGGGGAAAAACAATGCTCAAAAACCTAGAGATGTGAGCAAGACCAATAAAATTTCTACAATTTGTCAAGATTGTTTAAAATGATAACTCCGATTTCCCTGGTTGGCTATTGCTTTTCTGGAAGCCTGAGGGGGGAAGCTGTCACTGAGGTCCCTGAAGTTACCCGGGCCCAGGAGAGAGACAGCGTCAACTGACAGCTGCAGTACATGCCGCTGAAGACCCTCACTGGGAAGAGGCTGCCGGACCGTGTCTGCCATCCTCATGCTTTGTTTTGTTTTTTTTGAGACAGAGTCTTTCTGTTGCCAGGCGCCAGACTGGAGTGCAGTGGCACAATCTCGGCTCACTGCAACCTCCACCTCCCGGGTTCAAGCAGTTCTCCTGCCTCTGCCTCCCAACTAGCTGGGACTATAGGCGCACGCCACCACACCAGCTAATTTTTTTGTATTTTTAGTAGAGACGGGGTTTCACCATGTTGGCCAGGATGGTCTCGATCTCTTGACCTGGTGATCCGCCCACCTCAGCCTCCCAAAGTGCTGGGATTACAGGCTTGAGCCACCGCACCCGGCCACCATGCTCATGTTTTAAAGGCTTGTCAAGATAAGTCAAAACTCCTTTTCCTTTTTTAAGTAGAAGAATTTTCAGGTACTCAACATCACAAAAAACTAGTTTATTGTGTTTGCCCTATATTAATTTTTTTTTTTTTTTTTTTTTGACACAGAGTCTCACTATGTCGCCTAGGCTGGAGTGAAGTGGTGATCTTGGCTCACTGTAACCTCCACCTCCCGGCTTCAAGCAGTTCTCCTGCTTCAGCCTCCTGAGTAGCTGAGATTACAGGCATGCGCCACTAGGTCTAGCTAATTTTTTATTTTTAGTGGAAATGAGGTTCCACCATTATGGTCAGGCTGGTCTCAAACTCGTGACCTCAGGTGATCCACCCACCTGGGTCTCCTAAAGTGCTGGGATTACAGGTGTAAGCCACCATGCCTCGCCAAGGCTTGAACTTTCCAGTTGGCCATAGCTTTTGCAGTGGGCAGCACTCTTCTAAATTACCTAGTCCCTGACACTGTAGCCCAAAGGTTTAAGCAGAAACCTCAGTGCACTTGATGTTACTGGCCCTCTTTATACAGAGGATAAATATGCTAATTCTCTTCCTTAAGAGATAGCCCTGAAAAGGAAAAGCTCAATGTCATCAAATGCAACCAGCTCAATCCCATTGAGCGCTTCCCCTTTCAAATTCTTAACTCAGTGGGTTTCATCAGGCTTCTATGTAAAAATACCAGAAGACTCCAATTCGTTACCCTGATACAATCCCATGACTTCATTTGCTGGAAGAACTCATAGCACTAAATTGGTAGTGCTGAATGGTATCTAATTTCCATGATCATCTCCTCATCCCCCATCAACGAAACTGAGTTTTCCTAATGCTCACTAAATTGTTTTCAGTGGGACTACAGAAGCCAATCTCTCCCAGCCTCCTTCTGTTTTCTTCTTTTGATGATATCAGATATTTGGCTTAGAGGAAGACAATTAAGAGTTCCCACATTAATTACCAGGAAGAAACAGTCCCAAAAAAGGCCAAACAGCAACATCCACTTGGCTCTCTGTTTATTGTAAGACATTGTAATTTCCCAAGGCTGGTTTAGATAAACACATTTTGTCCAAGTTCAGGCGCCGCTGTTTTCCCCCGTTTCATGAAATTATCAATAGGCAGGCCTTTGATTTTTCTGATCCACGCAGCTTTGCGAGCTTTTTCTGGATCAACCACTCCAGTGGACTCCCTGGCCTGATATTCCTTCATCTTGGCTTCCTGGTACTCTTTCTCCTCCTTCACAGTCAACAGCATGAACTCAGTGTTCACTCTAAGGGGATCAAGGGCTGTGTACATGCAAGGCCGTTCTTTCTTAAGAGACAGGGTGGCTGTGCCCATTTGTGGAGCTAGCATGCGGTTTGGTTTAATGACCTGCATACTGGTCAGGGGACCCGTACTGCCCACTGCCCTTTCAATTGAACTGGTCACTTGGTCTCCACCCTTTAAGCTGCCAGAGAACCTGGAGCAGATAATCATGGGCTGGGGTATGGTGGACTGGACTCTGGGACTGTGCAAAGAGTTCTTCAAGTTGGGCTGCAGTTTCCGGATTTCAAGGGGAATACTGGTTTGTTTCACGTCTATGGGAGGATTGCTGAATCTCAACCGATCAACTGCATATTGGATTGATTTTCCTTTGAAATTCAAGACCTTCCTTGGGTATGTAATTGAAGCTTCCCAGGCGTCGGTGATTTCTGTTTTGGGCCTACAGGGATAGGCAAATTCCCCAGAATTATGGGCTTGCTGCAGGGTGCTGACAGTCAGGAGGAATCGATCAGGTGACATAGGGATTTTCCAAGACTTTCTCTTTGGGTGATTGATCAATTCCTCTGGAGTTTCCAATTGTTCTTGTTTTTGTCCTTTTTCTGCATCATCCGCTTTTTCAAAAAAAGAAAATAAAAACAAATTGGCATTCTGTGAAAAATATTGAGTTGTATGCATTTAGTACTCGGGCATTCTAACTTTGAAGCACATTGAGGTCTTTGTTGCCCAATAGGTATGCCATTGTACAGGCAGGCATCCTCAGTGGTATTAAAAGTGAGGATACTAGGCTGGGTGTGGTGACTCGCGCCTATAATCTCAGCGCTTTAGGAGGCTGAGGCGGGTGAATCACCTGAGGTCAGGAGTTCAAGACCAGTGTGGCCAACATGGCAAAACTCCATCTCTACCAAAAAGGCAAAATTTAACCAGGCATGATGGCAGGTGCCTGTAATCCCAGCTACTCAGGAGGCTGAGGCAGGAGAATTGCTTGAACCCAGGAGGCAGATGTTGCAGTGAGCCAAGATCCAGCCTCTGAACTCTAGCCTTGGTGGCTGAACAAGACTCCATCAAAAATCAAAAAAAATGAAGATACTAGAAATGATTTAATAAAACAACGTTTTGTTGTTGTTATTTTTGTTTTGTTTTTGAGACGGAGTTTTGCTCTTGTTGCCCAGCCTGGAATGCAATAGTGCCATCTTGACTCACCGCCACCTCCACCTCCCAAATTCAAGTGATTCTCCTGCCTCAGCTTCCCGAGTAGCTGGGATTACAGGCATGCGCCACTATGCCTGGCTAATTTTGTATTTTTAGTGGAGGTGGGGTTTCTTCACGTTGGTCAGGCTGGTCTCGGACTTCCAACCTCAGGTGATCCACCCGCCTCGGCCTCCCAAAGCACCTGGCCTAAAACAAGTTTTTAATATAATGCTAGTATTGAATAAAGTGTATACTAGCCTCTAGGTGTGCATATTTTGAAGGCAACAGGTGTGATTTCAATGCTCCACATATTTTTGAAAATGTGAAGCTGGGAATGACCTTCACGTCTCATTTAGGATTCACACAAAGCAGATCTTATAAGTTTATAGTAGCATACCTATATTTTTGAACAGTTATTATATCACAAAATTTGAACTTTATCTTATTAATCAAATTTGATTCCAAATAATCTTGAATGTTGCTCAAAATAAAACCTGTCTTCAAATAACATGTCACCCAGGGTAATGCAAATAATCACAACATGACTAAAAGGCAGTTCCTAAAGAGGAGTTCCCAAAATGAACGATTAGCAACAGGTCCAAGAGCTACTGACCTGAATCAGAGACTCCTGCCATGTTGGTTTTGATCAAGACCTCAGAAGTATGAAGACCATTAAGTGAACAAAGATATCTTCACAGGCGAGCAAGTCTATTATGCCTTTCCCATTTGAGCTTCTCAATCCCTACAATACCTCACAGAAACACCAAAAGCATTGTCCTCAGGAATAACTGAGTCATGAAAAGTAGAAGTCCTTTGCCTAGTCTAACCCAACAAGCAAAATCTGTATCCCAGGCTATACCAGAAAACAAAATGTAACAGTGTGTGAAGCATATCATTTCCCTTGGCCAAACAGATTATATCCCAAGATGTTTGTGCATAGACACTAGGAGCGAAGGAAACATCACATTTTCCCAAATCTTTACGTTCTTAATTAAACAATATTGTATTAGAACATGTATCACTGAGTGGCTGGGCTCAGTAGCTCATGCCTGTAATCCCAGCACTGTGGGAGGCCAAGGCAGGCAGATCACCTGATGTAAGGAGTTCAAGACCAACCTGGCCAACATGCTGAAACCCCATCTCTACTGAAAACACAAAAATTAGCTGAGCATGGTGGTGGGCACCTGTAGTCCCAGCTACTCGGGTGGCTGAGGCAGGAGAATCACTTGAACTCTCGGGTCTAAAAACAATACATTCTGCGTAGATCATTTTTCTGTTTGTCTCTGTCTTAAATAAACAGTTTTATTTATTTATTTGTTTGTTTGTTTATTTATTTGAGACAGAGTCTCACTCTGTCGCCCAGGCTGGAGTGCAATGGCGTGCTCTCGGCTCACCGCAACCTCTGCCTCCCAGGCTCAAGCGATTCTCCTGCCTCAGCCTCCCCAGTAGCTGGGATTACAGGCCTGTGGTACCACATCCGGCTAATTTTTGTATTTTTTTAGTAGAGATGGGGTTTCACCATGTTGGTCAGGCTGGTCATGAACTCCTGACCTCGTGATCTGCCCGCCTCGGCCTCCCAAAGTGCTGGGATTACAGGCTTGAGCCACCGCGCCCAGCCTGAAACAGTTTTATGATATACGTTTTGAATTTGGGGGATGGGGTATTGGTTGCTTTTTGTTTCGGTGGCAAGTATTAAGGCTAGTCTTATCTACTGTGCAAAGATTCTTATAAGTTTGAAAATCTAGCTTCTGCAAATCAGAAAGTTCCCTTTAACCAGCTGATAAATTGTTTGGTGGATCAGGGAGAATGGCTCCTACCTTCCTGGAGGGTTAGGATTTATATCCTCAGGAAACCGCTGGCCAAAATATTCCACAAAGAAACCAGTCCTCGCCTGTTCCCATCACCCCCCCACCAAACCCCAAGCTACGCTGTGGCTTATCACTGAACTTGCTGGTATTTCATTTTTTTTTACCTGAAGATAACTTGGCTGGCTTCAGGAGTACTCGGGACTTGGGGGGTTTCTTTGGTAGGAACTCCTGGATCACAGTTTGTTTACTGGATACAGACTCTCTCGGGCTGTGAACCTGAGTATTAGACTTGAAGAGAATTTCCATGAGGATATTTTCTTCTTTTTCCTCCTCTTTCTCCTTATTCTTCTCTTGTTTCATTTTTTCCATGGCATACTGCCACTTTATGTGCTCAAACTGGAACATGAGAACATTGCTCTCTGTGTTGACCACCATCCTGGAACCAAAACAGGGATGCCCGTAAACGGAGCGTGGAGGCCACTGAGAGATGCACTGCAGTTACTGTCCCACCTGATCTTTAGACCAAGGGAACAGTGTCGGGGTAACGACCCAACAGACTAGTGGTGTAGGGGGCTGGAGGGTGGATAGCGGTAAAAGGCATCAGACCATGTAGCAGGATTCGTTAGCTTTGTCACTTTTCTTTAAAAAATAAACATGATCGGGGCACATATGTTCTGATTATTTCACTTCTCAAGTTAAAATGCCTATTTTTTTTTTTTTTTTTTTTTTTTGAGACAGAGTTTCGCTCTTTACCCAAGCTGGAGTGCAATGGCGCAATCTCAGCTCACGGCCTCCGCCTCCTGCGTTCAGGCAATTCTCCTGCCTCAGCCTCCTGAGTAGCTGGGATTGCAGGCCCAGCTAATTTATTTATTTATTTGTTTGTTTGTTTGTTTGTTTATTTATTTATTTATTTTGATACGGAGTTTCACTCTTGTTACCCAGGCTGGAGTGCAATGGCACGATCTCGGCTCACCACAACCTCTGCCTCCTGGGTCCAGGCAATTCTCCTGCCTCAGCCTCCTGAGTAGCTGGGATTACAGGCACACGCCACCATGCCCAGCTAATTTTTTGTATTTTTTAGTAGAGATGGGGTTTCACCATGTTGAATAGGATGGTCTAGATCTCTTGACCTCGTGATCCACCCACCTCAGCCTCCCAAAGTGCTGGGATTACAGGCGTGAGCCACCGCAGCCGGCCAAAATGCCTTTTTTAAAAAATTTAGTTTGAGACAGTCTCATTCTGTCACCCAGGCTGGGGTGCAGTGGCATTATCTCGGCTCACTGCAGCCTCCACCTCCCGGGTTCAAGCAATTCTCATGGCTCAGCCTCCTGAGTAGCAGGGACTACAGGCATGGGACACCATGCCGGGCTCATTTGGTGCTTTTAGTAGAGACAGGGTTTCCCCATATTGCCCAGGCTGGTCTTGAACTCCAGAACTCAACGACCCACCTGCCTTGATCTCCCAAAGTGCTGGGATTATGAGCCACCATGCCCGGCCTCAAGTTAAAATGCTTTTAAATGAATTTCTGTTCTTGGAGTGACTGCCTCTGCACACAGATGTCTTGAAATTCACTGGATTTTTTCGCTGTTTTGTTTTGCACAGCTTCCAAACCCAATATTACTATTGCTGCTGCTGGGAATGAGGGAAGCTCTCTAGTGGGGAGCCCTCATCTCCTTCTCAGATCCTCCACACAGACACCACACACTCCACGCTGTCACTCCAGGCAGGATCTCTGCACATACCCTAGATGTAGACAGAGCATCTGTACTTTATAAACAGAGGTGATTTCTAACTTCTCTAATCCCCACTTTTATGCTCCATAGACAAAGAGCTCCAGAACTTGCCCTCCCTATCCCTTTCCTGTCCCCCTCAACACTGCCTCCCCGACCCCCCAGTTTCACAAGCAAGCGGCTTTCCCCTGTCTGTGCTCTTCCATTAACTATTAGCAAAAAATGAAAATACACTGCGCAGGATCCTTTCTGCTCCAAAAGGCTGCAACATTAAGACCTTAATCAACAGCATAAACTCGAGAACAGTAACTTGTTTTGGCTGGAACTGCTGGAATGGAATGGGGGGAGTCATTCCAATAAGAAATCTCTTTTAGACTTATTTTTACTCAAGCTGAAAGGAAATCACCTTTCTTTGGATGCTGTGAATAAAATATGGTCTGAGCTTTTTCTTTCTTTTTTTTTTTAGCAGCATGACTGAAAGGTGTTGATTAATTGAGCCTTGTTACCAGGCTGCCCTCTTTATGATGGTAAATAGTACCAATGAAGTTTCACTAAAATGAAGGCAATATGGTTCAGAGAGATTAAGTGATGCCTCAAGTGAGCCTGAAGTAGAATTTATGGGTTAGTTCTATTTGGTCATTTTCATATAACGGCACCTGAATCTATGCATATAAAAAGCTCAGTACTGTATACAATGCAGACAGTTCAGGTACTAGTTTTGTAAGCTCACCAGCTCAGCTCTCCTTCACTGCACCCCCTGCTGCTGCCAGCCCCCACACTCTTATTTGTCCCTTTGCATTAGAAGTGAGGCATCAGAGATAGCTGATAGAACTCTCAGGCAGCCAAAGGCATGATCAAAAAGCAGGCAGGGGCTGCACGTTGATCGAACTGTGGTCCTTACAGAAGCGTTACGTTGCACCCACTGCAATTCCCACAAACACCCAGGATGAATTAAGAGTCAAAATGAACCATGATTGCTTCCTGATTACTAAGTTTCGTGCAAAGTCCTATTAGTCCCCACAAGACTGTCGCTCTGCCCAGCCAAAATTGTAGAGAGGCACTGCCTACTCTCTCCTGTTGACAGCAAATCCAGGGCTAGTATCCCAGGGGAGGAAAAAATCAAGCAGAATCACTCACAGTTCTGACCTCCACACCTACCACCCACCTGTTGCCCCGAATAAAGAAGGACAGCACAGGATCGCCTCTGCCATTGGCTTTTATCACCTTCATACAGTTCCCATTGAGGAAATTGTAAATTCGGATCTTGCCATCTGCACAGGCGCTGATGACCCGGAGGAAGAGAAGGAACACGTGGAGCACCTCCCTGGAAAGGAACAGAGCAGCAGGCAGTACCCTTCCTCTCATAAAGGGCCTGGGTTTGTTTGGAGTTTGGGGTATTTTGTGTGTGATTGGGAGGCAGTGGCCGTAACTGGCCACGAAATGGGGTTTACCATCATTTCATAATTGTGGAAGTAAATCATGAACCACTTCTCAAGACATACCTCTTCCCATTCTGGAGCTACTTTCCCTGCAATTAGGTCACAGGGCCACAGATGACAAAACAAAGGAGATAATGTCACAATCTTTTTTTTAATCTGACATATAGATGATCATGTTTGTCTCTTGCAATTTGATTCCTAGCTTTTAGTTATACATAGTCATGCTGAGAATTATTTGATATTATAATTCCTTTTAAAATAATATTATCATATTAAAAAGAAAACAGTAAGGAAAATGATTATCTTTATCTAAAGCAAATACTTTATATTTGAGCAGTTTCCTTTTTATCTTAAATTGGTGGCTTTTATTCTTTCAGTGAAATATCCTTAGGGAAAATTATATCCAGGGATGAGATTGAGGAGTGTCCTTTTTTTTTTGAGACAGAGTCTCGCACTGTCGCTAGGCTGGAGTTCAGTGGCATGATCTCAGCTCACTGTAACTTCCACCTCCTGGGTTCAAGAGATTCCCCTGCCTCAGCCACCCAAGTAGCTGGCACTACAGACGCACCACCACACCTGGCTAATATTTTGTATTTTTATTAGAGATGAGGTTTCACCATGTTGACCAGGATGGTGTTGATCTCCTGACCTCATGATCCACCTGCCTTGGCCTCTGAAAGTGCTGAGATTACAGGTGTGAGCCACCGCGCCCGGCCTCAGGAGTGTCTTTTTTGACGGCCAGCAGGAAAAGGGAGGAGGGACCAGGAGAAGATCTAGACAGATTCCTGCAACAAAATCCTTTTTAGAAACTTTCTGGGTTCATATTAGATCCCAGATATGTGAAGTACTCAATTCTAAGAAGTAAAAGGACCCCATTCCTGTTAATGACACAGAAAAGTTGAATTTGATACCACCAATTTGTTAGATTCTATATGCAAAGCAAGTCTATAAATCCCCGCCAGCTCTACCCATCCAAGTCCATTCATGGCCTAGTTCATGTGCTACCTTCTCCAAAAAGCCATTTCTTATCTTAATTTCTTCCCACATCTCCCCCCATCACACATGTATACAAACTTCAAGTATACTTTCAGATTCTCTTGGGCACAACTCATATTATTGCATGCTTATCACCTACCATAGCACTCAGCCCATAGTAAGTCCTTAATTTATATTTGTTGAAAAAGTGACTATCTGATCATGTTTTCAGAGTATGCTCATTGCTACAGTGTGTTAAAAACATGACATCCACCCTATGCCATTTGGCCTCAGACTTGGTCAGACCCCAGGATCAGATGAAGACTTTTCAAGGCCCCAACCATTAACCAAACAAAAATAGCAAAGACCTCAAAAGGCAGGAGCATGATCAGCATACCCAAAGAACAGCAAGGAGGCAAATATGACTTGAACCCCTGATTATGTGATAGGGAGAGAGAGATAAAACTCATCTATAAAATAAGTATTAACAAGTCTAACAAGGCCAAGCATAGCAGCTTATGCCTAAAATCCCAGCACTTTGGGAGACAAAGGTGGGAAGATTGTTTGAGGCCATAAGTTCGAGACCTTGGCTCTAAGAAACATTTAAAAATTAGCCAGGCGTGGTGGTGTACTTCATAAGTAGCTTCACAAGTCCAGCTACTTGTGAAGCAGAGGTGATAGGCTAACCTGAGTGTAAGAGTTTGAAATTATGAGGTTACAGTCAGTCATGACTGCATCACTGCACTCCAGCCTGGGCAAGAGAGTGAGACCCTGTCTCAAAAAAGAAGAAAGAAAGAAAGAAAAGAAAAAAAAGAAAGAAAGAAAGAAAGAAGGGAGGGAGGGAGGGAGGGAGGGAGGGAGGGAGGGAGGGAGGGAGGGAGGGAGGGAAAGAAAGAGAGAAAAAGAAAAAGAAAGAAGAAAGAAAGAGAGAAAGAAAGTAGAAAGGAAGGAAGAGAAAGAAAGAGAGAAAGAAAGAAGAAAGGAAGGAAGGAAGAGAAAGAAAAAGAAAGAAAGAAAGAAAGAAAGAAAGAAAGAAAGAAAGAAAGAAAGAAAGAAAGAAAGAAAGAAAGAGAAAAAGTCCAACAAATTTTGAGATTTTTTTCAAGGTGGAAATATAACTTTTTTGGTGTCCTAAGCACATCAGTCTGCCAATCATGTAATCCAGCGCTGGGAGAGATGCCATGTGATAGAAAAGTTGGCCTCTTTGTATATCTCTTTTGATCTTGCTGAACTGAGCCCAATACTTTTCTTCCCAGAGATCCCCATGATACTTAGTAGTTCAGTCTACATCAGTGTAGCCTAGTAATTAAAAGCACAATTGGGATCAAAAAACCTGGGATGAAAACCTGACTCCACCACTTATGGGCTGTATAACCTTCAGGAAGTAGTTTAATATCTCAGTCTTCAGTTTCCTTTTCTATGAGACAGAGATAGTAAAAATTTCTGCCTCAGAGGATTGCTGTTAGCACTAAATTAATTAAGGCATTTTAAAAGCTTAGTTCAATACCTGACACAATAGTGGTTACTATGATCTTACAATAGCCCAATCTCCTTTCAGCTTTTACCTCTGCCCTAGAAATAAATTGTTTGTCTCCTTTTTTTTCTCCTTCTTCATCAAAGTCGCTGTAGACTGATGTTAATGAAAACGGTGGGGTAAGAAATTCCAAAATTCTGCCCTTCCATAAAAGCAAAGAGAATCTAGCAAAAACTTCCAGAATCAATTTATCCAGAACTCTGGAAAATAATCAAAGGTTTGCAGCAACCCCGGGAGAACTTAGACAAGTAAAATGACGTGGTGTCACTAAGAATAGTGAGACTTCAAGGTCAGGAGTTCAAGACCAGCCTGACCAACATGGTGAAACCTTGTCTCTACTAAAAATACATGCACCTGTTATCCCAGCTACTCAGGAGGCTGAAGCAGGAGAATCACTTGAACTCGGGAGGTGGAAGTTACAGTGAGCCGAGATTTCACCACTTCACACCTCCCAGCCCAGTGGTAGCCACCAAAGTAACAGCCCCCATTTCTGGTAGTGGAGGGAACAGAATGGACCTCATTCTGACAAGTACAACAACTGAAGAAAGAAAAAGAAAGCTCACTAGAGGGGGCTCTAGTGAAGAGGAGGCTCAACAGCATATTCAAGCAAGCAGAAGAAGCAAAGTACTTGAAATAAGGTCACTTGAAGTTATGCAGTGCGTGGAACAGAAAGAAAATAAAGAGTAAAGGAAATCAATAGAGCCCCAGAAATCTGTATGGCATCATCAAACAAATCAATATATGCATAACAGGAAATCCAGGAGGAAAGTAGAGAAAGAGGCAGAAAGAATATTTGAACAAATTATTGCTGAAAGCTTCCCAAATATGATGAAAGACATTAACTTACAGGTCCAAGAAGCTCAACAAATTCTAACTGGGACAAACTACAAAAGCTCCATACTTAGATGTATCATAATCAAATTTTCAAAAACCAAGGGTGAAAAGAATAATGAAAACAGCATGAGAAAAGCAGGCCCTCATGTAAAGAGGATCCTCAAGTAAGATTAATTAATGATTTATCTTTAGAAAAGTGTCTTAGTCTATCGTGTGCTGTTATAACAAAATACCATACAATGGGTAATTAATAATCAACAGAAGCTTATTGACTCATGGGGTTTAGAGGCTGGGAAGTCCAAAACCAAAGGACTGGCATCTTGAGTGAACCTTCTTGCTGTGCCCGTCCATGGTAGAAAGGCAAAAAGAGGGCAAAAGAGAGAGCAAGAGAGAACTGAAATCATCCTTTTATAAGGAACCCATTCCCACAGTAATGAACCTATTCCAACTATAGCATTAGTCCATTCCTGAAAGAAGACCCCTCATGACCTAAATACCTCCCATTAGGCTCCACCTCCGAACACTGTTGCATTAGGGATTACGTTTCTAACACATACTTCTTGGGGACACATTCAAATTATAGAAAAGAAAAATGTCAAGAAAATTAAAATGACACACTAAAAATATACAATTAATGCAAAAGCAGGCAGCAATGGAAGAATTCAGGAACAAAAAGTACATAAGACTATAAAAAACAAACAGCATAATGACAGAAGTAAGTCCTCTCTTTTTTTCTTTAGAGTCAGGGTCTCACTCCATCACCCAGGCTCGAGTGCAGTGGTGAGATCATAGCTTACCACGGCCTTGAGTTCCTGGGTTCAAGTGATCTTCCCACCTCAGCCTCCTCCTGAGAGGGTGGGACTGAAAAGGACAACTAGTTAGAAGATCCACAAGGAAATAGAAGACGTGAATATCATAAACTATCTAGAGCTAACATACATATACAGAACACTCCACCAAACAGCAGCAGAGGGCACATTTATCTCAAGGGCACATGGAACATTTTCCAGGATAGACCATATGTCAGGCTACAAAACAAATCTTAATATATTTTGAAAGACTGAAATCATACAAAGTATGCTCTCCAACTACAATGAAATTAAATTAGAAATGAATAATGAAGGACATTTAGAAAATTCATAATTATGTGGAAATTAAACAACCTTCTCTCAAATAACCACTGAGTCAAAGAATAAATCAGAAAGGAAACAAGAAAATAATTTGAGATGAATGAAAATGAAAACACAACGTATCAAAACTTATGGAATGAAGCTAAGCAGTTCTCAGAGGGAAATTTATAGCAGTAGATGGCAATCTTTCTCCAATAGAAACTAGAACACGATCAAACAAAAATCAAGAGGCAGAAAGGAAATAATAAAAATTTTGCAGAAATTAAAAATAGACAATTTAAAAATACAGAAAATCAAATTAAACCAAAAGTTTTTTTTTTAATTCATTCATATATTTATTTATTTTGAGACAGAGTTCTGTTCTTGTCGCCCAGGCTGGAGTACAATGGCGTGATCTCAGCTCACTGCAACCTCCACCTTCCAGGTTCAAACTATTCTCTGGCCTCAGCCTCCCAAGTAGCTAGGATTAAAGGCGCCCGACACCACGCCCAGCTAATTTTTGTATTTTTCAGTAGAGATGGGGTTTTGCCATATTGGCCAGGCTGGTCTCAAATTCCTGACCTCAGGTGATCCACCCGCCTCGGCCTCCCAAAGTGCTGGGATTACAGGCGTGAGCCACCATGCCCGGCTGGTTCTCTTTTTAAAAAGTCAACAAACTGTTAGCTAGATAATTGACAAATCTTTGACCAAGAAACTAAGAGAGAGGACTCAAATTACTAATACAAAGAATGAAGCAGGGGACATTTTTACTAACTGATGAAAATGTTGTGTAACTAGATAGTGGCAATGATTGCACATTATAAATATACTTTAAAAATTTAATTGTACACTAAAGTGGTGAATTTTATGTCATGTGAATCATATCCTAATTAAAAATTGCAAAGAAAACCAAATTACAATGTGAGCTATGGAAAATACATTGAGGAATAAAGTGTTTTGTTTGTTTTGTTTTGTTTTTATGAAACAAGGTCTCACTTTGTCGCCTAGTGCAGTGGCACAATCCCAACTTCCTGCAGCCTCAACCTCCCCAGTCTCAGGTGATCTTCCCACTTCGGCCTCAAGAGTAGCTGGGACTACAGATATGTGCCACCATGCCAGGCTAATTTTTGTAGAGACAGGGTTTTGCCATGTGGTCAGGCTTAAATTTAAAAAAAAAAAAAAAAAAAAAAAAAAAAAAAGACACTTTACAGGCCAGGAGCGGTGACTCATGCCTGTAATCCCAGAACTTTGAGAGGCCAAGACAGGTGGATAACTTGAGGTCAGGAGTTCGAGACCAGGCTGGCCAACATGGTGAAACACCATCTCTACTAAAAATACAAAAATTAAGCACTTTGGGAGGCCAAGGCGGGTGGATCACGAGGTCAAGAGATCGAGACCATCCTGGTCAACATGCTGAAACCCCGTCTCTACTAAAAATACAAAAAATTAGCTGGGCATGGTGGCACGTGCCTGTAATCCCAGCTACTCAGGAGGCTGAGGCAGGAGAATTGCCTGAACCCAGGAGGCAGAGGTTGTGGTGAGTGGAGATCGTGCCATTGCACTCCAGCCTGGGTAACAAGAGCGAAACTCCGTCTCAAAAAAAAAAATACAAAAATTAGCCAGGTGTGGTCGCACACACCTGTAGTCCCAGCTACTCAGGAGGCTGAGGCAGGAGACTTGCTGGAACCCAAGAATCACAGGTTTACAGTGAGCCAAGATCATGTCACTGTCCTCTAGCCTGGGCAAGAAAGCAAGACTCTTTCAAGAATAAAAACAAAAGACACTACATAGTACGGAAGCTTTTCCAAAGATCATCGTTCCTGTTGGTCCTACTCTGCATCCTCAGATTTCCTCCCTCCTATCCATTCTGTCCCATGCTACATTCAAAAATCTTAATTTTAGTTGAAAAAGTATTAGACCAGGATTGGAAAGGAGACCACTTTCTCTAGCCCCTGTTCCATCAAAGGACAGACAGCAACTATATCTGCTTTCTCACCTATGTCACATTCAAAATATAAGTTATCAGTCCAATCATTAGAACTTTCCAGAAAGGCAAGCTGTCAAATTATTCCTTGTTACCAATCAGTTAGATATATTTATTGAGGACAGCGCTCCTACAGACAAGTAAGACAAGTGGAGAGAAGACCTACAAATGAGAGATTGACCACGTCTTCCAAATATCTCTGGTTTTTCTGTTACTGTGTAGGATAGCAAGAGCTAATACGAATGTTATGTTAGGGACTGTCATTCAATAGCAGTGAGAGTTGTCTGAGAACGTCTCATAGCAGAGGCAGAGGGAGAGGCTAATGATATGAAGGAACAGTGACCAAATTGCTGGGCTTCCTAGGAACAAATTATTTTCTGCTAACTAACTAATCCTACTAAATCCTGCTGAGAAGGTTTTAAAACACATAGATGACATTATCAGGTGATTTCATAAAGTTTGACTTCCTCCCTGAGATCAAGGCTTGATAATCCAGAAGGTTTACTAAGCTGGTCGGACAGAGTTAAAATCTTGTGGTGGGGACTAAGAGGGCTTTTCACAAAGCTTAGCAATCAGGAAGCAATCATGGTTCATTCTGACTCTTAATATCTAAGGGTAAGCTAAGTCACTGAACACAGGGCCCTCCTGGCACCTACCTGTCAATAATGCAGTCATATACCATAGACCGAGACCACACAGATACACCCACACCTCCTTACACGTCCCACAAAACTAATGTGCCCGCCTCAAAGTTTCCTATAAGGGTATAAGAAAATCTAGGACTATACTAAAAATAATGAGCTGGGCACAGTGCTCATGCCTGTAATCCCAGCACTTTGGGAGGTAGAGGCAGGCAAATTGCTTTGAGCTCAGGAGTTCAAGACCATCCTGGCCAACATGGCAAAACCCCACCTCTACTAAAATAAAAGAATTAGCTGGGCATGGTGGTGTGTGCCTGTAATTCCAGCTACTCAGAATTACTTGAACTTGGGAGGCAGAGGTTGCCGTGATCCGAGATTGACCACTGCACTTCCAGCCTGGGTGACAGAGCGAGACTTCATCTTAAAAAAAAAAAAAAAGAAAAAGATCAATTTACTAAAAATAAGATTCCCCTGATAGATCCCCTAGAAAGCCCACTTATTTGTTTAATCAATTAAGGCAGCATTTAGTTTCCTGGAAATTTTTATAATGCATGCAGGGGCAGAAGCTGTATTCATGTAGTATAAGAGTAGCATAGCAGCATACAAAACTCATGACCATGGCAGAATCACTAATTGACCACAATACTCTTTCCAAACAAGCCTGGACGCAGTCTCAGAATGCTTATCAATTGGCTCCAAGCAGCCACACCACTAAATTTGAATTGGCATGTAAATGAAAATATAACTTGTAGTTATAAGCTCTCAGCTCCTTTTAAGTCTTTGGATCATTTTTAAGCTTTTGTGAGCACAAGCATCCTGAGATAAAGACCAATTCCTAGAATTTTAAGTTTACTAGAATTGGCATTATTTGGGATTGTTCTGCCAGTATTCATATGTCTGATAGGTATCTGGTATGCATTCATCATGAACTTATCGTGTTGTAAATATACAATTTTAATAACTTCTCAAAACCCCCAGCTCCTATAGTAACTGCTCAAGAGAAATGAGATAGTGTGGAAGAGGTTAATAGCCAGACAGAGAAGATGGTGGGGAAAAATGGGTTCCACGTGGAAGAGGGGGGAAGCAGACGGGGCAAGATACAGAGAACACGACATCCGCAGGGAGCAGAAGATCTGCCAATAATTGCAATCTAGGCTGTAACAGGGAAGGGAAGGACACCAGGTTTATTGCTCCAGGCTTCACAGGCACCTACCTGGGATGCTTGAAGGCCATCAGGCAGCGCTCATACTTCCCCGCCATGCTCCAGGCCATGACCAGGCCATCAGCACTTCCCGAGAGGAGATGCCACTGGTCAAAGAACAGACACTTCACAGCTCCCTCATGGCCACTGAGAGTCTGCAAGAAAAGATGCCACTGTCCTCAACTCAGACTGTGACTCCTCCAAGAACCAAAGCTGAGGCTTCTGCAGACAAATCCCAAAGTCAAACCCCACCAATCTGTGACTGCCATTCATTCACCCAGTAGGTACCTGAGCTAATCTTGCTTTTGCTCCAAGAAGGCCAATGGAGTCCATTCCATGCCTTCCTCTCTTTAGAGCTCTCTTTCTCTCTGGTTAAGGAGGAATAGGATCAGGGAGGGGCCTTGCTCCTGGTGGGTCTGAGTTTGGGGCAGCCACTACCTTCTTGGAGCACCAGAGAGGGTCAGAAATCACTGTCCTTTGCTGTCAGAAGGATGAAGGTAAGGGTGCCATCCCAGCTCCTTGCCAGAACCCAGAGTGCACATGAGCCATCCCTGTGCCAGCAATTGATGGATTGGCCATAGTGACAAGATTGGTGGGAAAATTCCACAGGCCAAGCCAGCCACTTTTCACTATGATCCTGTGTTCCTGGTAAAAAACATATCAACACCACCCGCTAAGGCCAGAGGTTCAGATACGGCAAGAATATGTGTTGTGACCATCCAGTCACTTTCAAGACCATCAGTGTTCTCTCTTCATTAGAGAGCAAGGAGAAAAAAACTTATCTGTTCATCCCCCAGTGTTTTCTTCTTAGGGAAAAAGAAAATGTTTTGTTCATCCCCTCACCCCACGCCAGAATCAGAGTGCAATGCTCTTGAGGAGAAAAAAGCACTTCACCTGCACTGCTGTTAGAAGACCCTGAGCCCATATCTCATGCTAAGTTAGAATGCAGCCTTCCTCCACCAACCCCATGATACTGTGGGTTATGATGTGGGTGGTGGAGCCCCTACCCTCCACGGACTCTGAATGCTACACTTTGGGGCCCTCCCCTTTAGAGCTTCAGGACCTTCCTTCTTAATGGCTATCCTCAGTTGCTCTAGGATGACCTGGGGAGCTAGGTAAGGGGAGCCCACCCACCTCCTCCCCTGTGCCCTTTCCCCCAAGGCAGCCCACTGTCCCCTCACCTTTACCAACTGGCCCATAGCAATGTGCCACACTTTTACCACCCCTCGCTCACACGCGCTCACAATGTAGGTGTCGTTGATCCTGGTGGCCAAGATGGGGTCTTTGTGTCTAAACGTCTTCAGGCACTTCCCTGTGTCTACATCCCACACTGAACAGGAGGGAGAAAGAGGAAGAAATGGGAGGGGGGAAACGGAAGAAAAGGAAAGGTTACACTGGAGTACTGCTTCCCATCACAGAACTGAAGACTCACCGAGCCCAACAAATCAGACCCTAGAAGGCCTTCCCCTGGCCTAGCACTTCCACAGGGCATGCTCACCAACAGCTCATGTACCCACAGCACAGAGCACCCTGACTACAGGTGGCTGAGGAGCCCACAGTACAGAAGACCTTGGCTATGGCCCTGGAACTTAGCCTTGAGGCCCAAGTGCTAGACAGCTCATCTCCAATCAGCTGAAAATATACTTGAAACATGCTTGCTATTGAGTAGATTTCATGGCATACATGAAAATCACGGCATACAGTTTGAGTAGGAGCAGGTAAAGTAATTAAAAAAAAAAAAAAGAAAATCATGGCATATGTTTAGTGTTGTCATGTTTTGCAGATGCTGTCTTCCTGACTCACACCTTCTGTCCCCAAAAGAAAAGAAAGTTGTCTGCTCTCACATTTTTAAATACTTCTGAATCTGACTTTTGGGTTTTATGGAGAAATGGTCATGGCTAGGGGTGGGCCTACTGCTGCTTCAACACAGACTGTGTTAAAACAACTGCCTGGCATCTTCTAGGTGCTGAGTGGGGAAAAGAGTGGGTAGGTGGGTAGGAGAACAGGGCTAAAAGGAAGAAGTCGAAAGTGAGCTCTATGAATTCAGGAATGAAATCATTAAAGTCTCCTTCAAAGGTGCTCCCCTAAAGCACCTTCTTCCTCAGGCAACAGAACAAGTGGCCTGAGACAAAATATAATAATAACCAGAGTTGACACTTACATAGCACTAACAGTAAGCCAGCGACCACTCAACGTGCATGACATGCATTAGCTCATCTTCACAAGACAGGTACTATTACTATTCCCCACTACATAGATGAGGAAACTGAGGCAGAGAGAAGTTAGATTGCCTGCTCAAGTCATGCAGGTGGTGAGTGGCAGAGCCAGGATTTGAACCTAGGGAGTCTGGATCCAGAGGCCATGTGCTTAACCATTCTGCTAGGTTAACCCTAGCTATGTGAGTATGCATGCTTTCTTTCACTTATATTTTAGGTATATATCTTGGCCCACTTATAAAAGTACCAGTGGGGCTCTCAGGAGGATTAAATGATATATGTTAAGCATCTGTCACATATTAGTACTCAGTAAGTGGCAGCTATTGTTGTTCATGTATTTATTATATTCCCCACTATATATTCATGTATCTGCTTCCATTAGGAGACTATGAGCCCTTTGAAGAAATGAAAAGTTGTATCTAAAGGGCTACATCCTATTCTTTATTTCTTCTCAGCATCTAGCTCAGTGTGTAGCTTATTGTAGGCATTCTACAAATAGTTGTTGAATGGATGGATTAACAGATAGGTGGAAGGAAAAAAGGATGGATGGATGGATGATAAAGAATAAATGACTGCCTACAGAAATGAGCAAAACAAAGCATTTGGGGTTGGGGGAAACTTCTCAGAAAATTGAAGGCATTTCTCTCTCACCTTTTACCTGGCAATCTCTTGCTCCAGATACAAGCCTGTTCTTACATAAATCCATGCAAGTGATAGTCCCCTGGTGACCACTGAAGATTCGTGTGCAAGCCCCACTTCTCAGATCCCAGTATCTGCAGGAATCAGGCCAAAAGAACATTTGTGAGAGTTCCTGAGGGCCCAGAGGATCATATTGCGTAGAACCCCTGTAGACAAGAAGGCAGTTGGGAGGCAGCAGGCTCTCATGGTTCAGCTTAGAGTCAGGGGCCTGGATTTGAATCCCAGCTGCAGCACCTATTTGGTGTAACTTTGAGGAAGTTAATTTCTGTGTAAGTTTCCTTTCCTCATTGATAAAATGGAAATAATAATAATAATAGTCACATCGTAGGGTTGTTGTGAAGAATTAAATGGACAAATACAGTGATTGTCAGTCAATCATGGGTAACATCTACCTCCAGGGACCATCTGGAAATGTCTGTACATATTTTTGGTCACAAGCAGACAAGGAGGTGCCACTGGCATCTAGTGCACAGAATCCAGGGATGCTGTTAAACATCCTACTTTGCATAGGGCAGACCCCACAGTAAAGAAATTCCCAGCCCCAGATGGCAATAGTGCCAAGGTTAAGAAACCCTGCCCCAGTGGAGGTAACGATGGAATAGTGACTACCATGTACAAAATGGTTGATCGATGTCAGGTGGTTTTTAGGTAAAAGCGTGTCGAATGACCACCAGGCTTAGAATCCATGGCACTGATTCAATGGTATGGCTAATCTTCAAATAAGAGCAACAGAATCCTTTACCAATCACTTAGATCCAAAATATTTATGTACATATAAAGCATATCTAAGAGATAGATGGGAACAAAGACAAATTATCCTGTTTTTTAATAAGAAAATTTGCCCAAGGTCTCTCAACTACCACTGATACTTCCGATTCAGCTAGGCTGCGTTTGAAACAGGACAAAGCAGAATGCTGAGAGAGTGGGCTCTGGAGCAGGCTGCCTGAAGTCCATTCCCAGGCCCATCACTTTCTGGCTGTGTGATCCTAGGCAAGTTACTGAACCACCACGTACCTCAGATTCTTCTTCTGTAAACTGGGGATAACAATTATACTTACTTCATAGAATTATTGTGTGTCTTGGCACATAAAAATGATTAATAAATATGTCTTTGGGGTTTTTTTGGGATATGTTCAGCTTTTTTTTTTTCTAATATTTCCAAGGGTCTTGCAGCCTTACCAATGCCTCACCAGCTTCTCAGAGCCCACAATACAGCCGCAGTGCATTGAATGATGTCCCTGCGCTCTGTAAAAAAGCATGTTTTGAATTTCTGTTTCTAGCACTATGGTGGTATACGTCTTCAGGTTGGTTTTTTAAATTTATATAAAAAACGGTATTTGATAAATACTTTTAGAAAAATAGGGATACAAGGAACTTTCCAGACTTAGTGAAAGGTATAAACCAAAGTCATAACAGTAAGTAATATGCTCAGTGGAGAAACGGTAGATGTATTCCCTTCCAGAAGGGAAACAAGATGAAGATGCCCACTCTCACTGCTACAGCCCACTGTGGCACTGGAAGGCCTGGGCAAAGTGAGAAGGAAAGAAAAACAAAAAGTGGTATAGGCATTAGAAAAGGAGATAATACATTGTCATTATTTGCAGTTGAAGAGATCATCTACATAGAAAAACCAATTCGACATATATGCTCTTCGAACTAATAAGAGAGTTTGGCAAGGATGCCAGACACAAGATCAATTTACAAAAATCAACTGCATTTCTCTATGCCAGCAAAAACTAATTTGCCTGAACCCAGGAGGCGGAGGTTGCGGTGAGCCAAGATCGCGCCATTGCACTCCAGCCTGGGTAACAAGAGCGAAACTCTGTCTAAAAAAAAAAAAAAAACTAATCTGAAAATATAAGCAAAGTAAGATACCATTCACAATAGTAATAAAATTATAACATTTACAGGCATTAAGTAAAAATATACAAGACTTTTATAAAGAAAACTTTCCGTCTCTAAGAAAGAACAAAGATGATCTAATTGAGTGTATTTACCAAACTAATCTATAAATTCAATGCAACCCCAATAAAAAGTCGTTAGGTTTTACTGAAAGTGGATAAACTTACTCCAAAAACTCAAAATGTATATCCCATAGCCGTTACATTAAAAAAGAAAAGTGAAAAGGAGAATTTCCCTCCCCATCACATTTTAAAACATTCTCCAAATGCATAGCTAAAAAAAAAAACTTTTCAAGGAGGGGGATTTTGATGAAAAACAGAAAAACAGACAATGGACTAGACCAGGGAGGTCAGGGACATTCTCATGCACATATGGGAAATTTCCATGTGATAGAGATGGCACCACAGATCAGTGGAGGAAGTGGCAGATTATATGGTAGTTGCTGTAGGGGAGAAACTGCTCACTTCATTTAAGTATGAATAAATGAAACAAAACCCTACCTAACACCACATACAAGGTTGAATTGGAAATAGATTAAAAAACTGAATGCAAAAGATAAAACTGTAATGTTGATAGAAGAAAATGTCAGAAACTATCTCTGTGACTTGGAAGAGGGAAGAATCACACAAGTCAGGGGGGAAAAAACCCTGATAAACTGATGCTTTATTACACTTATATTGAGAACTTTTGTTCAACAAAATTCAGGTAGACACAATGAACAAAGTTAATAGATAGTCCTGGCAAGACGGAATTCTCCGGCAGACGGCCTTTGGACATGTTAAGCCAGCATCTGCACTGCTGGCCCTCCTGGGTCTCCAGCCTGACAGCCCATGCTGCAGATTTTGGACTTGCCAGCCTCCTTGATCACACAAGTCAATACTTTATAATACATCTCCTTTGTATATACACATTCTGTTGGTTCTGTTTCTCTGGAGACCCTGACTAATACACATGTGAAAAGGTGTTCAACTTCATTAGTAATCAGGAAAGTTAAAATTTAAACCCCAATAAAACACAGTGGGTTTAACACCCATCAGATTGACAAAACTGTTAGACTGACAATATTAAGTGTTGGTGAGAATATATAAGAGAGATATTCTCATACACTGCCAATGGGAATGCAAATTAATACAAGCACATTGGAAAACAGTTTAGTACTCCTTCCTAGAAATTCCCATACAGCCGGTCGCAGTGGCACATGCCTGTAATCCCAGCACTTTGGGAGGCCAAGGCAGGCAGATCACATGAAGTTGGGAGTTTGAAATCAGCCTGACCAACATGGAGAAACCCTGTCTCTACTAAAAATGCAAAAACTTAGCTGGGCATGGTGGCGCTTGCCTGTAATCCCAGCTACTCGGGAGGCTGAGGCAGGAGAATTGCCTGAACCCAGGAGGCGGAGTTTGCGGTGAGCCGAGATCACGCCATTGCACTCCAGCTTAGGCAACAAGAGCGAAACTCCATCTGAATGAAAAAAAAAAAAGAAATTCCCATACTAAGACTATCCCTTTTAAAACCTCCTGCACATGGGCATGAGGGAACATATCCGAGATCCGTCTCTGGCAGCATTCTTTGAAATAATTAAAAACAGGCTGGGCGTGGTGGCTCATGCCTGTAATCCCAGCACTTTGGGAGGCCGAGGCGGGTGGATCATGAGGTACATGGTGAAACTCTGTCTCTACTAAAAATGCAAAAACTTAGCTGGGCCTGGTGGCGCTTGCCTGTAATCCCAGCTACTCAGGAGGCTGAGGCAGGAGAATTGCCTGAACCCAAGGAGGCGGAGGTTGCGGTGAGCCGAGATCGCGCCATTGCACCCCAGCCTGGGTAACAAGAGCCGCGAAACTCCGTCTCAACAAAAAAAGAAACGAAAAGAAAAGAAATAATTAAAAACTAGAAACAATGCAAATGTCCACCAACAGACAAATAAATAAATGAGTAATAATACATTTATCCAATTTAATACTGTATCTCAGTCCAAGTAAGTTAATTACTGCCATCTACGTCATACAGGTGACTCTGAAAAACATAGTTCTATGTAAGAATGAAGTACCGACAAATTTTTTAAATGATTCATTTTATGTTGAGTTCAAAAACAGGCGAAAGTAATTAATACTCTTGGAGATATGTAAGAAGGAAGCAAAAATGATAATGAAATGCAAGAAAATAATTAGTATAAAATCAGGATAACATTACCTCTGGTTGGCAGGAAGAAGCAAGAAGAGACGAGCACATTGAAAGGATTGGGGAATGGTGATATCTTATTTTCTGGCCTGAGTGATGGATGCACGAGTGTTTTTTATATTGTTTAAAAATGTACATACATATACATTTTTAAAACACTATTTTGCATCTATACTCTTGTCTCATACTCATAAGAATCCATGTTCCCCTGAATCTGTAAGAACAAATGTAAGTTATTTCTTCATCTAAGAATGCTAATAAAGAAAATTTTTCCGATTCACAGTCATCAATTAGAAAATACATCTGATAACTGTTATAAATCTATCTTATTCAAATTTTAAGCAATATATATGTTCCTGACTTTTTCCTGGCCAAAAAAAAAAAAAAAAAAAAAGCTGAAGTTTCTAGAAGTCAGTATCTTCTAGGATAACTGTTAAATATAAAAAGAAAAAGAGCTGTGGGCCCTCTAGGCCCTAGGTGGGATGGGGATCATGATGCCTTTGGACTCCTCACCTGATACTTAGGTCATAGCTCCCGCTTAGGAGAAAGTTTTCCTCCTCACACAGGAAGAGGGCGCGGACACTCCCAGCATGGCCTCGGAACTCAATGGGTATCGCTTTTACTTGTATGATATCCAGAAGATGGATCTTTCGATTAGATGACACAGCTATCAGATCTCCCCCGGAGTAGTGGATGACTCTGTTTTGATCCCACCTGAGTGCCAGGAGAAAAGGATTATCCATGAAAGAAGAGTCAGTGTCCATCCTGGGACTGACTTAGCCCCATGACTTTTGCCTGCAGCAATGGTATAAAGGAAAATTCAGGGCCTTTCAGCAAGGGAGGCAACAGAAGGCCAGGCTGAGAATTAACAGGCCGTGAGGGATCCCCACTCTCATATGATGACAAAAATCCATTTCTGTTCAATTTAAAACCTAAAGACACAAGGCAATTTTTTTAAATTCTGCAAATGTATGCTAAATCCCCAAGAGAAAGAATGAAGTCTGTGGCATTGCCCAAATGTCATTGATCATGGAAACCTTTTTTCTTGGAAAACATCAGAGGAACACAGTTGGGAAGCCCTGTGCAAACAGTATTTCTTTTCCCTTAATATTCAGTGAGCATATATTAGGTTCAAAGTCCTGTGCTAGTAGATACCACAGGAAATACAAAGAATTATCAGATAAGGACCTTACTTACAATGAGCTTATTGTCCCATAAAACTAGGTGAGTTGAATTAATTAGCTGGGTATGGTGGTCTATGCCTGTAATCCTCGCTACTCAGGAGGCTGAGGCAGAAGAATCACTTGAATCTGGGAGGTGGAGGTTGCAGTGAGCTGAGATGGCACCATTGCACCCCAGCCTGAGAAACAAGAGTAAAACTCCATCTCAAAAAAAGAAAAGGAAGGGGACAGTATTTGTTTATTTTTGGTCTTGCTCTGCAAGTGAGCCACTGTGCCCTTCCTTTTATTTTTGGTCTTGCTCTGCATTCACTGTAACTTCCAACTCTTGGCTTCAAGCTATCCTCCTACCTAAGCCTCCCTCCCAAAGTTCTCGGAGTACAGGCATGAGCCACGGCATCCAACCTGGGAACACTATTATTAATGACACTAGGACTGCAGAGTAGAGAGGGATTGTTCCAATAAACAGGGATATATCATCACTCTAAATATGAGGAGCTTGGAGACCAGCCTGGCCAGGAGAACAAAACCCCATCTCTGCAAAAAAATTCAGAAATTAGCCAGGCACAGTGGCATGTGCCTATAGTCCCAGCTACTTGGGAGGCTGAGGCAGGAGGATTGCTTGAGCCCAGGAGGTGGAGGTTACAATGAGCCAAGATTGCGCCACTGCACTCCCAGCCTGGACAACGGAATGAGGTTCACTCTGAAAAAAGAAATACGGAGAGTATGGTGATAACTGTTCTTTAAAAAAATAAATATATATATATGTATACATACATATATTTTTATGTATATACATGTACATATGTGTATGTGTGCATATATCCGTATATATGTACACACACATATATAAGGAGCAATTCTGGATATTTTTGCCCTCATTCCATTTGTCGTACCTAGAGTTCAACTAGTCACCATCTCTTCTAAAGAGCAGTTATCACCATACCATCCATAAAAACTCAGCTTTGCCTTTCCACTATCTTATTTGCTCTGTCTTCCCCATACTGACTGTTCTATTGTCAAGATGCAATTTGTTAATAAGATTCATGGCCAAAAATAAGTAGAGGTGGATTTCACAAAACCTTGTGAATATAAAGTAAAGAATCCTAGGCCTAAAATATGACAGAAAGTTGATTTTTAAAGAACCTTCTCTCGGCATATTGCAATAATGTGAGAGTATCCAATTGTTATAAATATGATTGTCATATTTACCATGGGAAGATATCTATATAGTACCTTGCTGGACTGGGTTACAGAAAGATATGTAATGGGCCAGATGCAGTGGCTCACGCCTGTAATCCTAGCACTTTGGGAGGCCAAAGTGGGCATATCACGAGGTCAGGAGTTCAAGACCAGCCTAGCCAACATAGCAAAACCCTGTCTCTATTAAAAATACAAAAAAATTGCTGGGCATAGTGGCACACGCCTATAATCCCAGCTACTTGGGAGGCTGAGGCAGGAGAATTGCCTGAACCTGGGAGGTGAAGGTTGCAGTGAGCCGAGATCACGCCACTGCACTCTAGCCTGGATGACAGAGCAAGACTCTGTCTCAAAAAAAAATGTGTAATATAATCCCACTTCTACTTAAAATATGTGCTATATATATGCAAATAAAAGAATTCTAGAAGGATAGACATCAATATTAATGGTGGTTATCACCAGGTGATTATAAAAAGGCAAAACTTTGCCTTTCTCTATACACTTTCTGGTATTTGAAAGATTTTTTTTTCAATAAGCATATATTATTTCTAAAATTAATATAACAAAACAAAGATATTTCAAAAAATAAAGATTTTATGTGCGACTTGTGCAAAAGGTTGTTGGTTAGCATACCCAAAAGTTATAAAGGGAAAGCGTCCTGTACCCACTGCCAAGAACAGTGCAAAATGAAGCACCTATTGTCTACGTGGGATCATGTGCAAGTTTGGGGATAGAGCTTGAGGTGAGGAGAGCCTGCCTTTCCACGCACACAAGGATCAGGGAAATCCCAAGTGCCAGTGGGGATAGCTCAAGCGTCCCTAGAGACCTAGATTCTGACCCCAGTACCTACCTGTCAGAGAGAATGCGGACATTGTAGGTCCCACAGAAAACATTTCTCTCCTCCATCAGGACCTGCTGTGTTTCCTGGTTCTGGTATGCAGTCCACAGGTTGTAGTCAGTCTAACAAGGGAATACTTGAAGTTAAAGCTCAGAGGCAACTTTAAATACCCACAGTCCCAGAGCCCCTAGGGTCTCCCTGGCAAGGGCACAGGGCTCACGGATTCTTCCTCTGAAGGCTGAGGTTGCTGCTCTGCAGAGAAGGGACTGGCCAGTGAGCAAGCACCAAAGTAAATAATGAGTTAGAAAGTGTCGGGTTAAGGGTCCTAATTCTTTTACCTCTTTGTGTTTACCATGTTCCCTGATTCCATGAACTATCAATGCTGAATTCCAAATGTTACCAATAATGCAACTGTTTCAAAAATGAGCTCACAAGGGGTATCCTCACAACTTAAGGTCACAGGTGCCCTTTGACCATTTTACAGAAGTCAGAAGGTCATATGTATGTTACATCTACCTGATAGTACAAAGCACACTCGAGGGAGTTTAAGCCATATGTGAAATTACTGCTACACAGGCTATGCATTTGCATTTTTTTAAGATGGAGTTTTGCTCTTGTCACCCGGTCTGGAATGCAACGGTGCGATCTCAGCTCACTGCAACCTCTGCCTCCTGGGTTCAAGCAATTCTCCTGCCTCAGACTCCCAAGTAGCTGGGATTACAGACACACACCAGCAAGCCTGGCTAATTTTTGTATTTTTAGTAGAGATGCGATTGCACCACATTGGCCAAGCTGGTCTCGAACTCCTGACCTCAGGTGATCTGCCCGACTTGACCTCCCAAAGTGCTGGGATTACAGGCAAGAGCCACTGCACCCAGCCTGTATTTGCATTTCAAAGTTTTCATATATCTTCAACCTTCATTTGCTCTTGGAGCTGCCTTACAAGGTAGATCACTTGCCCCACAAAATGTTCCCATTATTTTACAGAGAAGGTATCTGGGACTCAGGGAGAGGAAATCAATAGTATCAAGTCTTGACAGTGGCACTTTCATTTGCTTCCCAATCTTTATTTCCTTCCTACCTGCCTGCCTGCCTTCAATCTTCCTCCCTCCTTTGCTCTCTCCCTTGCTTCCTCTATCACACACCTTCTGAGCAGGTATGGCATGCCAGACATGCTAAATTTTGGCATAGATGACTGAATAGACTCTCAGTTCCATTTATCTTCCCTGCCATACTCTATCCTCAAATAGCAGGGAATAACAGTCCCATTAAACTAGCAGGGGAAAAAAAGCAGAATATACTTATCTTGAAGGCAAAGAGAACATATGCACCTGAAAGTCCTCCTGGGGGACATCTCCAAAGTCTCCTTCCAAACCTTAGTCTTCTGCAGCATGCCTTTAGACTCTTCCTCAGATGCCCTCTTTCCTCTGCTTGCTCTCCTTCTTAATCTTTAACCATGTATCAATGCCCATAAAAAAAAAGTCTCTGCCCAGAAGAATCTGCCAACCTGCCTCCCCTCCAGTGTCCAGGCAGCTTTCCACATCCTAGCCTGAATTAAATGAGGCTGCCCTGGATTCTCCCAACCCAGGTGGGAATTCCTTGGTCCTTGCTCATCTCCTAAGTTTTATGAGCCCCAGAAACCACATGGTGGAGTCATTGGGAGGGAAAAGACCTGAATTTAAATTCTAGCTCTGCCATTGCTCAGCTACGAGAACTTGGGCACACTTTCTCATACCACATCCCTCATTTCCCCATCCATAAATTAGGAGCAATGACATCTCCTTGTTCTCTGGTGAAATCAAGTAAATGCTGTATGCAGAGCTACAGGCATTGTGCCTGGCATACAGTTTACACTCATGCTATTACACACCACCCTGAGAAGCACTCAACTCCACCTTTTCCTAGGAGACTCCATAACTGCCTAGTCCTGCTACTTCGTGTGTACTCCATACTGCATCACCCGTTTCTCTCCCTTTTCTGTCTGTCCATTTTTTTTTTAATTTGAGACAGAGTCTCACTCTGTTGCCAAAGCTGAAGTGCAGTGATGTAATCTCTGCTCACTGCAACCTCCATCTCCCCAGTTTAAGTGATTCTCTTTCCTCAGCCCCCTGAGTAGCTGGGATTACAGGCATGCACAGCCACACCTGGCTAATTTTCTGTTTTTTTAGTAGAGACAGGGTTTTGTCATGTTGGCCAGGCTGGTCTTGAACTCCTGACCTCAGGTGTGAGTCACCACACCTGGTCCCTTTTCCTAAATTATACACGTAAGAATTAAAGAGAAGAGAAATACAAAGGGTGGCTCGACAGTCAACAGGTTTATTTCAAACCTGGGAGGGACTTCTAACCCAGTTAGTTCAGAAGCTGCACTATCTTACAGACAAGAGTTTTTAAGGACTCAGGGTGGGAGAGTTTATCACAGGCTTGGACTGTTTCTGTGTCTCTTTGTTATGCTTATCTGGGAGGGAGAGTTATGTGTCTATCCCCATACATCTTCCTGCAGCTGCAGGCATACCCCCAAGTCTGCTTTCAGCTTCCCTATCTTAGTGCACCTGAAGGGAAAGGAATGTGCTTATTAAGGCCCACTCTTTTACCGGGGCCCAGTATACGAGGGTGAAATTTGGCAGTTCCCCAAGAGACTTTCCCCCCACCTCCCTCTGTGCACAATCTGTCTTATCTGTATTTTACTGTCTGCTCTTTCTGGCTGCTTGTAGTTAGAAGAGAGGTGATTTCCTTGAAATGCATGAGGTTAGCAAGGGACCTGGAACTTCAAGTGGTGGTGTTTGCCGGAGATGACAGTTCTCCTGCTCTTGTCAATACATTCCATCACAGCCACACCATCCTCTGCTGCCCACATCACCTGCCTCCTCCTTTGTGTCACCTGCCTGGCCCCTACAGGTCATATGAACTAGATGCTTCTATTTCTCAAATTCTAATTTAACACAGCTTCTTTATGGAAAGTGACAATCAAACCATCCCTCATAAACTAACCTTTTTGAGCCAACTGAACAGACTTCAAAATAGACTTTAAGCAGAGGAGAGGGGGCAGAAATCTAATGGCTTTAGGAATACCAACCATGCCTTGATAGACAAAGCATAGAGCTCGAAGGGTCTTCTGTTCACTCTTCATTATTGCCTAAGAACTAGTGGAGAGGGCTGCATTTAATTAACTCTCCCCTTCCAACCTAGAGCCAGAATGAACCTGGAAGTGAGGGATGAGGGAGCCAAATTCATCTAGGCCCTAGGCATTCGGAACCAGCCCTGGCCCTCCCCTCAGGTCCTCCTCAAATTCCCGAGCAACAGATGCTGGAGCGTCCAGAGGCATGGGAAACTGATGGGGTTGCTACTGGCCTCTGAACTCGCCACTCGATGACCTGGTGCCATGGACGGGGAACACGGCCATGGGCTTTGAAGTAAGGAAGAACCCTGAGAGGACAATCAAATCAATCTACCCATCCAACAGATGAGGAAAACAAGGCTTAAGAAGAGGAAGGGACTTGCAAGTCAGTAGCAACACAGAACTCTCGTCTTCCTTAGGGAGTGTTATCTGCCGTGATCCTCTGTCCTTACTCCAGGGCTGAGTCCGGACCTCAGCCTTCAATGGCCAGTTCGAATGAGACACTCACGGCTACTTGCCCCAGATGTCATTGGAACCCACCTTCGTTCTCAGCTTCCATTTCTGATGTTTCACATGCACGTGCTTCCCGTCATCTACCATTTTAGGAACTGGGATAGAAACTTTACTGGCGTAATTAGGATCAATTTCTCTTGTGTAGGACCCCTGGAAAATACCAGAAAAAAAAAAAAAAACACAGAAAATAGCTACTGTTAGTTCTGATTCTGCAGGAGGAAGGGAAATCTAGTTCTTGGCAAAATCTGAAGGATAGGTAAGCCCTGGCTGTGGCAGGCAGGCCCAGTTCTGGCCGGTTCCCCCGTCACTGTGTGTAGACTGAATGGAGGAGAAAATAAGCATCAAATGCTGGCCGGGAGCACTGGCTCACGCCTGTAATCCCAGCACTTTGGGAGGCCGAGGCGGGTGGATCACAAGGTCAAGAAATCGAGACCATCCTGGTCAACATGGTGAAACCCCATCTCTATTAAAAATACAAAAAATTAGCTGGGCGTGGTGGCACATGCCTGTAATCCCGGCTACTCAGGAGGCTGAGGCAGGAGAATTGCCTGAACCCAGGAGGCGGAGGTTGCAGTGAGCCGAGATCGCGCCATTGCACTCCAGTCTGGATAACAAGAGTGAAACTCCGTCTCAAAAAAAAAAAAAAGCATCAAATGCCACAGGGAGACCAGCAAAGATGGTCAGACTATCGCCGGCCTCACCATATCTGCTGTTTCTCATCCTCTGTCATCTCTCTCTGCTGGGGAAAAAAAAAAAAAAAAATCTAAGCTACCAAAATCCATGGTTTAGGGTGAGACTTCTGGCAAGAAACTGAGAAGTAAAAATGCTGGAGTAGATTGCCATTTGGGAAAATTGTATTTTAACTGAAGAAATACTTTGCGGCCTTATAAACATCTGTGTTCCACATGAAGCTGATGCAGAAACATAATTATGGCTTTCTTGCTGCGTAAGCTGTGATATAACTCCCTGGGGCTGGGGTTCTCTGCTTTGTGAGGTTTTGGAAAGGCTCTGCCTCTCTGCTCCTAAGCGGTCTCTATTCCTGTTGTCCTTGTGAGATGCACTGACAATGAGAGTACTCAGTTATCGACAGGAGTTTGGACCAAAAGGAAGGGACCCAGGAAGCCTAAAAGGCCACAAATGTAGAGCAGGAGGCCAGCTAAGGGTTCACTGAAAGGTTCGCAGTCAATCTCAACACAAAAATGAAGTTGTTCTCAGATATTCCCCCGTCAGACTTGCAGGAAGTACCTGCAAGAAGGCAATCTGGTTCTGAATGAAGCCGTGCGCCGACAATTCCACCTTAACCTGTTGAGCCAGTGCGGCCCAGTGCTGGCTCACAGAGGCACATTTGTTCAGGGTGTGTCTATCCAGCATTCCTGGAAAAAAGAAAAAAGATGGATTCAGAAACTCCAGAACTGGGCCAAGATGGGAGGTGTCTGAGAAATCCCCTCATACGGCCCAGCATACTTAGAATGTACTTGGAGAGGTGGATGGGCAGGTAACGGATAAAGTCTCGGTATTTGCTGAACCCAGAAGACAGGTCTCTGTTGTCATCCAGGTCAACCAACAGATTGCAGGGATCGAACCCTGGCTTGGTTAAGTCTCCTTTTTCAGAAAACAGCCTATTCATCTCGGAAATACACTGGAGTGAATGCCTCCACAGTCCCTCTAGAGTAAAGCCAGAGAAAGGTGCGTGGTTGAGTTGGCTCTGTAGAAACTCCAGGCCAAGAACAAGTCCTCACCAAAAGCTCTCCCACAAAATAAACCTCCTCAGAGTCTACCCTTAGGCCACTAGATTTTTGTCATCTCTTCTGCCACATGAGAATAGAACCTTTTGATCCAAATATACGTGTACTTTTCAGCACAAAGAGAAGTCTATAGTATCAGAGTCTGAAATGACATCGTGTCTGGAATTTTCTTAAAAATACTCCAATAAGAAAAAATTTAAATCAGTTTAAGAAAGCGGGAGGCTGGGCATGGTGGCTCACGCCTTTAATCCCAGCACTTTGGGAGGCCAAGACAGGCAGATCACCTGAGGTCAAGAGTTTGAGACCAACCTGACCAACATGGAGAAACCCCGTCTCTACTAAAAATATATAATTAGTCAGATGTGGTGGCACATGCCTGTAGTCCCAGCTAGTCAGGAGACTGAGGCAGGGGAATCACTTGAACCCAGGAGGTGGATGGAGGTTGCAGTGAGCCAAGATGGGCCATTGTACTCCAGCCTGGGCAACAAGAGTGAAACAAGAAAGAAAGAAAGAAAAGAAAGAGAGAGAGAGAGAGAGAGAGAGAGAGAGAGAGAAAGAAAGAAAGAAAGAAAGAAAGAAAGAAAGAAAGAAAGAGGAGAGAGGAGGGGGAGAGAGAGAGAGAGAGAGAGAGAGAGAGAAAGGAGGGAGGGAGGAAGAAAGGAAAGGAAAGGAAAGGAAAGGAAAGGAAAGGAAAGGAAAGGAAAGGAAAGGAAAGGAAAGGAAAGAAATAAAGAGGTTGAATGGAATGGAATAAAATTGGTAAAATGTTGATAACTGTTGAAACCAGTGCTATGTGGGTAGTTATCATACTGTTCTACATACTTAGGAAATTTGAAATTTTCCATATAAAGAATGTTTTAGAATCTGTGCTTTGTATTTCCTATAATATTGTGTCTTCCATGATATTTTGTATATATGTGTTGCTGCAGAACCCAGCTTAGGAGTACCATGAGGCTGAGAACCAAATTCCCCATTAATGTTTTCCCTCCTCAAGACTGAATCCAATACTGCAAAAATAGCCACTGATGGGTTTAATTCTAGAGCTGCCCACCATGCCTGAGTCCAGAGGCTAGATGATGGATTGTGGCCTGGAGCAGAGAAAGACTCCAAAGGAAACCACTGATAGTTTCCTTTCTGATCTCTGTGGTCAGATGTCTCAGCGGAAAGGTGAAGATACAGGTTTGGGCCATACTGGTCAGTTTTAATCCTTGCTCCTCCCCCTATCAGCTGTGAGAATTAGATAGGGAAGTAAAGAGCCCAACACATTGTAGGTGCTAAATGAGTGTGAGTGCCTCAAATCTGCCATCCCCCGATGCTATCATCCTGCCAGCCCCTTCAGTTCCACTGGGACTTCCCATTCTCATAATGGTTTCATATTGGCTTTCTTGCTTAAAGTGGACTTACCCGGGTTAGATGCTGCCCCAAGCAAGTGTTCATTTTCTAGGGCTTTGGACAAAGGAAAGGACGTGTGCTGAGTTTTGGTTCTCCAATAGACTTGTGAGGTCGCAGACTTGGAGCTGTGGTCTTTTTCCGGGGAAAAACACACATCTGTGATGTCCTGATTGAGCCCTGGAGAACAAAACAGCAAGGCAAGGTTGCTCTTGAAGCAGGTGTGTTGAGGAAAATGAGTTGGATAGAAACGGTTACGTTTTGTCTTCCTTCTTTTAAAAATGCACTGTACGGACCAGGGCTGTTATGTCTATTTTTATTTGGGGCCTCCAAACTTCTATGAAAAAATCTCAGAAAGCTTCCTGGTAGCTTTTCAGTCCACCTCCAATGTAAAATTTATTGAGCTGTATATACAAGGAGAGAGAGAAAGAGAGTTAGTGAGTCGAGGTCAGGAATTGCAACAGGGAAAGCTCTTTGGAAGCTCACGCTGAATTTTCTTCAATTATAGAAATAACCACCCTCAAGTCATATTAGAACATTTTACTTTTTTTTTTGAGACCAAGTTTTGCTCTTATTGCCCAAGCTGTGCAATGGTGCGATCTTGGCTCACTGCAAGCTCCGCCTCCCTGAGGCAAGTGACTCTCCTGCCTCAGCCTCCCAAGTAGCTGGGACTACAGGTGCATACCACCATGCCCGGCCTATTTTTGTATTTTTAGTAGAGATGGGGTTTCACCTTGTAGGTTGGGCTGGTCTTGAACTCCTGACCTAATGGATCTGCCTGCCTTGGCCTCCCAAAGTGCTGGGATTACAAGTATAAGGCACTGCACGGGCCAGAACATTTAACTTTTAAGAGAGAATCTGCTCTAAGAAAAGAGATGGTTGCCACACCTGTAACAGGTCTTATAAAACTTCAGTATGGATAGCCCATTCCTATGGTGCGTGATGAAGCTCTTAAAAGAGCACCGTGGAGCACTGCATCTGTGCCTACAAGCCAGGTCCTCCATTGCTGGCAGCACTCCAGAGTGGAAGGGGCTCAGGAGGGGATCCTCCTTTAGATCCTATGTGGTGGGTGACCCAAGCAAAGTCATTCAGATGCCCTGGACTTTGCTCTCCGTCTGTAAAAATTAAGGAATCGGACTGGTTGATCTCTAATCTAACTTAAACTGTTTTTGATACCCTGGGATTCACTGTGTCTTCATTTTGTATTATCATTCTTTTATACCCCTGCCTGATGCACCAAATAAATCAAGTCACATACATTGTGATCTAATTGCATCCTAGGTCATCCACCTTTAAAATTCTTTTGGATTCCATTAGTCTACAAATATGACCACCTCTCAGGTCTCATTGGTGGCAGGAATTACACACCTTCAAGAGCTAAAAGTCCAAAACTCCTCCATATGACCACCCCCTCCCAGCTTTGTCCCACTCCTGCCTAAACCCAAGCTTCCCCACACTGGACCTTCCACTCATGGACCCCACCAAAGTTCAAGTCTCTTACCTCCTAATACTGTGTGGATATTTGTCCCCTCCAAATCCCATGTTGAAATGTGAACCCCCAATGTTGGAGGTGAGGCCAGGGAGGCAGAACCCTCATGAATGGCTTAGTGCCCTTCCCACAGTGAGTTCTCACTCCATTAATGTAGTTCAAGCAAGAGCCTGCTATTTAAAAGAGCCTGCTGTTTAAAAGAGCCTGGCACCCCTCCCCCTCTCTTGCTTCTTCTCTTACCGCATGATACACAATTCCCCTTGCATTCCACCGTGAGTGGAAGCTTCCTGAAGCCCTCACCAGAAAGAGATGCTAGTGACATGCTTCTGGTACAGTCTGCAGAACTGCAAGCCAAATAAACCTCTTTTCCTTATAAATTACTTATACACTTCTTTTTATAAATTACTCAGCCTCAGGTATTCCTTTGTAGCAAAGCAAAACGGACACCAACCTAATGGTTTCCTTTAATTCCCTGAACTAGCTGGCCAAACACTTCCAGGATTCTCTAACACCCTAGGCTTGTGATTCTCAAAGAGAGATCCCCAGACCAGCAACATCATCACTAGCTGGAAACTCGTTAGTTAGAAATACAGAATCCCGAGGCCGGGCGCAGTGGCTCAAGCCTGTAATCCCAGCACTTTGGGAGGCCGAGGCAAGTGGATCACGAGGTCAAGAGATGGAGACCATCCTGGTCAACATGTGAAACTTCATCTCTACTAAAAATACAAAAAATTAGCTGGGCATGGTGGCGCATGCCTGTAATCCCAGCTACTCAGGAGGCTGAGGCAGGAGAATTGCCTGAACCCAGGAGGTGGAAGTTGCAGTGAACTGAGATCGCGCCATTGCACTCCAGCCTGGGTAACAAGAGCAAAACTCCGTCTCAAAAAAAAAAAAAAAAGGAAATACAGAATCCCAGGCCCACTTCAGACCTGCTGAGTCTGAAGTTCTGGGGGCGAAGCTTGTTTTAACAGGTCCTGCTGGAGATCCTGATACAAGCCACAGTTGCAAAACTACCACCCTAGACCTATTTGGCCCTTAAGCTATCTCCAGCCTTGGAGAAACTCTACTTCAAGGTTTGATGTCATGGATAAGCAAGGAACATAGTAGAGTGAATGAAACAAGAGCTCTGAGTTTTAACTTCTTGCCCTGGTTTTTGTAAAGGGCAGCTGAAGAGCAAAATAATTAATCAGCTTCCCCTTTATAATCCTCTCAAGCCCAGTCCAATCCCCAAAGCAGGAATGACACCAGCATTGAGGGGTCAGAGGCAGGGACCAGCCATTTCTGGGCCTATGAGATGCAGAAATCCATTATAAATGCTTGACGGTTAAAAGTTCTGCACTTCCTCCTGCATTTACCATTTTAAAGACGGGAGTTACATTCAGTCATTTCTCTTTTGATAAACGGGATCAGGTGTCAGGACAAGGTGTCAATTCAAGGAACCTGTGCTGCATTCTGTGCACTCCGTCTACCTAAGCTGTCTACAACTGCAGTTCCTTACAGATTTCTCAAGTCTGGCTTTCTGGTCTTTGGGGGCCCTCTGGTCTTGCCTGTGGCCTTGTTTACCTGAGATATTGTTCTGTTCTCTCAGAAACAGGACTCTGATCACGTGGGCAGCAGTGAGCAGTAATTTGGGGTTGCACATCTGCAGCAGTAAGAGAGTATAATTCGCCTTGGTCCAGTGGGTGCTGTTCACAAACCAGTACAAGAGCTCCTTCATCTTCTGTTCTACTGTTTTATCTGACATTTGGTTCAAGGAGGACTTAGCAACTTTCCCCTCCTTCTTGCTGAGATCGACCAGGGACCTGTTATAGATGAAATCCTTTCCCTGTGTGGTCTGAAGGATATTTTGGAAATAGTGTAACAAATATAAGCTATTTAACTGCTTCAGAATGCTAACTAGAAACCTCCTCTGAGACACGTCATTGATCCTGCAGAACCACTCTTTGGTAGAGAAGATCTTCCAGGCCAAGACACACGTCTCACACTTCTGGCATATAGAGTAGAAATCGTTTCCCTTCTCACAACGAAAATCGGGGGCATTCTTGAGCCTTGATTCCAGGTTTTCCATGATCCTGGGATAACCAGTTCATTTTAGCCCTGCCTACTTGCAAGGGCAACGCCACCAAACAATAGAGGAACGGAGGGAAACAAGTAAATACCCCACTTGTGCCTTTTCTATTATGAATGTCTCCCAGATCAAAAGTAAACGGCCGCCATGGAAAGCCTATCTCTCCCAGAAACTGCCAGTAGAAGTCTGGCTTTCTGTACAGACCTCCTTGGAAACATGGGTTTACCGTAAATCTCCTAAACCTGGCACTGCTTTATGTGGAGGCAGTTGCTGTATATTCTGAAAGAGCTGGTCATCTCATTTCTAGAAAAACAAGAATACCGTTAGTCAAATTTAAATAATATATGGACTATTAATGGTGTTGGGCTTTAGTTATTGTTGTTAATAATGGCTTCTGAATATTCATGAATATAAAATAAGATGCAAATTTTTATATCTGTTCAGTTACAAGGTGGCTATCCCAACGATGCTAAATATGTTTCTATTCATTTTCTTAAGTCATCATCAAAGTAAAACCAGAAACGTTTAATATAATTTATTTAACTGCTTCAGAATACTAACCAGAAATCTCACTGCAGTCAAAGTTCACAGGCAAAAAATATTGGGCAGCTTTCTTTGAAAGAATTTCAAAGTCATGCTGAGATAATTCTCCTACTTCAGGCAGGACTAGGTTCAAACATGGACTCTGGTACTTAGGAGCAATATGGTCTTGAGCAAGCAACCTGTCCTCTCTGAGCCTCAGTGTCTCCATCATAGTTATGCGGATGGGGAAGATAAAGATGGATACGAAAAGTGATAACTACCTTCTAGGATTGCATTACATATGAGATCAGTTGTTGACGCTACTGTTACCATTACTAAAGTATTACTACCCTAGATAAAACCAAAAGGTTTGCAATATTGTGTGCCTTTCTAATGCCCATGTCAGGAGACTAGGCACAACCAGAGAAAGGTAATGGGAGTCCATCGCTGGGGTTTGGTTGGTGATGGCAGTCACAGATTAGGGTCAGAATGCGGGATAGGAATCAGGTTAGGAATGAGATCAGTTCTCACAACTCTACCTCTTCTGTCTAAAGAACAATCTGGAGAAAAGGCGAGAGTAGATTAATATAAAATTAATCGGGAATGCCAGACAAAGGACGGTGACAAAGAGAAGGGAGGCCCAAAGCAGCCTCTTTGAATCTGTAAGGCGGGTCCATTATGCTCAGAAGTGCTGCAAACTAAAAGTAGCTCTTTTTTTTTCCTTAATTAACTTGTTTATTTATAATGACACATTATAAATAGCTTGTTTTTAAAGGTTTAAATAAATTTGGGTTTTAATCTATGAGGCTGACATTCCTCAAGCAAGCAGTTTCAACCACCCAACTCAGTCTTTATTCCACATTTCAGGGCCACAAACTTGGGAGTCAGATTGAGAGACTAAGTTTCATACATCAGTCATGGTATGACTGATCCCCTCTCCATCAACACTGCACACGCACTGTTCTCCTTAAACACCTGTGGACCATAGTGTGTTGTTGCCACACTCGGCACCTCCTTTTCTTAACAGCTTCTTGGAGAATATGACAAGGGGCTGCCTCCTGAGAACAGAGGGACAAGGGGTGCTCCAGAGCAACAGAGTGCGAGAGGGCAGCGCCTCACTGCCTTCCTCCCTGCCACCTGCTGGCCTGTACCTTTTAGAGGTTGGGCCATACACCGATTTTAGAGTTAAAAATGTGGCCTCCGCACAGGGCAGGACAGATGGGCTAGATGGGACAGACCAATGTGGGGACATGGCGCCAGTGGTACTTAGGCAGGTGGGCAAACAGGCCTCATCAGAGTGACTCACAGGAGTCCAGTGGGGAAGAGCACTTCGCAGAGGAATGCTTTAGGATGAGAGGGCCATCTGAGACCTCTCAAGTATTCAGGCTTTGAGCAGTCTGGAGGCTTCATGCCAGTACCCTACCTTTCCTTTCTGCCCTGTTTTATTCATGGGCAGGGGGTATCCTGATGAAACCCCCTCAGCACACAACCCTAAATCTCCACTTGCTTTTCCTGCCTTCCCACATGGTACGGAGAAGCTTGGAAGGTGCAGCCACTGCTGGGCTGGGTAGGGAACAATATGTCACACCCATCTAGCTCTGCTGTCGTACCTAACACTTCACCAGAGGACCTGAGCCTCTGCTGGCTGCACCCCAGCCCCTCTGCCTTCCCCAAGTGCCACCTGCCCTGGCCAGCCAGCAGGAATTCGGGAAAGCACGCAGGTTTCAGAGTAGGAAGGCAAGGAGCAGCTTCATATCCCTGGATAATTCACTTGACACTCTCAGCTTGCTCCTCTATCATAAAAGAGAGACCACAGTCCCACCTAGCTCATAGGTGGCTGTCAGGGTCAAATGAGTCGACTTTTACACCATGCAAAGAGCTAACAAGTATTATTAGTATCATTAGGGAGTCTGGGAAAAGCATGATGTCTCATCTGTCCCCTTCCCATCATGTGGTATTACACTTGCTGGCAAAGCCAAATTTTAAAAAGCTTTTGTTCATGAGAAACCAGTGCATGCACATATAAACACACCTTCTTTCAGGTAATTCAGGGTTACTACTTAAGTTATTAATGTGAGGGGAAGCATTTTCACCTAAAATGTCTGACCACTGCTATATTGACCCTTGGTCCTTGTGAAATGATCTGTTCTCTCTCTTCTTTTCCAGTACTTGACCTCCTTCCTTCTGGGAGATGGTGGGATTTTCCCAACAAGCTAGAACTAGAGATAAAACTAGGCATATTCCAGCAAAGCAGGCATGGCCAACACTCTACCTGAGCCACGTGCAGTCTGTGCCCTGCATGGACATACTGGGGGCATACAGACAGCAGACTGCCCTGCAAGGGCCTCCTCCCCAGCCACCAAGATGTCTAGTCACAAGTGCAGAGGGAGGGAGTCGGTGCTGAAACCTGAGGAAGCCAAGAGAAGCAGGAAATATATGCACCACCTTTCCTTCCACCTCCCACTTGATTTCTGCCACTGAAAATGTCTTTCATCATGCATGATCAGTGGATAAAGGTGAAAAGGGTGGGGGCTAACATTATTGCAGTTACACCCATGCATAATTTTTTTGTGTGTGACAGAGTCTCACACTGTCGCCCAGGCTGTAGTGCAATGGTGCAATTTCGGCTCACTACAGTCTCTGCCTCCTGGGTTCAAGCAATTCTCCCGCCTCAGCCTCCCGAGTAGCTGGGACTGCAGGCGTGCACCACCACATCCAGCTAATTTTTTTTGTATTTTTAGTAGAAATGGGGTTTCACCATGTTGGCCAGGATGGTCTCGATCTCCTGACCTCGTGATCAGTCCGCCTCGGCCTCCCAAAGTACTGAGATTACAGGCGTGAGCCACCACGCCCAGCCCACTCATACATAATTTGTATATAACTAAACCTAGAAGCTATTGACTGTCACAAGATTCTAGATTTGGTCCTAAACTCATTAATATACTTATAAACAAGGGTAAGACTTAAGAAAAAAGCACTGGTCGGGTGTTGTGGCTCACCCGCACCTGTAATCCCAGCACTTTGGGAGGCCAAGGCATGCAGATCATGAGGTCAGGAGATCGAGACCATCCTGGCCAACATGGTGAAACCCGGTATCTATTAAAAATACAAATATTAGCCAGGCATGGTGGCACACACCTGTAATCCCAGCTACTCAGGAGGCATATCTGACTTAGCATATCAAAGATCACTTGAACCCGGGGGGTGGAGGTTGCAGTGAGCCAAGATCATGCTACTGAACTCCAGCCTGGTGACAAAGCAAGACATCTTTAAAAAAAAAAAAAAGAAGAAGAAGAAGAGGAAAGGGTTACCAATTGTGCAGGTGGCACTAAGCTAGGAAGGAGAGGGAATATACTGGATGAGGAATCATGAAGTGAAAGTTTCTCAGCATGAAGCAATCATGTAATGAAATTAAAGTAAAATCATTTTAAATCTCACACTGTATACATCCTTAGATACAAATATAGATACAAGTCATATTATTCCCAAGTAATATACTCTTGAGACAGGTCAATCACACTGATTGAAGAAAAAGAGATTTGCCTTGACAGAGGTCACAGGAACTGACTCAAAAGTTATATATCTGGTGAATCCCACCAGAGACTCAGGTTATAGCCTCAGAAACCCATTTAAAGACAGTTTGCCATTTGCTTGAAGGCTTGATGAACGCTTGTGATTAATCTTAGGAAGCTTATCTGTCAAAAGAAGATGAAATAATCAGGGGCAAAGGACTGAGAACCATAAAGGAAGGTGAGAAATTTAATATGAAAACAAGAACACCAGGGGTGTGGGGGTTACGTGAGTCCTTGAAGAACCATTCTTTGAATGAGAATTCAGACAAGTCCACATACTCCAGGTTACTTTAGAGAACAGGAGTAGGGCCCCTTCCCAGGGGTCACAGGGACTAAGACTCCATTAAGACATTTCTTTTAATCCTTGCTGTCCCAAAATAGAAAGCACTGCTGTGGGAGGTAGTGGGGCAGTGAGACAGTGAGTCAGTGCATGGCAGCATGGGCCGAGTCAGATGTTGTATGTGGATTTGCAAACTCAAAGATGTGGGTTTCAGATGCTCTATTTCTCTGCTATGCACATTATTCCCTTATATACAATGTCCATGATCTAATAAGGAAGGCAATATGATGTGGTGGTTAAAAGTCCAGTGTCATTCTACCCAGACTTGAATCTCAGCTCTGCCTCTCACTGACCATGTGACCAGAGTGATCATGAACAAGTTAGCTAACTGCCCTGGACCACAGTTTCTCCATCTCCAAAATAATGATGACATAAGCATCTACCCACGAATCCTCTGTGATGATTAAGTGAGTTCATGTGCAGGACGCACAAGAAACAGTGTCTGGCACATAGGAAATACACAAGTTCGCAATTTATTATAACTCTGCAATCTTCTCAGCCACTCTGAAGATTCCTGGTCATCCATTCTGGGCACAATGTGACATTTACCTGAGCAGAGAGGAGAATGGTACTAGGAGATGAGGGGGACTTGGTGCCTAAGATTACTACAAACAGACCAGGCTCACACCTGTAATCCCAGCACTTTGGGAGGCTAAGGAGGGTGAATCACGAGGTCAGGAGTTCAAGACCAGCTTGGCCAACATGGTGAAACCCTGTCTCTACTAAAAATACAAAAATTAGCTGGGTGTGGTGGCAGGCGCCTATAATCTCAGCTACTCGGGAGGCTGAGATGGAAGAATCTCTTGAACGTAGGAGGTGGAGGTTGCAGTGAGCCGAGATCACGCCACTGCCCTCCAGCCCAGGCGACAGTGCGAGACTTTCTCAATAAAAAGAAAACAAAGAATTACTACAAACACATAAAGAACAGCACCGTATGGAGCAAAGGAGAGCAGCTGGAGAATCTTCTCATTCGGAGATGCATGAGATTTCAAAAACCTGCTACCACTGGCAGTTATTTCTGCCCACAAATCACCCTAAAATGCAAATCCCATCACTATGGCTAGCAAAGGCCTGGCATATGGTTCCTGTAGGCTAGGAAGCAGTCTCCACCAAGGACGGTGCTGGCTTCTCGGGTTCCTCTCCCAGATCCACAATCCGGATGGTGTTTTCCTTCTTGGAAAGCCAGAAGGCAGCGTAGACTGGCTCTGAAAACTTGCAGGCGAACTTGTGAACCAGAGTCATAGCATCATACTCTATGCCATAGAAGGAAAGGATCCCTCCTGGGAAGTCGACATAGACCCCGAGCCTACGGAAAGGGCCGGATTTGAGCGGGGTCTCCATGTCACCGTGCCAGGCCGTGAACTCCTTCCCGTTACATTGGAGGCTCCAGGAGAAGTTGTTCCCGGAAATGCAACTGTTGCGCTCCTCCCCTTTCCGGTCGATGCCTTTACAGGTCAGGCCAACATAGGCGCCTGCCCCGAAGATCTCCACCTCAAAATAGTACCTGTGCAGGTACAGACTCTGCTGGGACAGCACCTGCCGCCAGTGCAGGAACCTGCTGGGGAGGTCCGGGTAGGGGTGCTCCCAGGGTGTGGTGTTGGTGACTTTGCGGTTGTCCTCCTGCAGCCGGAGATACCTGTGTGCCGTGTCCGGGTCGAACGTGATGTCGTGCGCATCTGGGGATACACAGAAGGCAGAAGAATGGTTCGGGAATTGACAGCTGATTCAGACAGAACACTTTAAACCCAGCTGGGCTCCAAAGCACATAGAAGAAAGCATCCATTTCTCTGTTCTCTATTTACCCAGGCTGCTATTTCCCTAGGAAAAGAGCTGAGTGGTCCTAATCTCATCAATATATTTATCAACAAGGATAATACTTAAGAAAGTCTTATGAAGATTCCCCTTATGAAGCTCAGATTGCTTGACATTGATGACATCATTTGATGAACTGAATCAAGAAATAGATTAATTTACATTCATTCATTCAGTCAACAAACATGTATTTAAAGTATTTGAGGAAGCAGGTACTCTTATACCCACATTTGATCCATTCATTCATTTTTAAAAATCTTTGACCAATATCTTAAAAGTGAACCAATGGATCAAATGGAGCATGATGAACTCTCAAACATGCCCTCATATTCCCCTCCCAATCCCAAAGAATAAAAGTATCTCATGCACCCCATTGCTCAAGTCAAGCTCTGTGTTATTTTTGACATTTGTTTTGCCCTCAGTCTCATCCCCCATCCTCACCACACACACAGGCAACAGCAACGCCTATAGATTCTACCACTTCTCTCCAGACCCCTGCTTTACCCCCACTAAGCCATCAGTCATCTCACTTGGACTAGTGCAATGTGTTCCTGACTGGTCAGTCATTGCTCTCTCTTGTCCCCTTGAAGACCTTCTCCACAACAGAGCCATGCTGCTTGTTTCAAGCTGTAGGCTAAGGCCAGTCATGTTGTTCCAGCTTAAAACCCTTTCATGGTGCCCTCTGCTCTTACAATAAAGCAGTGACCCCTTGCAATGACCTACCAGGCGCCACATCCCCAGTCCTTTCCTGTGTCTGTGACGCACTCCCTTGATTACTGCATTCCTGCCATGCTGACCTCAGACCTACTCAGCACTCAACACCCGCTTTGGGCTTTTGGCACAGCCTGTTCCGTCTGAGACATGATCATGCCCTACTCTGAGTCTGGTGATTCCTACTGATCTGTTCAGGCTGCAACTGAGAGTTCATGTCCTTGAAGAGGCCCTCTGTGACTCTAAAGCACTTTCTCTCAGAGCACCATGGCTTTTTAAACTTGGTACCCCTCCCCATTTATAACAGTATATTCGTGTGAGTGTTTGTCCTCCCTCTAATCTATGAGCTTCACATTTTGCACGAGATTCTTCTCTACCTCAGAGAAGATGTTCAGTATATATTTACCAAATGAATTAGCACATTAAAGACTATTTAAAAATCCCATAATTGGCTGGGTGTGGTGGCTCACGCCTGTAATCCCAGCACTTTGGGAGGCCAAGGCAGGTGGATCACGAGGTCAGGAGATTGAGATCATCCTGGCCAACATGGTGAAACTCCGTCTCTGCTAAAAATACAAAAAATTAGCTGAGCATAGTGGCACGCACCTGTAGCCCCAGCTACTTGGGAGGCTGAGGCAGGAGAATCACTTGAACCAGGTAGGCAGAGGTTGCAGTGAGCCGAGATCACGCTACTGCACTCCAGCCTGGGCAACAAAAAAAAATACCATAATTTAAAAAGTTCTCGCTGGATACAGAGGCTCATGCCAACACTTTGGGAAGCTGAGAGGAGAGAATCACTTGAGGCCAACAGTTTGAGACCAGCCTAGGCAACATAGGAAGCCTCCATCTCTACAATTGTTAAAAAAAAATTTTTTTTTTAAATTAGCCAGAGGTGGTGGCACGTGCTTGTGGTCCCAGCTACTCAGGAGACTGAGGAAGAAGGATTGCTTGAGCATGGGAGCCACGCTGGAGCCACTGCACTCCAACCTGGGGAGGAGACGGAGACCCTATCTCAAAAAATATACATACGTACATACATACATATTTATACGTCTACATGTTTATATATGTAAACATACAAAACATGTTTTAAGTGACTGTTTATATCAATTAACAGAAACCTATCACTAATTAAGTTCTTGAGGAATCAAAAGCTACACATGGATTTTTAACTATATGAGGGATTGGTATCCCAACCCCCATGTTGTTCAAGGGTCAACTGTACAGTGTTTTAAAAATGCTAATGGGCCAAGTCAATACCACTTAGAGACAGGTTACTGACTTATGCAATTCTGGCCAAGCCATACATAGAAATGAACCACTTGGTAACTAGCCAGGAATCTTCAAAGTGCTATGGTCATGAAAGACAAAGATTGAAAGACTGATCCAGATTGAAGAGGACTAAGGAGACATGGAAATATCTATGATCTTGGTTTGGACTTTGGGCCAGAAAAAAGGGCATTGATGAAACAGTTGGTGAAAGCTGAATAAATTCTGTAGATTAGTTGATAGCATTGTAACGATGTTAATTCCCTAGTTTTGATCAATGTATTGTAGTTATGTAAAGTGTTAACATTAGGAAAAACTGAGTGAAAGATACATGGGAATTCTTTGTCCGATTTCTGTAATATTTGTGTAAGTTTCATATTACTTCAAAATGAAAAGTTAAAAGAACTGTTATTAAATTTTAAGAAGTATATGATTTAGGGATAGACATGAAGTTGCAAGAGACTGAAACCCATATGAGAGATGGCAGTTCTTACTTAGCAAAGCGCTGCACGGATATCAACAACTGGAGAAGGGGGTGCGTTCACAACTTACATTGGAGGAACTGTTCCCTGGTGCTGGGCTCAGGTTTTGAAGTCCAGTATTTGCGCTGAACAACAGCAGACACTTGAGTGCTGATGTCATACTCCTCTAGAAAACCAGAGAGTTGTGAATGCACACCTGTGCAGGTGGTCAGGAGACTCTGTGAATCAGGACTTCCCAGCCACCCTTCCCTGGGCTTCCTGGGGAAAGAAGGGGCTGAAGCCTACTAATGTCTCACAGAAATATGCTCGATAGACTACAGTCCTTTCATAGGTAAGGCAGAAACCACTGAAAAAGTGATCCAGACTGTCTTGGATTTAACTTAAAAGTACAGGCACCAGCAACCTGAGAAGCCAGTCATAGAAATGCCAGCCAATGGTATAATATAAGCATGACTAACTGACCTTCTCTGGGTCTCAACTGTAGAACAAAATCATCAAGAACAGAGTCCATGGGTATCACAGCTTGTCAGAAGGATGGCTTTGAAAATGAGACATTAGGCTGGGCGGGTGGCTCATGCCTATAATCCCAGCACTTTGGGAGGCTGAGGTGGGCAGATTACTTGAGGTCAGGAGTTCGAGACCAGCCTGGTCACATGGTGAAACCCCATCTCTACTGTCTCTACTAAAAATACAAAAATCAGACAGGCATGGTGACAGGTGCCTGTAATCCCAGCTACTAGGGAGGCTGAGGCAGAAGAATCTTGAATCTGGGAGGTGGAGGTTGCAGTGAGCCAAAATCGTGCCATTGCTCTCCAGCCTGAGCAACAGAGTGCGACTCTGTCTCAATTAAAAAAAAAAAGAAAGAAAAAAGAAAATGAGATATGAGATATTCACCCTGATATCATCTTCCCTTCCCTGTCTCTCACCTTCCTATCATCTACTGCTAGAGACATACCCGCCATAGCCCATGGCCCAGAAAGCATCTCACCTTCCTTGGCAAACTCCTGGAGCTTTTCCTTATAGTTCTCCAACAACTGGATTAAGTGTACTGTGGAGTCCGTGATGACTTTGCGGATGCCCGAGAGTTTATCCTTCAGCCCTATGTAAACACTAGGGAAGGTGATGTCTTCGGTATTCTTAAACTTGCAGTATTCCTGCAGAAAAGAAAACAGCAAAACTTGCTGTGGTTTCTGTATTCTAAAATCAGATTTCTCTCTTCATTAAGTCACTTTTCGCATCTGTAAAATGGGCTGACGGTATTGTGCCCTTCACAAAGAAAGTACGTGTAAAATTTCAAGCTCAGGGTCTAACAAAATAGAAAGCACTTTTCTAATGTTGCAGAATATACTGGAGACCGGAGAGACCAATGGATGAAACAGGAGGATTTTATTAAGGTGGCCACTGGCTCAGCAGATTAGGATCCCAAGGCTGAGCAAAGGAGAAAGAAAATGGGGTATTTTTTAGACAATCAAGATGAGGTAGCAGCTAACAGGTTTCCAGAAGCCAGAACAAAGAACAGTTAATTAATTTGCAACATGTAGTGCTGTACATTACATTTGAAAAGTAGCATTTTGAGAAACACACTGTACATTCTTTGGATGTTATCTTGCCCTGTGACCTTGCAACTGGTCAAGAAGAAAAACAAGAGTCTTGAGATGCCTGGGAACTTTGCTGAGAATGTGGGGAGAATAAATAAGGTTAAGTTTTACAGGGAGTTAGTTCACTTTAAGAAGAGCTGGGGGTTAAGTTTTATATTAAACAGCATACAACACAGCAAAATTTATTATATAGCAGCTATAAATTATAAGGGTTTGTTTTTACTATTATTGCTATTATTTCCCTTCTTCACTAGCTGTTAGGCCCTCAAAATAAGTGGGATTTTAAAAAATCAAGTGAGAAAGCAGGTTTTTAAATATCAAGATATACTAGATAGCCATGAACAGTTCCAATACACAGTCCAGACTGGGGACCAAAAAATAAAGAACATTCTTACTTGGTTCATTCTGTCAATACTTGTTTTTTGATAATTTTTAAACACAAACCATAGTAGGAAATGGAGGAGCTCTCAGGCAGGAGCGCTACCTCTTCCTTGTCAATTTCATCCAATGCATAAATTTCTGTAATGCCTGTACCTTGCTTTAGCATTTACAAAGTGTTTTCACACAAATAATCATAGTTTCACCTAAGTTTCCAAACAATGTGTTATCAGGAAGGATGCTTTCAGATATAACACAGTATCAAACTTCAGCTGCAACTGAAGCATTAAAGAGCAGAGCAGGTGTAGAAGAACACATAGCAAAACCATAGCAATTAAAAGAGTTGTATGAAAATGATTAGATAGAGCCACAGAAGTAAAAACCAGAGAATTGATAGCAAAAGGGTGATTCAATATTTTAATGCTATATTCTGTACATGACAAAAGCAGCATTTATAATCAGTGGGAGAAAGGATGAGCTACTCAATAAATGTTGTTTTGAATGCCTAACCAACAATCTGGGGGGCAATGTTACCTTTTACCAAAATAAATAAATAAGTTATCTTACACTAAAATTTATTTTATATGTATTAAAGTCTTTTACATTAAAAATAAAGTTACGAAAGAAGAAAACATAGAAAAATAATTTATATATATATATATATATATATTTTTTTTTTTTTTTGAGACAGAGTCTTGCTCTGTTGCCAGGCGCCAGGCTGGAGTACAGTGGCACTATCTCGGCTCACTACAACCTCCGCTTCCCGAGGCAATTCTCCTGCCTCAGCCTCCCGAGTAGCTGGGACTACAGGCATATGCCACCATGCTCAGCTAATTTTTTTACTTTTAGTAGAGACAGGTTTTTGCCACGTTGGCCAGGATGGTCTCGAACTCCTGACCTCCTGATCCACCTGCCCTCCTGATCCACCTGCCTCAGCCTCCCAAAGTGCTGGAATTACAGGCGTGAGCCACTGTGCCAGGCCAATTTATATACTTTTTGGGTAGGAGAATCTGGAGGGAAACTTGTGAGGCAGGAAGCCAAATGCTTATTCATAGTTTGTTTTGATATTGAAAAGCACAGAAAGAGAAACACTGTTGGTGTTTTTGTCTTTCTCAGCTTCTCTTTTATTCATTCGGAAGTTAACTATGTTGCATTTGTGTATTGGGATTACTGATAATTTTTTTCCCTCTTTTTTTGTATTTTCCAAGTATTTTAACAATAAACATTTATTTTTTCTAACTAGCAGAGAATTTTTTTTTAATGCAAGCAAGAAAAAAAATCCTATTTCAGAATACTGAAGCTTGGATGGAGCCTTCTGAATTATTTACTTCAGTGGGCTTGTAGATAAATGAGAAATTTGAGACCCAGAGAGGTTAACAGCAGAGCTGTTTAGTGACAGATTTAGAAGGATGGTGTTTACCCCCAACCTAGTGTTCCTTCCCTGAAAAGTTACATGTTCTTCAGATGGGCTCCAATGGCTTGGCGTTTAATGTCTATTGATACATTGTAATGAAAAGCATTTCCTCTTCCCAGCCTTCTTCAATTATTCCAGCCACAGCCCTCTCTGAAGCAGGGCTCCAGTCTTATCCCTACCAAGCAAACCTCCATGCAGCAGACTGCTGGAGTGGTTTATAAAACATACTCACTGACTCATCACTCTCCCATCTGAAGCCCTTCCCAGCCAGACACCTGCCTGGCCATGCCAGCCTCATCACTCTGCACCTAGCATTCCAGGCTCCACCCTTGTTAAAGTACCTTGGCTCCCCAAGTCAGCTATGCTTCCCTCTGCCTTTGCATATGTTGTTCCCTCTACCTGGAACTACTGCACATTGAACTGACTGATCTTCCAGGACCTGCTTCAAGCTTCCCTGCTCTGAGCAGTCCTCCCTCCCTACCCCTTCTATACTCTGCTGAATGAAGAATCTGCTTCTGTCTGTTCCACAGCTTCCTGTGCACACCATTTATCAAAAGACAGTTCCATTCATAAATGGCCATGAGCCTAGCACAGCAGGGGCGCTCTGAGGTGTAGCTGTGGGATACCTCTGTCCCCTCACCCCCCATACCTCCAGGAACTGGACAGTGTTGCTGATGGCTGCCATCCTTTCCAGCTCTTGCTTGCTTTTCTCCATCTCGGCACTCCTGTACTCCAGGTGGGTCTTGATGCCATTGGCCTGGCTCAGAGCAGCTTGCTCCTTGTCCTCCAAGAAGAGCATCACATTGGTCTGGGCCTTCCTCACAGCATCAAGGAGTTCCCCAAACTGCATCTCAGCCACTGCTTTGACCTCTGACACCGACACCTGGTTGGGGGGCAGGGGTTGAAGGCAGCCAAGCACCTGTTAGTGAGGTGTCCAACTTTATAGAAGCTCAACATAAAGAAATGTCAGCTTGAGAAACCCAAATATTAGGGAGCAGTTTTCTATTGTAAAAGGAATCCTTTATTCTCATGTGAATTCCAGGTTCCTGGAAAAAGGATTTACTTATTAACTTGGTCTCCTCATCCAACTGATGAGAAAGTGAACTCCTCTGTGACCTCCAAGCTCCCTTATATAAGCCCTGACACTGTTAATCAAGTTTCTGAAATTGATTTTCCTACCAGAGCAATGCGTGTGTTCAGCCTACTTGATAGTTATATTTCAAGAAGCAAAGAATTTGGCTTTTTTTGCACAATCAGTAGCATGAATCAGCTTTCTTAACATTTCATTATGCCTGGTCAAACTGACCACTGAGTCCATCAGAGGCAAATGCATGCCTAAGACGATACTGTCTCTACCACACACAGAATCCCCATAAGATGTTTAGGGTGTGTGTAGATGACCACGGCACCAAGCAACTGCAGGACAAGCATATATGTGCAGAACAGAATGTGACATTCAAATAAAATACAAAAGAACACCCATGTGAGAAACCCTAAGGGTTTGAATGATGGAGCATATGCATGTGGACGCTTCCACATGGTCAGCATCCTCTATGAATGCCTTCAATCAACATCGTGTTTACAACATCCTTCCAAATTCTCAAGGTTTCCATTTCTCTGGTATTCTTAGGAATTGGTGCAGACAGCTCAAACTGATATTGCCATAAATCTACACTAATTACCTTGTTATATTTTATACAGAAGTCTTGCATAAAATTTCCCTTGCTCAGACTCCCTTCACTCCCCCATCTCACAGCCCAAAGCCCATTCTCTGCCTGCCTCAGTCTACCTCATTGTTCCCACCCAGCCCTATCCCATCTGAGACTTTCTGAGCACCCCTCCAGCTGCTGTTTTCTCTTTCTCCTCCCAAGGTTAAGGGCCAGCTCTGAACATTCAGGGCTGCAAAATGATTCCGAATAGCAGATGTCCTTGGGCAGAGGCTTCAGGAGCACCTCTCACCACTGGCAAGAAAGGAGAGAGGCAGAGAGGGTGGAAGAATGAGACTCAGATCAAAAAGGGGCACCTAGTAAGGAGAGGACTCAGAAAGGATGGGACTCTGGGCCCAGGCTAGATGGGAACCTAGAGGTTTAGAGGGAGATGGGAAGAAAAAATTATAACACCAGATAGGAGGTCTTCTGCCTGACTCAGGCCCACTTAGGCCAGAGCTCAGGAATTCAATGCAGGAGAATGACTCATCTCTTATCAGTCTTCAATCTGGTGGCAAATGGAAGAATAAGCAGCAGAAAGAAAGGTCGCGCCATTGCACTCCAGCCTGGGTAACAAGAGCGAAACTCCGTTTCAAAAAAAAAGAAAAGAAAGAAAGGGGTATCTCTATAGCAGGGAGATGATTCGAAGACAGAGAGACTCTCCCTACAATCTTTCTCTCTCTCTTTTTTCTTTTTCTTTCTTTTTTTTTTTGAGACAAGGTCTTCTCTGTTGCCAGGCTGGAGTGGCACAATCTCGGTTCACTGCAGCTTTGACCTCCTACGCTCAAGCAATCCTCCCACCTCAGCCTCCCAAGTAGCTGAGACCGCAGGTGCATGTCATCATGCCCAGCTAATTTTTATATTTTTTGTAGAGACAGGATCTCACTATGTTGCCCAGGATGGGCTCAAACTCCTGGCCTCAAGCAATCTGCCTGCCTCGGCCTCCCCAAGTGCTGGGATTACAGGTGTGAGCCACCATGCCCAGCCTACATTCTCATTTTTATGCCAACTTTTCCATCACCTGTTGGCTTCCTTGAGGTTAGGCAGCTGGACAGAGATGGGAGCAAATAAGCTATGGTAATAGGATTAAGGAAGAGGGGGGATGGTAGACTTTCTCCAAATTCTTCCAGCCCACACCAAGAAGAACTTTTAGACAGGTGGTGGTGTTGAAAAGCCAGGGCAGCAGGAGAGGCAATTTCGGAAACCCAAGGCTGTCTGGTGTTGTGGCTCCCTCTGGAGCCCTGGTGTTCAGGGCTTGCCCTCACCCTTGGGAGGAGGAAGAGCAGCACCTGAACCAGCTGCTGAGAGAGATCTCAGGTTAGATTGGGTGGGGACAATAGTGGAGAAGGAAGCAGGCAGAGAATGGGCTCTGGGCTGTGGATGGGGGGTTCAGAGCACTGTCTGAAGAGTGAAGACCTGAGAACCAGCAAAGCTACCTGGGCCCCACCCAGGCTTCCCAAGTGGCAAACCCGCTGCCTGGGGCTCTGCCAGGAGCAGGCTCTACAACCCTCAGATACTTCACCTCTCTCCCTCTTCCCACTCACCAGGGAATGAGGACCCTATGCTGCCAGTCTGGTCACTCTTCTAATTATGTAACAATAATCATAAAAGCCACCAACATGTAGTAAGCTCTTACTATGTGCCAGGCACTGTTATCCTAGCATCCCTAAAAGGTAGGTACTATTAGGGTCTCCATTTCTTAGATAAGGAAATTAAGACAGTGATAAATGGACTGATTTGCCCAACATCACACTCCAGACTGTCTCTGGAGTCCATCCCTTTGACCACCATTCTACATTGCCTCGAAGTAGGGCCTAGGATTAGGTATTCACGTGGCTGCAGTATAGCACTTAGCTGGCACAGCCTGACCTCTCCTTCTGGACCTTTGCACATTCACTAGGATGAGCTAGGGAGGCATATGAGAAATTCAGCTGAGCATCAGCCCATGGGCTGTGGCCCTGTGGGGGTTGCAGAGGACATCTACGTTCAGCCCAAGGACATTTAAGAAGCCCTCCCAAGACCAGACAGACAGGTTTTAGCTTGTTCACTGTTGGCACCAGTTATGGGCACATCCTATGCCCATAAATACACAAGCTACTGCTGAGCAGGTAACCAAGAGGGAAAGAGGCCAAGCCTCCACAGCAATTTCTGAACCAAATGTTTACAAGTGTTGCCTCCTTGACATTGTAAATACTATAAATTCTGAGATATTCATCACAACTGGATTTAAATCTAAAAGTTAAATCATATTTCCATATGGCAAAGAAGTGAAGATGACGAAATCTACCTCAGAAGACAGGAGAGTTTTGTTTATAACCATTTGGGAGTGGGGCAAATGGTGGTGGTAGTGTTTGATCCAGGCTCTATGTTAGCTAACATGTCCTAGTTCCCTGGCTTACTCACCCTTCATGCCCACTCAGGCTCCAGATTTCCAGGTTCCAGGAGTCACAGAGGCCTGAGGGTGCTCCCTGCCTGCTCTGCCCACTCCGGATCACCTCCAGAAAGCAGGAGCAGGACACAGCATGGGAACCAGCATGAGGGTGTTGTGGGAAAGGAGCAGAATCCTGTCTCCAGTGATGACTCACAGATTCCTCCTAGAAGCACGATACCATGAGGCTAAGAGGCATGAGACTAAAGACAAATTCAGGATCTAAATCATCACCCTCGGCCCCACTGAGGCCATCTGAGGAAGGATGGTGGAATGGAGGCATCAGGTGATATTGGTGGATTGACTTCTGCTATGGCCTGGCCCTCATTCCTAAACCTTCCCATTGAGAAATACTTCTTTCCTGCATGTAAATGTAATGTGCAAAGGGCATTTACTGCCCAAATGATGACAAGCAGAAATACTAGAGAGGAGAGGCCTCAAACACATCCAAGGAGCCAGGAGGTAACGGTTTAAAGATTTAATGGGGGTGTACATGCCTGTCAATATTCTAAGTCATTCTTAGGTCAAGGGAGCAACAAGCCCAGGTTCTCCCATTCCATCACTCTAGAGGGCTCTAGACAAGTCTTGTCATCTCTCCACATCTTCGCGCCCCTTGTGCATGGTAGCTAGCTATTGCAGTAACTACTACCCCTGGTCATCATGTAATTATGAGAAGTGAGGAGGGATCAACGTGTCTGAAAATTAAAGAGCTGGGAAAATACAAGATCCTCCTAGAGGTTCTCCAAGTTATCTTAAGCCTGGAAATCAGTTATCTCTGAAGGTTTATAAAGGTTTAAGGGGATAATCCTCTTTCTTCCTTTAATAAAATATTGTGGGTAAGAAAGAGGTTTCATCCTTCAGTAGCTAGTTAGTTGTAAACATCCAGGAGGTGAAAATTAAGTTGAAATGAATACATGCTTTAAGGGTAGATGAATGGATGGATGGATGATGGATGGGATCATTCATTCTCAGGATATAAAAATGACAATGCTGATTCACTTCCATAGGGTAAGTGTTTAGCATTCTTTTTTTTTTTTTTTTTTAACATGGAGTCTCACTTTGTTACCCGGGCTAGAGTGCAGTGGTGCAAACTCGGCTCACTACAGCCTCTACCACCTGGATTCAAGCAATTCTCCTGCCTCAGCCTCTTGAGTATCTGGACTACAGGTGAGCACCACCACCATGCCTAGCTAATTGTTGTATTTTTTAGTAAAATCAGGGTTTCACTGTGTTGGCCAGACTAGTCTCAAACTCCTGACCTCCAGTGGTCCACCCACGTCAGCCTCTCAAAGTGTTGGGATTACAGGTGTGAGCCACTGCACCCAGCCTGTTTTGCATTCTCTTCTGAGTGGTGAGTAATGGCTTGCCACTGATGAGAGGCATTTGTAGAACTGCTCAGAGTCTACCTGGAGATCACTTACTGCCTACTTAGCCTGGCACACCATGGTCTTCTGAAATACCATCCCTAATCCTGAGTTTTCATTTTTCCAGCTGCCAGGTCATATAGGACTGGTGAGACTCACATGCAGAAAACCCTTATATAATGGAAGAAGCCAAGATTGTATATGATTTCTAGACCTCTGACTAAATACCCAGCCCTACACACACATACACCCTGTCAAGACAGCACATGCAAATGTAGAAATAAAAATGTTGTTAAAGGATTAGTCTTGGTCCTAATTTATATTCTTAAAAAGCAAATCACTTGCCAGGTTTAACGCTTAAGCTAATTTCATAACATCCTGACATCAAGGTGAGGCTACCCCATGGTGTAGTCAACTGTATCTATAATTCTCATTTGCAGAGAAACCTCGAGGAACCTATAGGCATGGAGGCTAGGCATGCAGTACCATGTCCCATACCCCCAGACGGGCCTGGCTGACCCAGGCTGACCTTACCAGAACGGACTTTTGGTTGGCCTGGAGCCTGGAGATGGCATTTTCGTTCAACTTGAGTTTCCGCTCCAAGTCTAACTGAGTGCACTGGAGTTCAGCCTAAAAAGCAGAAAGCAGAGAATTAAGGAGGAAGGAGCCCGATGCACACAGAAGGACACAGGCACTCTCCACCCCTGATATCCCCATCCTTCTTCCCTGGAAAGAAGTCTAACCTCTGCAACTGATCTCAGAAGTCAGCCAGAAGGCACAAAGCGTGGGCAGTGAGCCTGTGCCCTTCTGGGGCTGTAGTCAGCATGAGTCAGTGAAAACACAGTTAGCACATACTCTGTGCTGCTCACCATTTCAAGAATTTTATAAATTACCCCACACCATCCTTGCCATAGCTATATTAGCTGTAAAACAAAAGTAAAATTCTAAGCCCACCAACCATCTGAATGGACCCCTCCTCGCAGCAAAGGGCATTCCAAAGTTAACCTGAAAAACTAGTTCAGGCCATGATGGGAAGCGGGGGTCAGACATGCCTCATTACACCCTCCTCCCTTCTGGAATTACTGATAGGGCACACTCTTTAAGTCTGATAAGAAACATTTACAATCTGTTCTCTCCAAAACCTCCTACCTGGAAGCTTTACTCACATGATAAAACCTTGGTTTCCACCACTTCGTATCTTAACTCAGACATTTCTAAGTCTTTAGACAATAACTTGACTATTTCAACCAACTGCCTACCAGAAAATCTTTGTATCTCCCTATGACCTGGAAGCCCTGGCTTCCAGTTATCCCACCTTTCTGGACCGAACCAATATATATCTTACATGTATTTAATTGATGTCTCACGTCTCCCTAAAATGTATACTAGGCTGTGCCCCAACCGCCTTGGGCACACATTCTCAGGATCTCCCGAGAACTGTGTCACAGACCACTGGTCACTCACATTTGGCTCAGAATAAGTATCTTCAAATATTGTACAGAGTTTTCCTCCTTTTGTCAACATAGGTAAAAATGATTATTATTTCAAATATATAGGTGATAAAATCAAGCCATGCTTCCAAGTTCATCAATGGAGTTGAGCCTAGGCTGACCCCTAGAGCGCCTAACAGAGAGTGTAGGCTTGAAGCCAGATGGCCAGGTGGGAAGTCTACATTTTTTTTTATTTAGCTGTTGAGACTTTGGGCAAATTTACTTACGTATTTGAAAAACAAACTCTTTGTCTTATACTCACACAACACAGAACACTTTCATAACTGAAATGTGTGGGGTTTTTTCCCACATGAAGCCATTCTCCAACATCACCAGGGTGTCCTAAAACATAACTCAATTCTGACACTCCCTCCTTGGAGATGGAAGAGAGCACAGGGCAAGGGATGTGGGAGGGAAGTGGCAACTCCACTCCCCCTCCAGCTGCGGGGTTGGCATGCTCCAGGGACTTCCACCCCTTCAGCAATCCAGAAGCTCCTGGAAGCCCAGCCTTCTGGGTTTATATGGAGGCTTCATCGTGTGGGCATGACTGATTACATCATTGGCCACTGGTGATCCTTTCAACGTTCAGCCTCACTTCTCTCCCTGGAGGAGGTTGGGGAGATGGGGCTGAAAGTCAAACACCTTAATCATAGGGTTGGCTCCCATGGCAACTAGCCCCCATTCTCAGACTCTCAGGAGCCCCCTCAGGCACCCAGTCATCTCATTGGCATTCAAAAAAGACACATCACTTCAGAGAGTCTTCAGGTTCTAAGAGCTGTTGGGTGCCAGGAAATGGGGGCACAGACCAAACCTAAGTTTCTTATTTCACAACTTAATATCTCTAAACTTCCATTTCGTCACTTTTGAGATGGGGATCAATAAACTGTCTGCTTTATGGGATTAGAAAAGAATGGACTAATCAGATAATGTATGTCAATAAGAACTTTGTATAGTACCTGGGACACTATTAATGAGCTCCATAAATGTCAGTGATTGCCAGCAACGTCATCATCATCATCATTACTCCTGCTACCATGGCTGCTTTCCATTCATGTTCTGTATTCGAAGCCAGAGCCAGCCCTCCCAGCCCAGGCAAGTGCCTGACCAAGAACCTCGGGTTTGCCTGCTTTGGCCCCACCTTCAATCTTGCCTCCTGGGATCCACTAAACACCTTCCACCAAGAGGTATACCAAGGCTCATGTAAGCCTTTGCAAACTTCAAAGACCCTGTCACTTTCCTTCTTCCACAAGGCAATATAGAAAAAGAAAAAAAAAAAAAAGAATAAATAACTTTCACTGCTTTTAATAGCTTCTGTCTGCATTTCAAGCTGTGAGACATTACACCCTAATAGGACTCAGAGGGCATAAACTGTCTCTCCATTCTCCACTGAAGACTGAGGGAATTCCAGGTCCCTTGGGAGGGAAGCCGCTGCAGGCAGAGGACTTGCCTCTCCAGGACATTCTGCAGAAGGCAGGTAATGTTTGCTCAGACTCCAGGTGACTGAGAGTAGAGCTGAGGGAGCTCGAGTGACCTCTCACCCTTGATACCTGAGACCTGATACCTGGGAGTGGGGAGTAGGGGTGAGTCTGGCCTATTTGGGGGCAATCCTGGAATCCTGACCTACGAAAAAGGCTTACACAGTGACCCATTCTAGGAGAGAGAAAAGGAACATGAGCTGCTTGTTTAAAGGCAGTGGAAGACACAACAGAACACACCCTAGCAACAGGCTCCTACGAGGTGGCATCTAAACAGCAGGAACAGAAGAATGTGTTAAAGCAGTTGGCAGCAGCAAGGCCAAAGGGAGGCACCCAGGGAGCATCCAGAGTCAGGGGCTTCTCTCTGCTATTTGCAGACTGCCATAAAAGGAGAGGAAAGGACGCTTGAGCACCTAATGGGGACTTCCTGAGTGAGTCACCCCAAGAAAAAGCACTCCCAATTACCTCAAAAGGTGGAGTCACTTTGAAAGACTTGTTTCTCCAGTTATTCCTGTTCCTAGAAAATGATGGGGTACCTCAGCCTCTGGCTTCAGGGTTTCCCAAGAAGTCAGCCACACACACATTTCAGGTCAGGGTGGACCCTGCATCGAAGTGGGACTGTGGTACCCTTGGGCACAGGGAGCCCCGGAGGGAAGGGCACAGAGAGTCTTGCCCGCTTCAGCAAGATAATGACAAATGTGTCAAAGGCACACTATTAGGGGTCTGAAATATTTTGGGGCCTGCCACTTGCTGGCCATGTGGACTTTGTCAAGTCATTCAAGTCATTTAGCTTCTCATCTGGTACAAGACTACACAAACATGCTAACAGAATGGTTCCTTCTGCTACAGGGCAAAGGTGGCACACAGAGAGTGGTGGCCAGGTCATGTTAGAGATGAAAAAAACAAACAGAGGGATTGGGAAGAGAAAAAAATTCCCAGACTGTGCCAGTTCCTTTGTATTCCAAGCACACAAGGTTAGCCCTTCTAGAGAAGGCAGCACTAGAGTCACCTGGACGCTGCCTGCATTCCTTGGTCTGCTGGTCAAAATTCACCACAGTACATGCCAGCTCAGTCACTTAAGACACACGCTCCCCTCTCTCGAAATACTTACAGCCTGGGAGAATAAGAAAAAACAAGGTATGTAATACTGAGTCCAGGGCATTCCTCAAAATGGCTGAAAGAAATTATTATTATTATTATTTTGAGACAGTCTTGCTCTGTCACTCAGGCTGGAATGAAATGGCGTGATCTCGGCTCACTGAAACCTCTGCCACCCGGGTTCAAGTGATTCTCCTGCCTCAGCCTCCCGAGAAGCTGGGATTATAGGTGCCTACCACCATGTCTGGCTAATTTTTATGTTTTTAGTAGAGACGGGGTTTCACCATCTTGGTCAGGCTGGTCTCGAACTCCTGACCTCAAGTGATCCACCCACCTCAGCCTCCCAAAGTGCTGGAATTACAGGTGTGAGCCACTGCACCCAGACCAAGAATTTCTTTTCCCAAGTGGCTACATACACATATTGTCCATCTTTGGACTACCAGCAAACAGGCTGTGAGTGCTCTCCAGATGCCAGTTAACTGCTCTCCAGATGAGCATGGATACTTTGGCTCTAGATACTTGGCTCTTGCTCACCGTGGAGACTGTCTGCAGTCAGCAACCAGTCCTGAACTTTCTGGGACCGATGCTGAGGTTCAATGTCGTGGCCTGCCATTAATGCTCTCCAAAGATCTAGGATATGGCTCAGTTAGGTCTTGCTGTCTCTAGGAACCTGCCCTGGCCTCACTCCCTCATTCCCAGGATTGGCTCCAAAGGTGCAGTAGTTGCACTATGCCAGCCTTTTGGCACTCCATGGAGTTAGCATATGTGCTTCCTAATTAGAGTCCAAGCTCCTGGAGGCTAGAGAGTATAGCCCAGCACTTAGCCCGCAGGAAGCACTCAGTAACATTTGATACGCCTGAGGAAAAGGAATGAACCATACCTGCTCCATAGATCAGAACAAACAGGAAAGGGGGTCATAGAAGGAGTCCAAATTTCATACAAACAGACACACACACACATACACACACACCACACACACACACACAGTCTCATTTCCACATCGCAAACCTGAGATTCAGAGAAGGTGAGAAGACTTTGCAGCCAGCAGGCAACACCAGCTGCTCTTAAAACCAAAGGGGCCTGGAGATGCAAAAGGAAGTGCTGGGATCACCATGAAAAACAGCTAGGCTCTGAAAGCTCAGCAGGAGAGAAAAGATAGTCAAACCACCTCTCAAAGCACCCAGGGTCTGCCCACCAACATGACTAGAAACCATAGGAGCTTCAGAAAGGGCTCGCTTGGATAACTGAGAAATGAGTCATTCTGTGGACCCTAAGCAGAATCTCGCTGCTTTGTGTCCTCATGGCTGACCCTGACATTTGCAGTTTCCTATACACAGCATGCCTGCCTGAGTAATTAGCCCTTCACACGCCCCACAGTGACCTTCAGCGAGAAACTCCAGCAGGGAGTACTGGGCTTTAGGAGCCTTCGTTTTGTCTGTTGACTTTCAAAATCATGCTGGTGGAGGCAGCAGGCTTGACAAGGTATTGTGTCTTCTAGGCTGATCTCCTGGGCTCCTTGCAAGAAAACTTTTGGGTTCTAAGATTTGGGGGAGCCACTGAGAGGGTGGCTACACTTACAGAGTAAACTTGCTCTCCAAGCCGAAAACAAGGACACAGGATGGGAAGGACAAGAGCTCTTTTAAGCAGACCAGAAAGCAGAGGGGCCTGAGAAGTGGGGCTTTTGCAGTGTACCTAAAGCCATGTTGCTTTTCAGCCCCAAACTGCCCTCAAGCCCATTCCCCAGTTGTCCTCATTTACCTTACACACTTCTCTCCTAGGATGTCTGAATCCAGAGTTTGGCATGTGCTCTACACAACTCCTCCTGCTTGAAATTGCAATTACCCCACATCTCTGTAATACATTAGGTGCCCTATATTTAAAATTTATATTGTATCTCTATTGGTACAGGCATAGAACATTTCTGCAAGGAAACAAGAAAGTATAGACCATATTAGCCTTTGAGGAGAAAAGGGAGGTGTGGTGATCCGGGATGGGCTGGGGACCCTCCTTTCCTAGTAAAATCAATTGCACTGTTTGGTGTAGATGATGATGATGATTATTATTATTACTAGATGATGATTATTATTACTATTGAGACAGAATCTCACTCTGTCACTCAGGCTGGAGTGCAGTGGTGCGATCTGGGCTCACTGCAACCTCTGCCTCCCAGGTTCAAGAGATTCTCCTGCCTCAGCCTCCTGAGTAGATGGGACTACAGTGTGTGCCACCATGTCCAGCTATTTTTTTGTATTTTTAGTAGAGACCAGGTTTCACCATGTTAGCCAGGATGGTCTCAATCACCTGACCTCGTGATCTGCCCACCCCAGCCTCCCAAAGGGCTGGGATTACAGGCATGAGCCACCGCACCCAGCTGGTGGAGATTATTTTTTAACATCTTCATGCATCACTTTTCTAATTACAAATAATACAATTCTTGTATATGTGTGGCAGGTTTTGGTGCAAAAAAAAAAAAAAAGAGGATAATATTGTGCAATTTGGTGCAAAATAAAAAAAGAGGACGGCTTTCCAGAGGCTTCCATTCCTCACTCTGTGACTTAGGTGACTCTGAGCTTGGACAAGTGTGGTGGAGATAATGAGGATACGAGATAACTTCAGTTATTTGAAGACTGGGTGAGAAAATCCACAAAAACCATTTAGCACATGGCAACACTCAATGCAGGCTATTTTCCTCAGCTTTAAGGAGCTTTTTCCTTTTATCAATTTCTTGATCTACCTGCCCTCCTGAAGGGACATTCCCTACCCTGGAAACAGTTTGCAAGTGGCTTCCCGGGCCGGAAATGGTGACTCACTGGCATCTGGAATATAGAGGTTTCCAGAACAATCCCACTAGCACCAGCTAAAATCTATGTCTAGGGATTGACAGAGAGAAGGGGCCCTGGCAAGGAGACCCCCTTTCCCAGAAACCCCTTTCCTTTGATGCCAGGGAACATTTGCCAAGAAATGACGATAGGTCTGCCATCTGCAGGAAATGTAAACAGGAAACTTCCTTGATTATGAATGTAAGAAATGTGGGACAAAAGTCAACTACACTTCCCTACTGAAAACTAAAAGTGTTCGAAGAAAGTCAGAGTAGAAGAAAAAAAGCACAAAAGTGCCAAATCCATTTCAAGGAACTTCTCCAGGATCTAGCTTTAGGGCAAAGAAAAACAAGTTGTTCTAGAAAGTTTCCTTATCTGATGGAAATAAAACAACAGGCTATGAGCATGATGTTTCTTGGTCTCTCCTGACACCTCTATCTGGTGAGGAACTTTTATTTTCCCTAAGCCTCCTGTGACATTATACCTGAACCTAAGTTTCAAATTCTCTGCTATCTTAGCACTTTTCAAGCTCTTAGATTTCCTGTTATCTCCAGAGGGGCTCATTCTACTCGTCTCTTGTTTGGGGTAAAGAGAAAAAGAGAAACGAGGAGAAAGAGTTGTTCTTTTCTCTTTAATTTCTGCCAAGGTTTTATTTCATTAATTGACAATGGATGTGCCATGTGGATCTAGCCAGAGGGACGTATCACCACCCTAAGCCCCACAACTTCTGCACTTTCCACCCAAACACACATCACCAAAAGCTGTATGAGACACAGAAGGAAACTAGCAAGCAGGAGGAGAGACAGACACAGAAAGATTGCACAGAGACAGTGCGATAGAGATGGGGACAGAGCAACCTACTCCACAGTTTCCAAAATCAAGTGCAATGTATATTTCCACTGATCCAGCAGGCAGACGCTGAGGCTAAAGTCCTTTTCAGGTACACTCAGAGAATAGCAGTGGCATCGGTGGACCCAGTAGCTGCAGCCAGCAGGGCACACCTTCCCCCAGCACCCTCTCCCAAATGGAAGAATGGACCCCAAGCACTCACCTCCTTGTCCCTACGGGCTGCATCCAGGGAGAGTATGGTATGGCCACTGTGCTCCTGGCAACAGTCCTGGCAGATGCACTGCTGATCAGGGCAGCAGAAGGCAGACAGTGGGCTGTGGTGGGCAAGGCAGTATCTCCAGTTGTGGTCCCTCACTGGCTCGGTCAGCAGGTGGCTTTGCAGTTTGATGTTCACCTGATGCGGCTGCAAGTGCTCTTCACAGTAATTCACCATGCAGGTCAGACAGGACTTCGCTGCCTTCACTCTTCTGGTGTCATCGAGGCAGAAGTCACACAGGACCTCTTCCTTCCCCTCACCAGCAGGATCCCCCTGCTTTGCAGAGTCACTGTCCTGTTCCTCTGGCTCCCTGACAAGCTTCTCCGAGAAGCCCACGTCCTCTTCTTCCGCTGGGCTGGCTGACCCAGAATCTGGGCTAGGTGACCCAGAGTCTGGGCTGAGAGGGGCTGGGGGCTGAGCAGTGGCCCTGGGCAGTGGCCCTGGAGCGATCAGATCCAACTCAGCCATCTTGGAAGCTCTGCTCCTAGGCTGTCTTTCTTCTGTCCCTTGGCCCAGGATCTCTGCAGTCCCAAGTCAGACAAGAGAACCACGCCTAGATGACTGCAGCTGCTGCAAGAATTTAACTGTTTGCTTCCTCCCAGAGGAAGCTCAGTCTCTCATTACTGTGTCCTGGGGTTGGATGGCAGCCAGATGCGATGACAAGGCAGCTAGATTACTCAGGCTCAGGCTGTCTCCTCAGGTCCAGCCCTGAAATTTCTATTCTTATATAAATCATCTGTACCCCATAGGCTCTGCTGAAGACCATGTGTCTCTGTGCTTGCTCTGGAAAGGACTGGAGATTCCTGAGCTCTGTTATAAGCCTGTGTGGCTTTGTGTGATCTGACAAACTACAATTTTGTTTTCTTTTTTTAAAGAGATGTAAAATGTAAGGACTTCAACAACAGGAGAGCCATTAATCCACTCCCATCTCATAGAACTGGACATGAGGCAGCTACAATAGGATGCCTGCTCTTTTTTTTGAGACAGAGTCTCACTCTGTCCCCCAGGCTGGAGTGCAGTGGTGCTAATTGGCTCACTGAAACCTCTGCCTCCTGGGTTAAAGTGATTCTCCTGCCTCAGCCTCCTGAGCAGCTGGGATGACAGGTGCCTGCCACCATGCCTAGCTCATTTTTGTATTATTAGTACAGACAGTGTTTCACCATGTTGGCCAAGCTGGTCTCCAGCCCTTGGCCTCAGGTGATCTGCCCACCTTGACCTCCCAAAGTGCTGGGATGACCGCACCCAGCCAGCATGTATGTTTCTGATGCTGACCTTTCCATATCATCATCCTGAACATTCGAGTAATGTCCGTCATACTCCGGGAGATGAACATCACGTGGGTACTCAGTGGAGATCAGGAGTGTCAGGGAAGACTTTGTCTCCTTCCACAGAAGGCTCCATTCAGCCCCTTTAGGTTAACAGTCCTTTTGCCCACTTGACAAAACATTCCTAGACATGGTGTTATAGTTGAGACATTTGTTCCCACAAACCTCATGTTGAGATTTGATCCCCAATACTAGAGGAGGGGCCTGGTGGGAGGTGTTTGGGTAATGGGGGTGGATCCCGCCTGAATGGCTTGGTGCCATCCCCACAGTGATGAGTGAGTTCTCGTTCTATTACTATTAGCTGCCATGAGATGTGACTGTTAAAAAGAGCCTGGAACCACTCCCTCTCTTGCTTCCTCTCTCTCCATGTAACCCTGCCCATGCTGGCTCCCCTACCCCTTCCACTGTGGATAGAAGCAGCCTGAGGCCCTCACCAGAAATAGAGGCCAGCACCATGCTTCTTATACAACCTCCAAAACCAAAGAGGTCTTTGGCCAAAAGACCTCTTTTCTTTATACATTACCCCCACCTCCTCAGGTATTCCTTTACAGCAACACAAACACACTAAGCCACACAGTGTATGAGTTCGCTAGGGCTGCCATAGCAAAGAACCATACACTGGTTGGCTTCAACAATAGAAATTCATTTCCTCACACTTCTAGAAGCTGGACCAAGTCATTGGCAGGGCTGCTTTCTTCTGAGGCCTCTCTCCTTGGCTCACAGGTGGCTTCTCCTGTGTCTTCACATGGTCTTCCCTCTATACATATCTGTGTCCTAATCTCCTCTTCTTATAAGGACACCAGTGAGCCTAGATTAGGGCCCACTCTCTACTGCCTATTTAAAGACTCCATCTCCAAATACAGTCACGTCTGAGGTATTAAGGGTAAGGATTCCAACATACACATTTGGAGAGGGAGACACAATTCAGCCCATCACACATGGTCAGGGGACAAGATTGGAAGCCTCTAGTTCCTTAAAAGGAGTTGCTAGGCATGACTCCTAGATGGGGGTACACATTTGCATTTGTACCCCCATTTGTAGGTGGATACAAAGGAATCCAGGATTATTCCAGGATACCTGGACCCCAAATTCTGTATCCTAGAGTTTTCTACAGCTTTTCCAGGATTACTGAATCAGATACATTTGAACTGAACTCAAATGGATTTGGAAGGTGAATGGAACAGAGAAAGATCAGGTGTAGAGGGAGAGGTCAGATCCAGCTAGCCCCAGGGATCAGGCATTAGGATGGTTCCAAGATATTATACTCCCTATTGCTCTGCAACCCTGGGGTGAGCTCTACAGGATTTGGATGAAGCTAGATAAACACAGGGATGTTTCTCGTCACTGACCAGGACTTTTCAGAAATCCAAGAAACCCAGTGACTACTCAGATTTGGAAGACAGAGACTTTACAAGTTCATCCCAGACACAGTCCTGTTTATGTTCAGCCATGCATAGTATATGCGTAAGTAGCCTTTTTTAGCAATGTAACACTTCCTCAGTGTCCCTGTCCTGACTGCCCTCTTCCACTGCTGAAGAACCTCAGAAGTTTCCTTCTTTCTGATCCTGGCTAGGGTCAAAACATGCATCCTATTCCTAGCTGCCTCAGGTCCAGTTCTATGGATGGGGAAGGAAAGGATAAATGGCTGTCCTGTCATTTAAGTCCTTATATTTTGGGTCCTTTTTAAAAATTTAAAAAAAATAAATGTAGCTTGTCAGACCACACAAAGCCACACAGGCTTCTACGAGAGCTCTGGAATTTAATTTCATGGTTTTCATGTCTCCAGCCAGGAGGACTGGTTTCTCCCAGTCCAGACCATTCTCAGTGCTTTCTCCAGTATTAACAGACGGTGTGCTTTCCTTTTAATCCCTTTTTCAGAGTGACCTGGTACTGGAGGCTGAACTGGTTTACCCACATGCCACAGGGCCTCTGATCTGAGAAGGGGGAAGAAAAGGTGGTTGCCCTCTCTGGCCCTTTCTACAGCTTCAGTAGAAATCAGAAGGCATAGGGCCTGCTTGGGTTTCCACGTGGCTCACTTCTTCCCTCCCTATCTCATTCCCACCTTTTCTTCTCTAATGCATTGTTTCATGCCTGCCCCTTCTCTATGGCTAACCCTTTTAGAGCAGTTCATGGGTGTGCTCAGCCCTTCATCAATGCCCCCACTGAAGCCCTGAGCTAGCAGACATTCCACAGTAGTGTGGAAAACAGGAAAGTGAATGTGGGCCCTGGCCTGGCCCAGCCCAATCATTTGTCCTCTCTTAACCTGAGTTTCCTTGTCCATGAAATGAGTATGCTGGCCTAAGTCAGGGCCAGTAAATCAATTTCTAGTTTGGCCTACTGAGGAATTATGTTGCAGCAGGGTCTAAGTGCATTTCTGAGCTTACTGGGAGATGGCATCATGTTCAGGTTGTGGTTTCTGGCAAAGGCACGGGATTGGGAATGGCGGCTCCTCTGGAGGCTCGTCCCCAGCCCTCTGGGACCACAGAATTCACAACTTCTAAGTCCCCTCTACTGCCAACCCTCTAAGCAGAACACCATTAGGCCCAAGTTCTGATCCTGCTTCTAGGGACTGTGGCACATCTCATCAAGCCTCAAATGTCCATGCTCAAACCCTTGGCACCCAAACATTGAGGCTAGAAAGTCACACGATTCTTTTGCACTCAAATTCCCTATTGCTTCAAAGGCTCTACAGCTGCCAACCTACTTTGTTCCCAGTGGGCCCTGGGGCATCTTGATATTCTGTCTCTCCTTGGATTCTGCTTTGCCCCTTGTCTTAACCAAAACTTGAATGTCCCCTAAAGACAATTTTTCCTGCCACCTCTCAACCAGTGCAGCTCCTTCTCTCGTCTCCTAGGTGGGATGGAAATCTCCCTCAGCCCCCATCACAACATCCAGACCATCCCTCCTCCCCAGCCCCCTTGCAAAACCTGCTCCCCTTATGTACCCCAAAATACCACCCCTCCTCTCCTGGCTATTTTCTACGGCCTCCAGGTCATTCCCCTTAGTGACAGAAGATTTAAGCTTCTGGCTCACAGCTTCCCCCTCTACCCCAACTCTGTTATTCTCAGAACTTTCTACCTCTGAATGCTTTTTGGTTTTTGTTTGATTGGTTTTGTTTTTGATTTTTGAAACTGGGTCTCAAAACTCTCCCAGGCTGTAATGTAGTGGTGCAATCACAGCTCATAGCGACCTCAAACTCCCAGGCTCGAGCAATCCTCCCACCTCAGCCCTCAGCCTCCCAAGTAGCTGGGACTAAGAGTGCTCCACCACACTCGGCTAATTTTCAAATTTTTTGTAGAGATGGAGTCTCACTATGTTGCCTAGGTGGGTCTCAAACTCCTGGGCTCATGCAATCGTCCCTCCACAACTTCCCAAAGTGCTGGGATTACAAGTGTGAGCCACTGCATCTAGCTTCTGAATCCTTATTGCCCTATGGTTACCACTCACACCTGGATTTCTTGTTATTTTTAATTGTGATATAATACAGATAAAAATAACATAAAATATAAAGAACATAAAATGTACCATCTTAACTTTTTTTTTAATTAAAAGATAGGATCTTGTTATGTTGCTCAGGCTGGGTTGTTTGTCTTTGAGACAGGGTCTCCCTCTGTTGCTCAGGCTAGAGCACTGTGGTGCAATCATAGCTCATGGCAGCCTTGAACTCCTGGGCTCAAGTGATCCTCTCGTCTCAGCCTCCCAAGTAGTTGGGATTACAGGTACACACCACTATGCCTGGCTCATGATAACCATTTTTAAGTGTACAGTTCAGTGACTTTAAGTACATTCACCGTGTTAGGCAATCATCACCACCATCTATCTCCACAACTCTTTTCATCTTGCAATACTGAAACTGTAGCCATTAACCAATAACTCCTCATTCCCTGTCTCCCTCCAGCCTCTGGAAGTTACCATTCTACTTTCTGCTTCTATAAGTTTGACTACTCTAGGCATTTCACAGGAGTGAAATCATACAGTGTTTGTCTTTCTGTGACTGGCTTATTTCACTTGGCGTAATGTCCTCAAGATTCATTCACATCGTAGCATGCGTCTGAATTTCCTTCTTCATACCTAGAGTTTGCATTCAACAGAAATCCCAACCTCCAAACGTATAAACTGAGAATCCTACTCTCTGACTATGCCTACAGCTTGCTTAATGCCCCATGGAGAAAATGCCTCAGGTTCATCAGGTGTTGAATGGACATGACTGGTTTCCTCCTAACCCCAAGCATTCAGGGGCTAAAATGAAGTATCTCTTGCATAAAATGAAGGGCCTTTCTTGTCTTCACACAACAAATGTAATTTCACCTAGATATTCTTTTTTCCTAAATCAAACCTGTAACCAGGAATGTGAAGCCAAGGTGTGGTTCAGGATTCCTTTCCAGAATTGAGGGAGGAATCCCCACCTAGAATTTTGATGACTCAAATGCTACCAAGATATGTGGTAGGCAATTGGTAGTAGGTAGGTAATTATTCATCTTTCATTGCGTTGAGTCTGTGACAAATAATCCAACCAATGGACAAGCTCTGAAAGTTAAGGCCTCTGAAAGGACATAAGCAATGCCTGCCAACAGGTCCCCTCCTGGTTTCGGGGTTTAAGACCATTACTCTCAGGAATCTAGGTTAACTCACGTAAAAAGAGCTTTCTTAACCCAAACACTCTCTAGCAGTTTCTGGCTAAAGAAGCTATCCAGGTTTTTTTGCTAAACAAAAACACCCTTCCATTTGTCTCTTCAAAAATCTCACTGAATTTTTTTCTTTGTCTCTGCTGAGTCACACAGAGCTATGATTCACAAACATAAGGTAATATTCATCCACCAGACTTCAAGAAAAATCAGTCCATCAAACTGAGAAAAATAAAAATAATAAACCCTGAATTTGATTGAATTACAGGATTGTACTTTTGAGATTGTGTCCTTCCCTCTTTTCTGGAATTAAAGGTCTTATCTTTTATAAAATAATAGTAATGAGTGTATTTTAGGAATGTCTGGAAGAGTAACAGCTAAGTCAGTCCTCCAAATTCACTTTGCAATTTTTCTGGCAAAATCTCAAAGTCTGAGAACCACTGAGCTGAAAGTCACATCACTCCTCTGGAAACCAGCTCAGAATTTTCCTGGCTTACCTGGAGCTGCGAGCCCAGTGAACCTTCTGGCTTGGGATCACTATCAGCAAACTGGTCTCCAGCCCTGCCTTTCTCCTAACATTAAAAGATGGCCTCTTGGATCACTTTGGTAGTTAATCACCACTAACAAAGGAACAAAATAAAGGGGAGGAGAACAGAGGATTACAGACACTAAGGGCCACTGCTGCTAGTCTCAGAACACGATTGCTGGAATGATGGCTTCTCCCCAGGAAGGAGGGGCTGTCCCAGGGCACTGCACATGCCTTCTCTTCACAAAGACAGGAGGACACACCTGTTGCTGCAGAAGAGGAGACTGCCAGCACAGTAGCTGGCACACAGCCTGAAGGACCCCACTACTGGATGAAGAAAACACTGAAGTCAGCTTCAACTGCACCTTGAGTGACAGACATCTGCAGCACAGTCATTTCCTCCCTAAGTCTCCAAAGGTCTAGTCTGGGCTGTTCTAGGGTTCTCTTCTGTCTTCCAGAGAGGTGTGGTGTGGTGCACAGGCACCACTTTGATCACCACTTCTCGGACCACCCAAGCTTACGGGGCCAGAATTAGCAGCTGGACCACCTAGACCTGGGGGAGTCTGCAATGCCCTGGAAATGGAGAGCTCAAGAATTTGACCACATCTCAAATGACCCTCAGTAAATTCCAGACACAGGGCATGACATTTTATGTGGCACATAGCACATTTGAACTATGCTTTGTTGAATCTCCAGGTCAACCTCTGTAATACAGTAACACTAACACTGGTGTAAAACCCAAATAATCACACAAAGCTAACTCTAGTTACTTTTATGGGTTATGCCTTAAATGTCAAAACAATCTACACATAATAAATGAAGTAAATCTTTTAAAATCTGTAACAAATGTTCTCTTGCCCTGGGAAAGGAGATGGTTTCCCAGGCCGGCTCCTCCAAGGCCCTGGGCCAACTGTTGCTTCAGCACTGCTGGTTTTCTGGAACTTGGGCAGCTGTTCAGCTCCCAGTCAAAATGGGCACCTCTAATCTTGCTTTTTTTCTTGGATACCACACATTCCAGGCAGCCATACTCACCTTCAGAAAGCGCAGACTTATCTCAGGCCAGATGTGAACACCCCAGGGTGCTGAGAGAAGCAGCTCAGCAGCTCGGCAAGGCCAATGGCCAGGGCAAGGCAGGGCAGGCCCAGCTTGCTGGGCAGGAACACACAGGTGGGTATGCGGACAGATGTCTCCAGGTAGCAACAAGTCACAGGGTGAGGGTGAGGGATCTCTTTTTTTTTTACTAGTGAGATACAGCCCTTCAGCGATAGAAGGAATCTCAGAAATCATTCCCTCCACCCTTCACCTTCCTAATATTTACTCAGAGGTTTTTTTTTTCTTTTTTTAAACAATAAATGAGGATCCCTGACCTAGATCCCTCAACAAAGGAAGGAAAAAACATTGTTATTCAAGGGCCAAAAAATGTGTCCCTCCCTCAATTGCTGCGGCCAGGGCCAGAGGACAATGAACCAGTCTCTCTATAAACAACATACTCTGTCTCAGCAAAGTCTTCTAGGAAGGGCTTATGTCTCATCAGCCACTGAAGCTCAATTCTTAGTTCCACTGCCCCTGGGACACCCATTTGCTCAAATGGTTTTGATTTCCACCTCATTGCTGAAAACCAGATGGTTTAACGCTCTGTATTTCTATACTCCTGTCTGTCTGGATGGAGGAAGCCTAACATCTGTACATGGGTTTCCCGGGATGAGAGGCAGCCCTCCTCCAAGCATGGTGCATAGACTCAGAAAGCAAATAAAGCAACAAGAATGCTCAAAAGAACACAGAGGGGCTATCGCCTCCATGAGAGCGAAATAACCACTGCCCTGTCAAGAGTATTTTAGCAGGAAGGAAACAGGCACATTCATCAGGAGAACTGATACATGGTATATGTTACGGAGGGTTCCTGGTATGGTCAGAAAGAAAATCTGGAGTTAGAAGCATCAAGTGGTCGGAGTCCTGATCCTAGCACCTTTTAGCTGTATATGACCTTGGTAAGTAACTTACCTCTCAGAATCTCAGTTTCCTCCTCTCAAATGGGGATGTAGTATCTGCTCCAACAACCTTATAAGCGGTTTGTGAGAAAATGAAAGTGAATACATCATGCAAGTGCAAAGAAACTTGTATGCTAATCATATTATGGGCACAAACACAGCAGGATTTGAGGAGCTGAAGGCTCCTTCCAGTGAGTTCTCTTAAGCTATGAGACAAGGAGCTGGCTAAAGATCACCCTCCTCTCTCTAAAATGTAAGAAAACCCAACTTCCCCAGAAGCCTGTCACATTTATAGGCAACATTCATATTCCACAGCTCCTTTCCCTAAGCAAGGGTCCCGGACCTGCCCAACCCCTCCTCTCAGCATTTCTTGGAGTCCCTGGGGCACTGTTGCATCCACTGGGCACCTTTTTCTCCTCCCATTGCTGCCTCTGATGCCCGGCAGTCCAGGTGGTGCCCAGGATGCCTGGTAATGAAGTATATTATATTCTATTTGTTAGATGAAGCCCAAAGCAAGGGTGCTTAGCAGAATATGTCCCTCTAATATTAACTGAAACTGCTCATCCTCTCTTTACTCAGAGCTCCTTTTCTCCCTTAAGCTCCAAGATGCCATGGAACCTGGCTTAAGAGGAGATCCTAGTGACAGATTCTGGCCTACTTAGAACCACTTTCCCACTCTGCCCCTGAAATTCTGAGGTGTAGCTAAGCTTATAATTAATTCCTTCTGTCAGGATGCATTTTCTATTAGGAGACTCCTGGTGGGATACCCCACAAGTGCACTACACAGACCCAGGCAACTAATTCCCAAATTCAGCCGCCATTCTAAATACCTCCTGGAAAAACATAGCTTTTTGTTTTTTTCTTCCACAGTTTGGAAAACACGACCCTCCAACATCCATGAGCTCTAGCTCCAGAATGGGCTCTGTTTATTTGCACCAGACTTGGTTACTGCAGCCTGTCGGCCAGTGGTGACTGCTTCAGGGATAAAGAAGTGTTTGCAAATTTAAGCTAAAGATAGGTAAGAACACTGCTGGAGTTTCCTTGGCTCTTAAAAGAGATATTTGGAAAACCAGCCTCTTTCCCCATGAAGAATCAGAAATGGGAACTCCCATTTGATTCCAAATGATGGAGTCAGAATTTAAATGCACACTTGTGACTCCAAAGCTAAAAAAGGTACTGTGTGGGAACCTTCCTGTGGATCCTGGGATAGGAAGTGGCTGCTCCTGAGTCACTCCAGTTTTCCTGAGTCCCAGATTCCTTACCATGACTCCACTGGGCTTTCTTTAAACTTCTTAGTTGATACTCACCCCTGTTTCTTCTACGATTTATATACATTGCACACATTCTATTTTGAATCTCTTGGTTCTCAGTCCTTAAATTTCATCTTTCCTGTAGTTGGACCCTCAGAACATCCCAGCCTCAACTCCCAATCAAGAGCATTTCTAGCACAAAGATTTTCTTTCATGTGTTCTCTCAAGCTTGAGAGCAGATCTGCCTTTGAAACCTGCCGCTGCTGCTGCCACCACCAGCACCATCATAGCTGACTACACATTCTGTGCAGGGACTATGCTAAGCAGGGAATATATTATCTCCATGAGAAAGGGCTTTACAGATGAAAAAACAGTAACTTAATGAGATTGGATAACTGGCCCAAAGCCATATATATGATAGATGGTAGAGTCAAAATTCAAATGTACACTTGTGATTCCAGGGCCAGAAAAGGTTGTGATAGGCTATGTGGGACCTTCTGGCTAATTCCAGGATAGGACAGGGCTATTCCTAGGTATCTTTCAGTCGCTCAGTAGAGAGGGAGGTGGTCACTCACTAGCAGATTTGAGTTTCTTTAGACTTGGGCTGGTGGTGAAGAAGCTGGGCTGTGCACCCTCAGTTCCTAACTGACCTTCAGCTCTGTCTTCTTGGGAGCATTCGCCTCCTCAAGAGAGGAGGACCAGGGCACAATAGTCTCTCAGGAACTGGCATTTCTTCTTTCTCTTGAAATATCTTTCCTCATTTTAACTCTTTCCCAATCACTCAAGTGCCCTCTGGATATGTCCATTTGTCCCAGAGTCTGGCCTGGCCTGGCAGATAACTTAGAAAACATTTGCACATGCCGCCCTCCTCTCCGCTCAGGATCTCTTCATTCATTCATTATTTATTCTGCATCCATTACATTACATGCTGAACGTTCGTTACTTATTTGTGGAGGTCACAAAATAAGTTCAGAATATGACACATGTCCTGCCCACGAAGAGCACAGCTACCAGTCCTATATTTATAATATCTCTGGAATTCTACCTTCCCTTCTAATTTGACTGCTAGCTCTGCGTCTCAGGCTGCAGCGGCCTTCTTGCAATCATGAGAACCAATGTGAGAACTAGGTCAGTAAGCTGAGTATAATGAAACAGAAAAATGGAAAGATCCCCAGTGACACTGTTGGGCTGTAAACTGCTTGTTTGTTTTCAGGCTTTAAATCATTTAAGATAATGTGTCTTTATTGCTCCAGCTGGAAGCATCCTAAATGATACACTCTCTCCAGGTGCTGGGAAAGATGCCAAATAGCAGGCCTAAACTGTCTTACAGCTTGGGGTCCAAAACGGGAAAGGACTTTGTCCCTACCAGTCTCCACACAATGAATGCCACAAAACTCTGGCTGATCCTGTTTACTGCGCTTGCCCACCCCAGGTCAATCCCGTGTCTGGTCAGATGCAGTGCTGCCATCAGCCCAGGATGCAGTATTGGGTTATAGGTCTCCCATGTGGCCACAAAGGAGGGCACTGTGTTTGACTAAAACCACACATGATGTGTACAGGCCCCATGGTGGACACAGGCAACACATCTGTTAAAATGGGGTTTAAAAATGAAGTTAACACTTGGTTCCGAGATGATCTATGAAAGCAAAACAGGTTCTAGGAGCCAAATGTGGAAACAGCTATACAGCAGAAAGGGCGGTACTGGTGGATTTCATACACTGATACTTAAAAAGGGAGATAAGGGTAAGAAATCCATTTTAAGATTGAAGAAACAGCACAGATGATCCCATCTTCTCTTCTGGGGCAGAAACACGGGCACTGGTGAAACTCAAAACAGAGTATGTAGTAGGACTGGGCGTAGCCTTAGGGAACCTAAGCTTTGTTTAAGCCGAAAAAGTATGAATCTATTCAGCATCAGGTTTGGCCACAACTGGTTAGAGATCTGTAAAGCACAGAAGATGGGGACAGTAGATATGGGAGCTGGAGAGGCCTGAGAGTAGTGAAAGCTGGCTGGGTGCAGTGGCCCACGCCTGTAATCCCAGTACTCTGGGAGGCCAAGGTGGGCAGATCATTTGAGGTCAGGAGTTTGAGTGACAACAAAGGTGGGCAAAACACTGAAGTGATCCAGACAGAAAGGATCTGTGGCCACACCTGCCCTGTTCTGTTTAGATCTGAGCTCTCTCCCCAGCAGGACCCATCAGCTCTAGCGTCTCAGAGCTAGGCAGACTACGTCCTAGGAAAACACACCTTGGGAAAGCTTCCTGAGTGAGGTGGCTCCTGTCACGGTATCAATGTCATGATGTGTCTTATATCTGCTGCCCTGACTAAGAATCAGGAAACACTATTTCCAATCACTTCTCGAGCAGGTGTGCTCCCCATCCCATGCCAGACTTGACTGTGTGGCTTCAGGATCTGTGTCGGGTTGCAAGGCTTATCCTGCCTGGTTCCTGTCTTGACATCTATATTGACCTATTGGTTTTGTTTCCCTCAGTTGAGTAGAGATAATAGTAGCTACATCTTTCAAATACAGTGTTGCTTCATCTTGAGGACCTAGGGAAGAGTGTGTTCATCCTGTCCTCATAGACTAGAAACATATGCCTGTGAGGTGGATCCAAGGGCAGTGGTCACTCACTAGGAGATTTGTGAATGTTTCTTTAGACTTGGGCTAGTGGTAGAGCAGCTGGGCTGTGCATGCCCCAGTGCCTATCTGTAGGAGGGTAACATCACATCAGGCAGAGACATACAACATACACCCTCCAAGGTTATATCAGAGCAGTAGGGATGACAAATCTGTATCGTGGAGACTTTACTTCCGGTACCACTCACCATTCCAAAAAGTCAATGTAGATGTTTTGGCTTTATTAAAGAGTATATTAAAAGGTATAGGCAGGGCAAGCCATGGTAGCTCAAACCTGTAATCCCAGCACTCTGGGAGGCCAAGGTGGGTGGATCACCTAAGATCAGGAGTTCAAGACCAACCTGGCCAACATGGTGAAAACCTGTCTCTGCTAAAAATACAAAAATTAGCCAGGTATGGTGGCACATGCCTATAGTCCCAGCTACTTGGGAGGCTGAGGTGGGAGGATCACTTGAACCCAGGAGGCGGAGGTTGCAGTGAGCAGAGATGGCACCACTGCACTCCAGCCTGGTGACAGAGTGAGACTCCATCTCAAAAAAAAAAAAAAAAAGGCATAGGCAGTTGGGTGGTATTGTAAACCATCTGTTTTGTTCAACAGGATGTGTCTGCTTCCGGAAATTTTTATTATTTGCTTTTCTAAGCTGCTGCTATACAACTTATTATTTAATAGCATGAAAAAAGGATCATGTTAAGTATTTTTTAAAAGACTGTAGAATGGATTGTACGCTGTGGGCCCAACTATGTCAAAAAGCATAGCTTTAAGTGTATCTATGCATAAATGTATACAGCAGGAAGAGATAAAAATAGTAATGCTGGGTGCCTGCATGAAATGATTGTAGGTATCCACCTTTTTGTGTTTTCCTATATATTCCCATTTGTAAAATAACAATGCATAATTTAAATGATTAGAAAACAGTAACTTAAAAGCAAATCTGTTTGTTGACATGGCTCCTATGGTAGTTCAGTGAGTGTCTTCAACAACAGAGCCACGCAGGATGTAGGAGTCAGAAGACATGGGCCTGCTTCCCAGCTCAGTCATCTGCCTTCAGAGACTCAAGTTTCTTCACCTGTAAAATTAGAGTACTATCTGCTTTGTCTGATTGTTGGAATTACTGTAAGAGTCTAAGTTAGAAAACAATACAGTGTATCGGGAAAACAGATAATGAACAGGTAACATTCAAGTGATGACACATTCTCCTGGCTGCCCACATCTCTGTAGCCATTACTTTTCAATCCACTTTTCTTATTCTTCTTCCTCTGCCTGAAAAGGTAAGAAGCTACTTGAAGCTCAGCCCAAGACCACTTCTTCTTCCCAACCTATTCTCTCTTCCTAGATGGGCTTGTCCATTCTATGACTTCAGTTACGTCTGTTTATGGCTCACAAACCGACATCTCAGCTCAACTTTCAGACCTGTATATCCAACTACTTTCTAAGTATAAAGACTTGACTTTCTCACGAGCACCTTGAATCTAATGCATCCAAAATTAACCTTAAGGCCTTCCCAGATCCCACCACAACAAATTTGATCCTCCTCATGGTTCTTTTCTCAGAGATGGCCACCAGCATCCAACTAGATGTACAATCAGAAACCCAGGGAGCATCCCTACCTCCTCTGTTTCCCACACAACCCATGTCCATCCCATCACCGTTTTACATCCCACATATCTCCAAACCCTCTTCCCTTTTTATTTCCACTGCCATTACTGTAGTCCAAGCTATCCTTGTCTCTTGCCTAGATTATGGCAATAGGCTCCACACTAGAATTCCTATATCTACTCATTGCTTCCGCCAATCCATTCTCCATTCTGCATCCAGAGAAAGCTTTTCATTTATGTATTTATTTTTATTTTGTAGAGATAGGGTCTTGCTATATTGCCCAAGTTAGACTCAAACTCCTGGCCTCAAGTGATCCTCTTGCCTTGGCCTCCCAAAATGTTGGGATTACAGGCTTGAGCCACTGCACCCACCCTCAGAGAAAGCTTTTTTTTAAAAATCAACTTTACTGAGGTATAATTTACATGCAATAAAATTCACCTATTTTAAGCATCCAGGTTAATGAGTTTTGACAAATAACTCCATTCTGGTAACCACCACCCAATCAAGATAGAAAATATTTGCAGCACCCAGGAAGCTCCCTCATGTCCTCTTATTCAATCTTTCCACCATGCCTGGTTCCAGGCAACTAAGAATCTGATTTTTTTTCAATCTGATTTTTATCATTATAAAATAGTTTTGTGGTCTTGGATCCAAGATGGCTGATTGCTAACATCTCGGGATTGCAGCTCCCAGTGAAAGCGCAAAGAACGAGATAACGCCACACTTTCAGACAAATTTTTGTCGTTCATGGACCAGAAGATTCCCAGTGGAGGAGCCCCACAGGTCGCCAGCGCAACTCTTGTGGCTGGTGCAGCGGTTTTGCCGGCACCTTGGCGCGGCAGCTCTTAGTGCAGAGTAAACAGGACTGGTTCCCCTTCTGACCGACGTTTGGAGCTCTGGGAAGGCAGAGTCACCAATTACGGACTCAAGAAGGAAGCCAGACTGGAGATTCCCGGGCAGAAAAGCACCATCAGTCTTAACACCACTGTTTTGGCCAGCGCAGTGGGTTGCTCAGATTTCGACCCTGGGAATTAACAACTTGGATGTCCACTCAGAGACCTAATTTGAAAGTTGGTGGCCAGGTGCAGTGGCTCAAAGCCTGTAATCCCAGCACTTTGGGAGGCCGAGGCGGGTGGATCACAAGGTCAAGATATCGAGACCATCCTGGTCAACATGGTGAAACCCCGTCTCTACTAAAGATACAAAAAATTAGCTGGGCATGGTGGCGTGTGCCTGTAATCCCAGCTACTCAGGAGGCTGAGGCAGGAGAATTGCCTGAACCCAAGAGGTGGAGGTTGCAGTGAGCCGAGATTGTGCCATTGCACTCCAGCCTGGGTAACAAGAGCGAAACTCCGTCTCAAAAAAAAAAAGAAAGAAAGTTGGTAATTACAAAGACGACAGGTGGATAAATTTACAACAATGGGAAGAAACCAGCATAAAAAGGCTGAGAATACTCAAAATCAGAATGCCTCTCCCTCTAAAGAGGATCACAGTTCCTCATCAACAAGGGAACGAGGCTTGATGGAGAACGAGAGCATTCCATTAACAGAATCAGGCTTCAGACGGTGGATAATAAGAAACTTCTGTGAGTTAAAAAAACATGTTCTAGACCAATGTAAAGAAAGTAAGAACTTTGAAAAAAGGTTTGATGAAATCCTAATGAGAATAGACAATTTAGAGAGGAATATAAGTGAATTAATGAAACTGAAGAATACAATATGGGAACTCTGAGAAGTATGCACAGGTTTAAACACTTGAATTGATCAAGCAGAAGAAAGGATATCAGAGGTCGAAGACCAACTTAATGAAATAAAATGAGAAGACAAGAATAGAGAAAAAAGGATAAAAAGGAATGAGCAAAGTGTCCAAGAAATATGGGACTATGTGAAAAGACCTAATTTACATTTGATAGGTGTACCTGAATGTGACAGAGAGAATGAATCCAAGCTGGAAAATATTCTTCAGGATATTATTCAGGAAAACTTTCCCATCCTAGCAAAGCAGGACAATATTCAACCCCAGGTAATACAGAGAACACCACAAAGATATTCCTCAAGAAGAGCAATCCCAAGGCACATAATTGTTAGATTCACCAGGGTTGAAACGAAGGAGAAAATACTAAGGGCAGCCAAAGAGAAAGGTCAGGTTACCCACAAAGGGAAGCCTATCAGACTTACAGCAGATCTCTCAGCAGAAACCCTACAAGCCAGAAGAGAGTGGGGGCCAATATTCAACATCCTTAAAGAACAGAACTTTCAGCCCAGAATTTCATATCCTGCCAAACTAAGCTTCACAACTGAAAGAAAAATAAAATCTTTTATGAACAAGCAAGTACTCAGAGATTTTATTACCACCAGGCCTGTTTTACAAGACCTTCTGAAAGAAGCATTACACATAGAAAGAAACAACCAGTATTCGCCTTTCTAAAAATATACCAAAAAGTAAAGAGCATCAACATAAAGAAGAATCTACATCAACGAATGGATAAAACAGCCAGTTAACATAAATTTAAATTGACTAAATCCCCCAATCAAAAGATACAGCCAAAACCCAACAGTATGCTACATCCAGACCCATTTCACATGCAAGTATACACAAAGACTCAAAACAAAGTGATGGAGAAAGATTTACCAACCAAATGGAGAGCAAAAATAAATAAATAAATAAAAAGCAGGAGTTGCAATTCTCGCATCTGATAAAATAGATTTTAGAGCAACAAAGATATAGTGGTAAAAGGATCAATGCAACAATAAGAGCTAACGATCCTAACACCCAGATACATAAGACCTACAAAGAGATTTAGACTCCAAGAGACAGAAAATTAATAAGGATATCCAGGACTTGAACTCAGATCTGGAACAAGTAAACTTAATAAATATTTATAGAGCTCTCCACTTTAAATATACAAAATATACATTCTTGTCAATACCACATCACACCTACACATAGGTTTAAATGAAATATTGATCGGCCATTATTAATACCCATTTTTAGAATAAAGCAGCATTTCTGTTCTCTCTCCCTCTTTTTCTTCCTCTTTCTTCCTCTCCTTCACTCTTTAAAAAAAATAAATAAATAAAATAGTTTTGCTTGTTCTGGAATTTCATATAAATGGAAACATATTGAAGGCATTTTGTCTGGCTTATTTCACTCAATAAAATATCTATGAGATTCACCCATGTCCTGGTGCGTATCAGTAGCCTGTTGTTTTCATTGCTGAGTAGCATTCATGCTATGACTATAGCTAAGCATGTTGATCCATTACCCTGCTAATGAGCATTTGAGTTTGTTCTACATTTAGGCTATTTGGTATTATCTTTTCCCCATCCTTTTACCAGCCTACCTGGCTCTTGATATTTAAAATGCATCTCTTACAGGGATCATGTAAGCAAGTCTTGTTTTTTACTCAGTCTGATAATCTCTACCTTAGCAGGGTGGGGTGGGATGGAGCAGAACTAATAGGCTTATGAATGGGATAAGTCTAAGAGCATAAAGTATTTGTAGAGGTTTGCCTTCATCTTACATAAACTCCAGATACCCGCTGTTAACACAGTGGTTCTAAAAGCATGGCCTGTGGACCCCTGATGCTTCACTGACACCCTTTCAGGGATGTGTGAGGTCAAAACTATTTTCATGATATAACACTTGAGTATTCTTTGCCTTTTTCACCATATTTTCGTTTGCACACATGATGCAGGAGCAATAGTGAGTAAACTGCTGGGGCCTCAACACAAATCAAAGCAGTGGCACCAAACTGTGCTAGTAGTCATTGTACTTTTCCCCTCCACACACTCAAAACTTGAAAATAAAATGTAAAAAAGAAGCCAGTTTCACTTAAGAGGTACTTGATAACAACAGTAAAAATTATTAATTTCATTATGTCTCAACTCTTGAGAACATGACTTTATAACATCCTAAGTGACCAAATTGGCCTTCTGATGGTTTTCTAGCAAAAATGTACATGTGCAATTGGTAAGATGCAAGCAGAAGTAGTAGCATTTTTCCCCAGAGGGAATATTTAATCAATTAATTCATGATACACATCTATGATACTTTTTTCTTCTGTGTTTTGGCTCACTTCTCTTTAAATGTTTCTCCATTAAGAAATCCATCATTTCTATGGAAAGAATAAATTCTCTACCATGGTATGTCAAACTCTTTTTTTAAGAGTTGCTATATACCTCACACCCAATGGGGGTACATAAGACCCTTCAATCTGACATAGGGGTATACAATACCCCTACTGTTAACATCTTTTATTACTCTGATAGTTTGTCACAATTAATGAACTAATATTGATACATTATTAACTGAAGTCCATACTTACTCAGATTTCCTTGCTTTTTCCCAGTGTCCTTTGTATGTCCCAGGATCCCACTGGGACACTGTTCCCCTCTCAACCCCACAGTAGCCGCTATCTTCTAGAGTGATCTCACCTAGCTCATGTTCAGCTCGCCTCTCAACCTTCGACTTACTAGGGACCTAGACGTGTCCTCGTGTACGCTCTTATACAACTCCCTCCTCTCTATATCTCACTCCACACTACCTATCTGCTTCTGCTGCTCTGAATCCCAATTTCCACATCTTCCACTCAATGGGACCACTGTGATCTACATGGACTCCAGCTCTCTGTGCCACGGTTGGGAATAGTTCCAAGACAGACAGTTGGGTGATCATGGGGTTTACCTCAGGAGTTTTCTTCTGTCTGGGATCAGTAGTTTTGTGCTACCTATTTTTCACTGCCTGAAAATAGTTGTCTCATCTGTTTTGTCATGTTGTATAACATTTCATGGTAGGAGGGCTAGCCTAGTACCAATTACTCCATCATAGCCAGAATCAGAAGTCCAAAGAAAGCTTCAAAACTTAGAAGTCTGATCATGTCACTTCTCTGGTTAAAATCTTTCCATGGCTCTAAGAATAAAGATCCAGATTTGAAAATGGCCTGCAGGGTTTTATATGCTCTGAGCCCCACCTATGCTCCAGCATCATTCCCCCTCCTCCTCATGCCCTCCTTCCTTCCTTAGCCTCTGGCCTTCCTTCAATCCCTTGCTGTTTTCTCCTATCTCTAGGCGTTTGCATGTGAAAGCACACCACCCAACATTCTTCCCATCCTTCTTCACAACCAGCTACAGGCCACAATAAATAAAACCCTGTGAAACTAGCATTAGCATTAGATGGAACAGAGTCTAAAAACAGACTCATATATGTATATATTTCAACTCAATGAGAAAGGGAAAAATTATTCAACAAAGACAGTTAATTCAATTGGCTATGTTATGCTTAACTTACGCCATATTCAAAAAGAAGCTTCAGACAAAGCATTAATAAGGAAAATGTATAAGGAGCTACTCCAAATTGATAAAAAGAAAGCAACCCAACAAAAACTTGAAAAGGAATAGGCAATTCATGGAAGAACTACAACTAACTGATAAACATAGGAAAAAATAAACATAGAAAAGACATTCAACATTAAATGTTAAATATAATAAAATATATATTAAAAATAAAATATTGATAGTATCCAATGTTAGGGAGATAAAAAGGCACTCTGCTACACTGTTACAGTATAAATTAGTACAGCCAATTCATCAATATTTTAAATGTACTCTGACTCAGCTCTCATATTTCCAGGGGGCTATTCTACAGAAATAACAGCATGACCACTAAATTGCCTGTATCAGGAAAAAAACTGGAAAGACTCCAAATGCCCAATTATAAGAATATATAGAAACTATAGGACATCCATACATCAGAACACAATGCATCCATTTAAAAAATGAGATACCTCTAAATTATTTTAAAAGATGTCTACAGTATAACGTTGAAAGTTAAAAGTGAGTTGAAAAACAAACCACACTATTAGTTATGCATGTATACAACATATACACACACAAGAAAAGAATCTGAAAAGATACACATCAATTCTAAAGGGGAGGATTTGAAGGGGGAACTCAGGAACCCCTTTTTTTTACTTATACACTTCTAAAGTATACCATTTGAATCTGTCACAAAGAATATTTCACTTTTGTAATGTAAAAAACATTGAAGTGTATTTTTTGAAGAGAATAGATTAGCTGCAGTTTGAGTTTAACATTGCAGCAGGGGGCTGTACCGCCACCTTGTGGTAGTTTAATGCCACCTTAAATTGCTTATCCAAAAGTTTCTGAATCTCAGCGCTATTGCCGTTTTGGGTGGGACAATTCTTTTTTTGGGGGGCTGTCACGTGCATTGTAGAATGTTTAGCAGTATCCCTCGCCTCTATCCTCTAGGCGACAGTAATATCCCCTCCCCCAGTTGTGACAACCAAAACTGTCTCCAGATACTGGCAGTTGTCTCCTGAAGGGGGAAAAAAATCACCCCTGGTTGAAAACCACTAATGTGAAAGAACGAGTCTTGTGAGTGCAAAGTAGAGAAACAAAAGGTGTTCATTCACTCACTCATAAGAATATCGCACCAGGTAGTCTTTATAAGATAATTTCCTCATGTTAAGTTAGAATGAGAGTTCTAACTCACAGGTGCACGCACACAGAATTATTTTCATAGCTTGAAGAAGATATTCTGTAGTTTAAACTCAGTAACAAGAAAACCCATTTTCATCCAATAAATCCCCAATTGCCCATAGGGCAGAAGCAACAAGGATGCAGAGCCTGCCACACGTGTCCAGACTCCATTCCCAGGCCCAGGGCAAGACTTAAAAGCACTCTGGGCCTGGCGTGGTGGCTCACGCTTTGAGAGGCCGAGGCAGGCAGATCACAAGGACAAGAGATCGAGACCATCCTGGCCAACACAGTGAAACCCTGTCCCTACTAAAAATACAAAAATTAGCTGGGCATGGTGGCATGTGTCTGTAGTCCCAGCTACTCGGGAGGCTGAGGCAGGAGAATTGCTTGAACCCAGGAGGCAGAGGTTGCAGTGAGCTGAGATCGAGCCACTGCACTCCAGCCTGGCGCCTGGCTACAGAGCAAGACTGTCTCAAAAAAAAAAAAAGCAAAAGCACTCTGTACCATGCCCTCATTACAGTGCTCCAGTCAGTAACTACCACTAAATGTAAACCAGCTCCCTCCTGTCCCTCATTTAGCCACTAATTTCCCCCACTTCAAAACATCCCTATGCCCACTGCTCTCCCAGATGCTATGGTCTACATGTCACAGAAAGGCCTTTTTTTATGCAGCGTGGGGAGGTCTGTGGAAGCTCGGCTCTGCTATCCACTGCCCTCACCCCAAATAGCATGAGCATTATCATTTAACCTTTCCAGATCTCTATCTCCTCACTCACAAAATAAAAGGCCCTTATTAGATACTCAAAGTTCCTTTCGATTCTAAAATCTATGACCAGAGATGATTACAAATGATCCACTGTAGGCTTTTTATACAATTCTAAGTATTTTCTCCAGTAAGGATTATTCTACATACAATTAGGTTGGTGTTACTGGAATCTTTTTCTTTAATTTCTAGTGTTGGGGGTCCTATAAAACCCATGATACTGAATAACCAAAGAATCTTAAGCCATAGCTTCACTACATAGCTACTGTATTTCTAGGGTTTTGTCAATGTGCATCATCTGATGTCAATAACATACAAATGAATATTGTCTAATGTCTTCCCACTTTCATTATAGTCATATTTATTCCAGGCCTAATATATGAAGCTGATTAAGTGGATACCTGGATTAATCTGAAGTGCTTCCTAATTCTCCATGTTGCTGTATCCTATCCTAGGAATCTTCCTACTAGGATGAATTGGCCTATCTTCTGATACAATCAACTTTGGCCTACCAAGCAAATACACTCACGGAGAGGAATAAACTACACAGGAATGAACTGGCTGAGCCTCTAGATTCACTGGAATCATACCCTTACACAAGGTTACTTCCATAGTCAGCATGTAAGATGAAAAAAGGAAAATACCAATATTGTCTTTATAAATCCTTGAATTTGTCCATAAAATATAGCTGGTTCTGTGTATAGCTCTGATAATAACTCATATATAAATAGATAAATAAATAGAATTTTATACATATATGTAAAATATAATTTTATAGTATTCTTAATTACACTAATTTATTTTTTGGTTTGGGGGGATATCTAGGTGCATATGCGTGAATTCCTGTTACGTAAAATGTAAGTATGAGATGATTTTCCCTGAGATGGTTATCTCAAGCCATTGTGTTTTGTATAGATGACTCTTGGCAAAACATACCCATTAGTCATCAAGTATATGATATATATCTAACGTGTCAAAGGTCTTACAAGAACAACTTTTTATTGAAAAACTCTATTTCATGTGATTTTTTTTAACCATATGCAAGTATTATTTTGTTTAAAATCAGTAACAAAAGACCTAAACAAAAATAGGTTTCCCTCATGATGATGATGATGATGATATGAAAATCACAGTCCCTGATGATGTTAAAATTGAGAATAAGGCCAACTATTAATATCAAACCAAAATGATCATGTTTCATAGGCATATGTGAGTGACATAAACAGGGGGTGGCACTGGTATTCAGAGGAGGAGATTATTTTCAGTTACAGTGGACAAAGAAGAGGTAAGGGAGGACATGATACCTTAAGCTGGGTCCTAAAGGGGACTAACTTGTAAACTGAAAAGAGTGATAATGTGACAACTGCCTCTTAACTTAAAGAAAACCTAAAAAGTATTAATGCCTCCTCCAAAAAGACAGAAAGCCCTGCTTTAATCACTAAATATCTCTTCCTGCAATCTTCAAATCAAGCCTGGGGTCACCCTAGCCTGATTTGATATACACCTATTATATATAGGTGTATATGTGTATATATATATACATGCTATTATATATACAGCTTATATATATATACATATACATAAGCTGTATATATACTATATATATTATATAATATAGCATATATAATATATATATTATATATAAGGTATATATATAACAGCTTATATATATATAAGCTAACAGGATAATTTGCTCAGAGAAATTACTTTAACATGTAAATTAGTTTTCCCTTCATTGAACACACATCAGCCAAGCATACAGGTAATTTTAACAAATAAATTAGAAAATCTGACACTCATGATTTAAAAACTAAAGAATCCAGATTACCTACCAAAAAGAGATCAAAATATCAGAACATGTATTATCTAAAGCCCCAAATCAAACCCCCACCCTAGACTTGACTTTAACCAAACACAATGAGCTTTAGCTTAGGTTGTAAAAGGAGAGGAATTATATTCTCCATCATGAAGGGTAAGTGTGGTCTACACTACAGCACATGAGAGAGGATCCTGTTATAGAAATAGCCAAATGCTGGGCATGGTGGCTCATGCCAGTGACACCAGCACTTCAGGAGGCTAAAGTGGGCAGATTGCTTGAGCTCAAGAGTTCAAGACCAGTCTGGGCAATATGGCAAAATGCCATCTACCAAAATTACAATCAAATTAACTAGGCATGGTGGCGTTTGCCTGTGGTCCCAGCTACTCGAGAGACTAAGGTGGGAAGATTAAGGACTCTGGGAGTTCAAGGCTACAGTGAGCTGTGATGGTGTCACTGCACTCCAGCCTAGGCAACAGAGCAAAACCCTGTCTCAAACAAACAAACAGATCCAAGAGGAGAGTAGAAGCATAGATCATACTACTAACAGCACATAGTAAACTGAAACAAAACAAAAAAGGCTCTGTAAGTCCCAGAGTCATACCATTTCTAGAACTGTTCTGATTTCAAATATTTTGTCACTATGATGTCCTCATTAGTTTTTCTGGATCCAAATTATATTTAGGCTACAAGAGAATTATACCAATTCACTACAGTACAATCCACGAATTCATGCAATACACCCATTATAGGACAGGCCTTTTGTTCAAGGGCATCTGTCTTGAGTTTTTAGTTTTTTGGTTTTTTTTTTTTTTGGAGACAGAGTCTCACTCTGTCACCACAGGCTCAAGTGCAGTGGCACGATCTTGGCTCACTGTAACCTCTGCCTCCCAGGTTTAAGCAGTTCTCCTGCCTTAGCCTCCCAAGTGGCTGGGACTACAGGCAAGCACCACCATGCCTAGATAATTTTTTTTTTTTTTTTTTTTTGTATTTTAGTAGAGATAGGATTTCACTGTGTTGCCCAGGCTGGTCTCAAACTCCTGAGCTCAGGCAATCCGCCTGCATCGGTATCCCAAAGTGCTAGGATTACAAGCATGAGCCATGGCACCCAGACAAGTTTTTGGTTCTAAAACAGATTACCACAGATGAGTCCTCTGAAGGAACAACAACAGTTTCTACCAAACCAAAGCTAACTGGCTCCAGGAACAATGTCTGGAAACAAGCTTATTACCTAAATTGTTAACAAACATTACTTTAAGAGGTCCTATTCTAATGACAGACACTCTTAAAGATGACACTTCCCACCCCCTTTCAATTTCTAAAAGTTACTAAAGATTTTGGGCATTTCAAAAATTATTTCCAAATATCGCCATTTATGCAGAGTGGTCTGTCTCACAGCTAATTTTGAGAACAAAATTGTGCTTCAGCTACACAACTGAAGCAAAACTTCAGTTGTGCTTTCTGTAATTCAAGCCCTGTTGAATTTCAAGCTGTACTAACACCAACTGCTTTAAATAGAAGAGAAGGATAGGAAAGCAGGTGAAGAGAGAGAGTTCAGAATAGCCCTTTTAGTGAGAAAAATAGAAAGCAGAGAAATCTCAGGTTCTAGCTAGTACATTGGGAATATGGGAAAGTCAAGGGACTCCAATCCTATACAATTGGATTACTCTTAGGTGACTGAAATGCACCTAAAATATATTTTTTTTTTAAAAAAAAAAAAGGCAGGAAAAATAATTCATGGAAACCTAAAAAGTGATTCTAACATCAACTTAAGCTTAGGAAGGTTTGAAGGGAAATAAAAAAAGTTTGCATGTATGTATTGAGTCACAGTGTGACCAAAAAAATAATGCCGGGCTTTATTAGGTACACATAAAATTTCTTAGAGCCATATACAGGAATTGTCATCAGGCAACCTCAGGTAACTTAGTCTAATCATTGTCTGATACAAATTCGTATGATTATTTTTTTCTAAAATGTTTTCTAAAAATGTGGGCTCAATCGTCCCTAATTCTTCTGTTGGGATTACATAATCGTTAACATGTAAGGCTGTCAGTTACCAAGGTAAATGGTGCTTACTTTCTGAGAAGTGATAGTTACACTTTCAGCCTGGAGGAAGGGGAAAAGAAAGAAAATTGTAAGAAAGGGGAGATGGAAAAAGCAAAACAGATTTCTCATCAACAGAAGACAAAATAACATTAAAGAGCTATTTTGAGATAAGTGAGAAAAGATCTTCTGAGAAGGTGGATGTAACAGAGTTTGGCCCCGTTTTTTATGTCTGGCTGCCAACAGCATTTAAGCTTCTACCATTTTCTATTACTTGCTCCCTGACACTGCCCACCACACACCTGGTACTTCAGATACAGAAATTCATGGGCATCTCCTGAGCTCCCAGCACTGGTGGGAAGCTTGAATCCCTCAAGCCCACAGATGGGAATGCTCTCCAGCCCCACTCCCTGGCCACTTTAAAGGCCCAACCTCCTCTCTGTTCGTGCCACTTTGGACTAGTTTGCATCTAGTTTGCTCTCCCCAGAAATCCTGTGTATGAATAGTTAGCTTTTAAGTTCTCTTGGTGTGTGAAGTGTCATCAGTCTTGACATCTGGCCTATTAACTGGGTCCTTCATCTTCTGGGGGTGATCACAAAACAGTGGAACGAGGTAAAGCAGACAAAAGCTGCCCACAGGAGGGTATGAGCTGGGGGCAGGAATGATTATAGATTAAGGCAAAGATTAATAGGAAGATTATATTAGCATATGTAATCAGCCATGAGTTTCTCTATTTTGTTTGGACATGGCGCTATTTCTATCAGTACAAGAAGGGGCAACGAGCTCAATTTTGAACAACTAGAATTTCTTGGCTTATTCCCGAGGCCAAGGGAGGAGGATAAAATCATTGCATGGTGACTTTAGTCATTTCAGATACAGAAAAAATATACATATATACATATAAAGATTGAGCTTTAGAGTCTATTAAGCTATTCCATATTTCAGTTCAGTGTTTCTTCACTTGGATTTGTGATATTCTGATAGCTTTGCAGGAGATAATAACTGGGGTGGGGAGGGGGATTTTCATCCCTTAAAATATAATAGAAAAACATCATCAATGTAACAACTTATGAAAGTGTAATTCTTTGGTATTTAATGAAATGAAGAGTCTGAGTGGATATGTCCACACATTCAGGGAGATTCTCTACTGTGAAGTCTCTGATGTCTAATGAGGGTTGAACTATACTTGAAAACTGCCACATTTATGGCATACACAGGGCTTCTCTCCAGTGTGGATCCTCTGATGCTGAGTAAGATGGGCACTTCTACTAAAAGCTTTCCCACACACTCCTGACATTCAAACGGTTTCTCTCCAGTATGAACCCTCTGATGCTGGGTAAGAGATGAACTCTGGCTGAAGGCTTTCATACAGTCTTTACAGGTGTAGGGTTTCTTTCCAGTGTGAACTTGTGTATGTTTTATAAGAGCTGAGCTCTGACTGAAGGCTTTCCCACATTCTTTACACTTGTAGGGTTTTTCTCCAGTATGAGTTCTGTGATGTCGAAAAAGGGCTGATCAATCACTAAAGGCTTTCCCACAGTCATTACAGGCACAAGGTTTTTCTCTGGTGTGAGTTCTCTGATGTTGATAGAGGTATGAGCTCTGACTGAAGACTTTGCCACATTCGTTACATTCATAGGGTTTCTCTCTGGTGTGGATAAACTGATGGACAATAAAGGAGGAGTTGTGGCTGAAGGCTTTCCCACGTTCACTGCACTCATAGGGCTTCTCTACAATATGAATCAATTGATGTTCAACATAGGATGAATTGTGACAGAGGGCTTTACCACACGCATTACATTCATAAGGTTTTTCTCCAGCATGAATTTGCTGATGCTGAATAAAGTGTGTTATCTGAATAAAGGCCTTCCCACAATCATTACATTCATAGGGTTTCTCTCCAGTATGGATTCTCTGGTGTTGAAGAAGAGATGAGCTGTAATGAAAGGCTTTGCTACATTCACTGCATTTATATGGTTTCTCTCCAGTATGGATTCTCTGATGTACTGTAAGGGCTGAATAATTACTTAAAGTTTTCCTACATTCACTAAAATCATAAGTTTTCTCCCCATTATGGATACTTTGATATTGAATAAATGGTATATTCTGAATTAAGGCTTTTTCATGCACATTATATTCCTTCCCACTGTAAAGACTCTGATGATGTTTGGTGAGGTATGAGTTCCAGTTGCAGGTGTTTCTACCTTCATAAGACTTCCCTCCGATATTAGACTTCTGATGTTCAGTGTCATGTACAACATGAATAAAAGCCTTCTCATACTGACTGCATTCTGAATTTTTCTCATCAGTATGAACCATACAATGCTGCATATAAACTGAGTAATCACTGCATATTTTACCACATTCATTACACCAATAAACTTTCTCATTTGTACTGTCTTTCTGATCTCTGAGTAATTTTGAATTTTGTTTGAAGTTCCTTCCCTGGGCATCATACATATAAGGTCTTCCTTTGCTAGAATACTGTGGATGTCTAACAAAGTCTGACTTCAGACTAACACGTGTGCCAAATTCAATACATTTGGGGTTACTATCTGCTATAGGAATTCTTTTCTCACAAATAACTGCTGTTTGTTTCCAGAGTCTCTCCTGAGTCCTCGTTTGATCTCTGAGTAATCATCATTTCTCCAGGTCTCTTTCAAACTGGAGGTCCTTATATCAGCTTTTGTGTTTCTCTCCATATCTATCCCCTGGTATGATTCCTAATCACCAAATACCTTCTTTGGTCTTGGCTTTCTGAACTCCAAGTCTGGGGAAAAAATAAACATGTCGCCTGTACTAGAAGAAGGAAATGGCCAAAGTAGGAATGAGGAAATAATGCTATAAATACCATTAGTCACAAATGTATGTAAAGCAGTCCAAAAATAATTTATTGAATACTTATTATGGGCCAGGCACTGTGTTATGTGCTAAGATTAATCATGAACAAAACAGATACAGCACCAGGTCTTTTGAAATGTATAGTCTCTTGGGGCAAGACAGGTATTAATTAAATAACTTCAAGCACGATGAATGCCATAAAGTAAGGTGTTAGGGAGATCTCAATTGGGGAATGATCAGTACTAAACATGGCAACTGCCCCTATCCTCTCACCCACTAGAATCCTTCCTGCTTTGGATACCACCTCCTTGCATCCTGGGCTGGATTTTACCCCTGTTAAGGTCATCCTTTAATGCCTGCATCTTCCACTCTCACTGGCATAGGCCCCTCAAAAACTCTCCTTGATTACTGCTGAGATTGCTACCTAACTCAATAAGATCATGTTCCTATTTTCTTTTGCTAACCTACGTATTATCCATTTGCAGAAATTCCTTCAGCCTCCACACTTTTCTTCATTCTGAGCCTTCTAATACACACAGACATATAGACACACACAGTCTCTCTCTCTCTCTCTCTCTCTCTCTCTCACACACACACACACACACACACTCACACACACCAGTCAAAGGCTTAAAGAGAGTAAAAGTTTAGAAGACTACAAAAGTTTTAAGAGAATCAGTCCTACTATGAGTACTAGTTCAGCTTAATTATGAATAAACTACACATGCCATATTTTTTATTGTTGTGAAGTGGGACTTGTAAATATTTCTTTGTAAGTAACAACTTTTTGGGTTTTTTTTTGAGACAGAGTCTCACTCTGTCACCTGGCTGGAGTGCAGGGTCGCAATCTCGGCTCACTGCAACCTCTGCCTCCTGGGTTCAAACAATTCTCCTGCCTTAGCCTCCCCAGTAGCTGGGATTACAGGCGCCCACCACCACGACTGGCTAATTTTTGTATTTTTATTTTAGTAGAGATGGGGTTTCACTGTGTTGGCCAGGATGGTCTCATCTCCTGACCTCGTGATCCGCCCACCTTGGCCTCCCAAAGTGCTGGGATTATGGGTGTGAGCCACCACTCCTGGCTGTTAAGAACTATTTTTAAAGTAAAGTTAGTATGAGGATTTCACACTTATATAATATAGGAATACAAAGGTTAAAAGAAGGCAATACAAATTAAGCAAGGGACGAAAGAGGTAGCAGGGACACTAATCCACTGTTAGGTTAGCCAAACCTATTAGTATTAAGTTGACCAGGCATTTTTAGGTCTTTTTCATTTGACCTTTCTAGCATGTAACACTATGAGCCCCTTCCCTGTTTCTTGAAGTGCTCTCTTCTGTCGGTTCCATGACACTCTAACCTGGTTTTCCCCTTCTCTATGGGCACTCTTTTTTTTTTTTTCCCTGAGACAAGGTATCATTCTGTTGCCCAGCCTGGAGTGCAGTGGCGCAACCTCAGCTCACTGCAACTTCCACCTCCCAGGTTCAAGCGATTCCTGTGCCTCAGCCTCCCAAGTAGTTGGGACTATGGGCATGTACCACCATACCTGGCTATCTCTGGCTACTCTTAGTATGCTTTTGGACTTCCTTTCCTTTAGTTATATTGATAAATTTTAAAAATACAAAAATAAAGGCCGGGCGGCAGTGGCTCAAGCCTGTAATCCCAGCACTTTGGGAGACCAAGGCGGGTGGATCATGAGGTCAAGAGATCTAGACCATCTTGGTCAACATGGTGAAACCCCGTCTCTACTAAAAATACAAAAAATTAGCTGGGCATGGTGGCACGTGCCTGTAATCCCAGCTACTCGGGAGGCTGAGGCAGGAGAATTGCCTGAACCCAGGAGGCGGAGGTTGCGGTGAGCCGAGATTGCGCCATTGCACTCCAGCCTGGGTCACAAGAGCAAAACTCCGTCTCAAAAAAAAAAAAAAAAAAAAAAATTAGCTGGGCATGGTGGCACGTGCCTGTAATCCCAGCTACTCAGGAGGCTGAGGCAAGAGAATTGCCTGAACCCAGGAGGCGGAGGTTGCGGTGAGCCGAGATCACGCCATTGCGCTCCAGCCTGGGTAACGAGCGAAACTCCGTCTCAAAAAAAAAAAAAAATACAAAAATATGTGTAACATATCTTTATTGCCATCACCTAATATTAAACATTATTTTATTATTTTGCCACTAGTTTTTTCCTATATATTTATTCTTGAAATATACACAAGTGGTGTGTGTGTATATATACGTATACATATATATTTTACATGTTTTTATATTACATATATACATATATATTTTACATATATACACACATATATTTTATAAATATACATATTTTACATATATATATAATAAACAAGGTCTTGCTCTGTTGCCCAAGCTGGAGTACAGTGGCACAAACATGATAAGAGCTCACTATAGCCTCAACCTCCCTGGCTCTAGTGATCCACCTCAGGCTCCCAAAGTGTTGGCATTACAGGTGTGAGTCACCACTTCTAGCATATATGCTATACATATATATATACTATATACTATATATACACACTATATATAGTATATATATTTTTATTTATTTTTTTATTTTTTAATTTTTTTGCAGATACTTCAATGCTTGTATTCATCAGGGTTCTAGGCTCTCTTGTAACTCTTTTTGTGCTCTTTGGGTGATACTATCCACTCCGGTGGCTTCAATTACTATCCTCAGGCAACTCCCAAATCTGTACCACCAGTTAGGATCTCTTTACTAAGACACATTTGGCATGTCCTCCTTATATTCATCTAGCCTCCAGACATCACCACTTAGAGCAGATTTTCTCAACTGCAGCACTACTGATGTTTTAGACAGACACGTCTTTGTGTGGAGGCCTGTTCTGTGCATTGTAGGATGTTTAGCAGCATCCCTGGACTCTACCCATGAGATGCCCATAGCACACTTCAGACATTACCGAATATCCCCTGGGGGACAAACTTGCCCCTGGTTAAGAACCACTGGTTTAGACTTATTATAGACACCTGAAACAACTTAAGGTAAACTGAACTCATCTTCCATTCCCTAAACTTGCTACTTCTATGTTCTCCATCTCAGGGAAGAGAACTTCCATTCACCCACACATCCAAACCAGAAACCTGAGAATTTTCTTTGTTACTCCCTCACCTCTCAAATCTATACAACAAATTATGTCAATTTTATATCCTTAAAATTATTCAGATTTGTTCCTTCTCTTCCTGTTTCTTAGATAGCAGAAAACCAGGTAGATGCAGACAGAGTAAATGAAGAAGTGATTCCAGCTACTAAAGAGGAAAGGGGAATGGCCTCATAAAATGCCTCAGGATGGCCGGGCGCGGTGGCTCACGCCTGTAATCCCAACACTTTGGGAGGCTGAGGCGGGTGGATCACGAGGTCAAGAGATCAAGACCATGCTGGCCAACACGGTGAAACCCCGTCTCTACTAAAAATACAAAAAAATTAGCCGGGCACGGTGGCATGCGCTTGTGGTCCCAGCTACTTGGGAGGCTGAGGTGGAAGAATCACTTGAACCCAGGAGGCAGAGGTTGCAGTGAGCCAAGATTGAGCCACTGCACTCCAGCCTGGTGACAGAGCAAGACTCCGTCTCAACAGCAACAACAACAAAAATGCCTCAGGATGAGGCACAAAGGTGACCTCTGGATCACGTGTCGGGGTTATAACTGTAATGAGGAAGTATCTCTTCCTTGAGTCTGGGATGAAATAAAGGTGTAAACTATTATGACTCTGGTGTGGTCAAGTGAAGATGAGACTTCATGGGAGTGGGAGGGTTCGGGGCGGGGATTCAACATTTTCTACAGGCCTGGAAGATTTGGGAAGAACCCCTAACTCTTATTTCTAAAGATACAATCTGCCTTGTTCTCACTTGTGTGTACAGCTGCCTTTTAGCATCTCTCCCTCCTTCATTTGTGTTTGTGAGTTTAACCACTTGTTCCAACTGGGAGATGATAGCAGGTTTGGAAAATGGAAATCCTACTCAAGAGAAAGAAATAGAATGTAAATTTTAAGTTCAAAAGAGAAAAGACCACCCTATTCTCAGTCCCCCTCTGTTGCATTTTAGAGAAGAGAAAATGAAATAACTAATTGTCAAAAGCAATTAAATAATTTGTACCCAAGTAGGGTGAGAAACAGTTAAAGGATCTAATCTGGATTCTGGGGGGGAAATAACCAAAGTCTCATTTGTTATCATCCCCTAATGGAAGCAAGGGAATCTTTAGAAGGCAAAAGTATTCTGAAAGGTCAATCTGGGGTGAAAGCACCCAAGCTTACCCAAGGAGACCAGGTTCCTATAGTTCTCCAGCATTACATCCCTATACAAGACTCTCTGAGCAGGGGCCAGTGCTCTCCATTCCTCTTCAGTGAAGTTCACTGCCACATCCTTGAATGACACAAAGCCCTGAAACACCTGCATGGGGTTCTGAAGAAAAAAGTAAATGACGCATAATTGGGGAGATTGATGGGATGAAGAGGAAATAGATTAAACTATGCTCACAGTATCAAAGACAAGACTTTATTGACTCATATATTAAAGAATCTTAAAATATTAAAATGTGTATTCCCCTTTGACATAATTTGATAGTAGTTTTACTTTACAGTAATTTTATATGTAGAACTCAATTATAAGAAAACTATCAGAAATATGGAGAGTTATAAACAAAGAATCACATCTATTTATACCTTACAATAGCAAAATAGTTCTAAATAACCTAAATTTTGAGAACAGTATGAGGAGCTGCTAACTGTCCATGAAAATATACCTCTTCCTCTCTTTTCTAGGTTTCCCAACCTTCTCTGCAGTTAGACATGGCCATGAGATCCTAACCAATGGAATGCAAGCAGAAGTGATGTGCATGCTTTCCAAGCCTGACTCATATATATTCTGCCATGCTGTTTTCCCCTTCTGACTGGCTGTTAGTGTCACAAGCCCCAGAGTGAGTTTGGAAGCCATGTGGTAAAGAGGTTAGAGCTTCAGATAGCTCAGGTCCCTGAATGGCCATCCTATCAATCTACACACCCAGTCACATGGCTATGACCGCAAACAATACACTTCTATTGTATTAAGGCCATTATATATTTTGGGTCTATTGGTTATAATAGTTATTAGTAAGCCAACCCTAACTAATTCAGAAATTAGCACCTTCAAGTGGGAGGTATCATAACAAAATGTTCAAATACACAGGTGGCATTGGTTTGACAGTCAGGTGGCATGTTTCGAAGAAAAGAATATTTAAGACTGGAAAAATGCAGACTCTTTTTTTTTTTTTTGAGGCAGTCTCACTCTGTTGCCCAAGCTGGAGTGCAGTGGCTGTGATAATCTTGGCTCACTGCAACCTCCCCCTCCCATGTTCAAGCGATTCTCCTGCCTCAGCCTCCAGAGTAGCTGGGACTACAAGTGTAAGCCACCACGCCCAGCTAATTTTTTGCATTTTTAGTAGAGATGGGGTCTCACCATGTTGTCCAGGCTGGTCACGAGCTCCTGACCTCAGGTGATCTATCCACCTTGGCCTCCCAAAGTGCTGGGATTACAGATGTGAGCCACTGCAACCAGCCAAAAGATGCAGATTCTTAATATACACTGGCAAACTAATTAGCAACTATGAGGGCAGGGCAAATACTCACTGGGCCTATGGCTCTAGTAAAGAGGAAAATTAAATAACAAAATGGTAGTCTGTAATTGCTGCATAATAAAATAAAATTTACTGTGTTGTATTCAATATAAAACCTAACCCCCAACTCTGCTTAAAATTAACTAACTCCATGTAAAACCTACCCTATCTATTCTCCCCACATTCTCAGCAAAGTTCCAGGCAACCCAAGACATCTGTTTTTCTTGCTAACCAGCTGCAAGGTCACAGGAAAAGAACACCAAAAAAATGTACAATATGGTTTCTCAAAATGCTGTTTTTCAACTGTAACATACATCACAGATATGTTACAAATTAATTAACTGTTCTTTGTTCTGGCTTCTGTAAACCTGTTAGCTGCTATGTCATCCTGGATGTATAAAAAGTACCCCATTTTCTTTCTCTTTTACTCAGCCTTGAGATGCTAATCTGCTGAGCCAGTGGTCACCTTAATAAAATCCTCCTGTTTCACCTATTGGTCTTTCCAGTCTCCTGAATATTCTGCAACATTAGAACAGGTTAGAAAGTGCCAGGATGCTTTGTGTAGAATGCTCCTGGATATGTCTGGCAAAGAAAGAATGATTTGAGTTCAGGAAACTATGTGTCAATTTTTCAAGCCAAAACAAAAGAGAAAAGAGGCAGAAATCTGGAGCCTCACATGGTTGGAAAAGCAAACTGTTTCCAGATCTCATACAGTGGGAACTAAGTCTAAAAAGTGCTTTGTGCAATAAAGGCCCATTACACCTGTCAACTAAACAAAGTGATTTAGCACTGTAAAAAAAGGTCCGATTGGATGGGGCCTTCCCACCCAAGCCTATTGTTCAGGGCTTTACGGTTACCTTCAGTAAGTTGAGAGAGACACATGGTAAGTAAGGAACTAAGAAATAGACCAACCTTAAGAATTATATCGGCTGGGCGCGGTGGCTCAAGCCTGTAATCCCAGCACTTTGGGAGGCCGAGGTGGGTGGATCACGAGGTCAAGAGATCGAGACCATCCTGGTCAAAATGGTGAAACCCTGTCTCTACTAAAGATACAAAAAATTAGCTGGGCATGGTGGCGTGTGCCTGTAATCCCAGCCACTGGGGAGGCTGAGGCAGGAGAATTACCTGAACCCAGGAGGCAGAGGTTGCGGTGAGCCGAGATCGCGCCATTGCACTCCAGCCTGGGTAACAAGAGCGAAACTCCGTCTCAAAAAAAAAAAAAGAATTATATCCAGGAAAGAATTTGGAGTGTAAGAAGCCTTTTAAGTTTTTGTGGAACAACATCTCCGTGATTTCAATGTACTGACTTTTTCCTGTGCCAGAACAATCAGTATCTTGCTTTGATTCTAAGTCATTTATGTCACCAACTTTCTATAAATCTTTCAAGAATCTACTCAGCCTTCAGGGCCCACATCAAATCTCACTACTTTCATTAGCCTGGGAGCTGCTTAAAATAACTTTAAAATGTTAGTTGAATGAATAAAGCCTTCCTAAATCTCTATCACCAAGACACATTTGCTCATGCTCCTCCAAGTCCATATAGCATTTTCCCTAACACACTTTATTATTGAGTAGGCTTTTAGTAAATCTGCTGGTTTGTGCCATATAGATTTGTGTACGTCTTTTCCCCCCAAGGTATTCTAGACAGATGGAACCAAGAAATGCCTTACATGCCTTTGCATATCTACACCAAATGTCTCAAATGAACAAACAGAAGCTTGATTCTCACCCAACCACATTCTAGGAGTCCCCAATTATCTGCTAAAGAGGCCTTGCTGCCTCCCCATCCTCTCGATACACTATCAACTGATGATCAAGGCCACCAAGCCTCCTAACCTTCACTGCTACTTCCATACAACTGAGGAACCCCCAAACACCATCTTGTTGGCAGTCCATCCCACCCACTTGATCCTTGCCTTTCAAACTGCTATGCCTAATGAAATAGACAAGATCCACACTAAGAGAAAGAAATTTGCTTCAGGAATTAAAATAAGATTTCTGAGAAGAGAGGAAAATCCCCAACTCACCTGGGACTCTGCTGTATATTTCTCAAGATACACTTTTGGGAAAGGGCAGTGTCCTTAGATGGCATAACTGTAAGGAAATTAACATAAAGGAATCTGGTTTATCTTTATATATCTCAAACCTGAGTTTAGAAATAGCCACTTACGACAAAATATGCCTCTGACCTTGGCTGTCCACAGCTTGAAGGATTTTACAGATATCTACATAACGAGGCTTCAAAGATAATCTCAGAGGACAGAATGAACATAAACTTAGGGAAAGGTATGACCGTTCATTGCATTAAGGATCTGTGTGATCCACTGCTCTGCAAATGAGGTTCCCTGGAATCAAAAATCCCTAAAACAAAACAAGAAGTACAATGTTACAGTTGGAGAGGTACTTAAAGACCTCCACGCTCAACTCCTTTATTTGCATATGGAGAAAGTGACCAATTCCATACAACAAGAAAAAGGGAGTCACAGCAGTAAAAGGCAGCAGTACCCACCCCAGCTGTCATGGTCACAGACACCTTCAGCCACCCCATCATGAGTATTCCAAGCCCACGGTGAGCCTGTGGCCATCTTAGGTCTGTTCCACCACACATGCTCCACTAAACTGCATGTGTTATTATCATTCACCCCTGCATCCTAAGCACCAAGCACAGTGTACCTGGTAGACAGCAGTCCCTAAGTATTGTGAATGAATTAATGAATGAGCCCCAAATTCCCCTGGTCTGATTCTACACCCAACAGGCAAACTTCTGCTTGTGATTTACTTCTCCATTTTGATTTTTTGCCTATAGGGAGAAAACTGCTAATTATATTAACTTTGAGCACTTCTTTGAGCTTATCTCTAGGTAGCAGGGTTACATGCTATTTATCTTATTCTACATATAATTATATATTTTCCCAATATTCTACGGTTTATTATTTCTTCAATCTTCTCTCCACCCATCTCCAAAAAGCAATACTTAAAGAAGCTCATTGTGGATTTGTTTGGGGGAAGAAGTAGTGATTTCTTTCTCTTTTTTTTTTGAGCTACAGCTCCAGACCAGGCTGGAGTGCAATGGCGCAATTTCGGCTCACTGCGACCTCTGCCTCCTGGGTTCAGGTGATTCTTCTGCCTCAATCTCCTGAGTAGCTGGAACTACATGCCCATGCCACCACGCCCCGCTAATTTTTTGTATTTTTTAGTAGAGATGGGGTTTCACCATGTTAACCAGGATGGTCTCGATCTCCTGACCTGTGATCCGCCTGCCTCGGCCTCCCAAAGTGCTGGGATTACAGGCATGAACCACCACATCCAGCCGCAGAAGTAGTTATTTCTAAACCTCAGTCATTATCAAAGTACAAGGTTTCGCAATTTTGTAAAATTCATGCCTTCTGTAATCCTTTGTCATTGGAACTCTGGCTCTGGAGTCTGCCTGCTGCCTTTACATCCTGGCTCTGTATGACCATAACCAAATTTCTTCTGTGCTTCAGATTCTTAATTTAAAAAAAGAGAATAATAATGGTACCTACCTCAATAAAATGTGCATTAATGCACATAAGCAGCCAAACCAGAATCTGGAACAGAATAAGCACTCAGGAAAGGTCATTTAATTATCAGTTAATTGTTAATATTTTCTGTATATCAACATTAACCAAGACTTTATGGCACTTTCTATACATTGTCTTACGAGGAAAAAAAGGTACGAACAATACGTTTCGTCATACTCCCAAACCCCAACTTCCCCGAAAGATGCCTGCCCCTCCCTGTACTAGACACTGACAATCAGAGGGGGCTAAGACAGAGTTAGGAAGTCATAAGCTCCAGGTCTTCCAGAAATCAGAGGGGCTGAGGTCAGGATATTAGAGGAAAGCCAAACAGGCTAAAGATAGACTATGGAAGTCCCTTCTAATCTGGGGCATCCCTTTGTAGCTCCTTAAGAGAAAATACTTTTTAAGAGAAAACTGAAAAGGAGCCGAGGAGCAGTCCCCTAATTCTGCCAGAACTGAGCAGCAGGGCCATGGATCCTGGGGGCGAAGGCCTGAGCTCACAGAAGGTTCAAGGGACTAGGGCTTGCCCATGTGCTATAATGCTAAATCAAATCATCAGCTTCTCCATACCTATTTATTTCTCCTCTTCCAAGGAGTCTGACTTATCCCACACTCATCCTTCAGAGAGGCAGCTGGTACAAAGGAAAGAGTATGGAAGTAAGGTATCTTGTTTTTTCAGAGATTCAAATAAAAAGGGAATATTAGTAAAATCATTACCATTCCTTGCACACTCACCAGGTACCAAGCACTTTCCATAAATCACTATTTACAGATGAGGAAACTGTTAACTTGCCCAAGGTCTCCAAGGTCTCTGTGCTGCCCACACACATTTTACAAGGTTGCTGTGAAGAAAAACTAAAATGAGGTTGTGTGTGCACACTGTAGATTCCCAGCTAACGGCAGGATCTTCTCTTATTTCTGTTTCTTACCTCTGTTTTGGAGATTGCAGGTCCAATCCTCCATAATCACAGCCTTTGCACCACTATTTGGGTGTAGCAACCTTTCCATTCTCCACATATCTTCCTGGGAATTGCCAGCGTTCTCCCAGAAACTCTGGCAAGAAATTCTGGATTGAAGTTTTCTCCTTTTTCATTGTATTTCTTTTTCCATTCTCTGAGACTACTCAGAATGTAGAGTTTGAAGCAGTATCTTTTGAGCTGAAAGCTAAACTGAAGAACTTCAGCAGCCATTTAATCTTCAGGAAACCCTAAACACAAGCAAGTCTGAGTGCCCAGGGCCCTGAAGAGTCAGATACTGGGAACACAGACAGTTACAGACAGCAGTAAAGATAAGGTTCCTGATGCATACACAAGTGCTGGGTGGTGGAAAGGCCACTGCTGGGAGTGCCTGGATTCTAATTTCCACAATGTGCTAGCTGGCTGGGTGACCCAGGACATGTTACTTTTCCTTCCTGGGTGTTTCCTTCTTATGTACAAATGGGGAGATGGATGTCTACTATTAATAAAATCGACGACACATTGATGACTGACTTGGTGTTTGGCCCTGTGTCAACTGTTGCATGTCAAAATTCCATTTAATCCTCATGACCACCACTTACAAGTAAGTACGATACAACAAACCTCAAATTATAAGTAAAGAAATGAACCCCAGAGAGTAACCTGCCTACACTCATATCAAAGAGCAATACCACTCTCTGAAAATGTAGATAAACAGATTTCTGATATCCATCCCCTCCCACATTCACACTGTCAGTCTATAAAATGGTTCCACCATACTGCAGACCTAAGGGACTCGTTGGTGCCTGACCTGGCCCGGGCATGGGAGCCTTGGGCGCTACCTGCCTCACCTTCCAGTCAAGTCCTCCAGGCTACGTGGGCCCTCAGCCTGTTTCTGAGCAAACGACCCGGAGGTGTCTCGGATAGGAAACACACATACACCCCACTGCCACACACACAAAGCCCAAAGACACGCTCCAGGGGCAGAGAGGGCGCGTCAAGATGCCCGAGTCCCGGCTCCAGTAGAAGAAATTAGATCTGCGGGCCCGGGGAAAGGACCAATGGGGAGCAGCCGGGACACCAAGTCTGACAATTCACTGCTGGAAACACACACCCTGTCCAGTGTCTGCTCCTTCCCGGTCCAGACATGGGGGGGGGGGGTCTCTGCAGGGAAGGACAGGGAGGACACAGACGGGCCACGCTCAGAGCCCGTACACAGAAGGCGCCGGAATTGGAAGTACGTGCAGAGCCTCCTGGGAAATGTAGTCCGGTGCGGCCCGGTCGCCGGACTTAAACTGGCGGTGGTCGGGCTGATGTGAGAGCCTGCACTGACCCCCGAAACACTCGGCTCATTCTACCGCCAAAGACAAGTTCTCGCGCGGCCCGAAAAGGAAGGTTAACGTTGGCTGCTATGGGGAAAGCAGACTGGAGCCACTGGGGGCGTTTAATAAACCATTGAGGACTATTGTGAATTTTTTAGGGAGAGACGGGGAAATTGGGAGAGCAGAAGTCCAGTCCCTTTGTCGCGCTCCACGAAATAAACAGGGCTGCAGCGCCACTTCTGAGCACCCAACACCACAGTCACACACCTGAGGTCCTGCCTCGTTCCGGGATCCTAACGAATGAGCCTTGCTCTCACATTCTGGTTCAGTGGTTCCCACGCCCCTGCAGCCGAAGCAGGTGGTCCTCCGATGGGCGTTTGGGCTCCTATCAAAGAAGTGCTGTGTTCCAATTCATGGAGAGCCGGGGCCCTCCCTGGGCCATCTTACATGCCTCTGCCCAGAAAAGTGTCCCGTTATTCCTATTTGTTATTTCCTGTTTCCTAGCTACTTACATATCTATCACATTCCTCCAAATCCTTTAGTGATTGATTTTATATTTATCCAGGTTCCATTCTGCACCACACTCTCCATGACGGACCCTTCAGGATATAGTTCTACTCGGTTCTACTGGGACAAGAATGAAGACAGTTGAGTTGTTGCTCTCTTTTTTGTTGCTTCCAGAATCAGGAGGTGACAAGAACCAGCTTTTAGGACAGCCCCAGGCTTGCCACTACCTCCACCGCCAACCACAGCCCTCAGGAGAAGAGCTGTACCTAAATCCAGCCAATTTTTGCCCCTGTGCTCCAGATCCTATCTTCCTGAGTGCGTTTCTGGACAGAATGTTCTGGGCATCCACAAAAATGCTATTGTAAAGAAAGCAAAATCGCAACTGTGAGATCCTTCTGTCAGGATTTATTTTTCTTTCTTTTTTTTTTTTTTGAGACAGAGTCTCACCCTGTCGCCCAGGCTGGAGTACAGTGGCACAATTTTGGCTCACTTCAACCTTCGCCTCCCGGGTTCAACCAATTCTCTTGCTTGAGCCTCCCAAGTAGCTGGGATTACAGGTGCACACCACCAGTTCCGGCTAATTTTTGTATTTTTAGTAGAGGCGGGGTTTCTCCATGTTGGCCTGGCTGGTCTCAAACTCCTGACCTCTGGTGATCCACTTGCCTTGGCCTTCCAAAGTGCTGGTATTAAGGCGTGAGTCACCATGCCTGGCCCAAAAATTGTTTATTATGCTTGAGCTAGTCTGTATTAAAGTCTTGGTTGTATTTTTCATTGAATTCATTGAATTCTTCAGTTTTAGGTTTTCTGTTTGGTTCTTTTTTATATCTCTGTTAAATTTCTCATTTGAATTATGAATTGCTTTCTTCATTTCATTGAATTGTGTAATTGTACACTCTTGAATTCCACTGAGTTTCCTTAAGATTATTATTTTAAATTCATTTTCTGGAACTTTGTATACTTTCTTATGATTGGTGTCTGTTCCTGGAAATTATTGTGCTCTTTTGGAGGTGTTGTGCTCCTTGCTTTTTTATGTTTCATGTGTTTCTACATTTCTTTCTTTTTCTTCCTTCCTTCCTTCCTTTCTTTTCTTTCTTTCTTTCTTTTTTTTAAGACGGAGTCTTGCTCTGTCACCCAGGCTAGAGTGCAGTGGCGAAATCTCAGCTCATGGCAACCTCTGCCTCCCGCATTCCAGCAGTTCTCCTGCCACACCCACCCAAGTAGCTGAGATTACAGGCATGTACCACTATACCAGGCTAATTTTTGTATTTTTAGTAGAGACAATGCTTCACCATGTTAGCTGGGCTGAATGAACTCAAGCGATCTGCCCACCTCAGCCTCCCAAAGTGCTGGGATTACAGGCGTGAGCCACTGCACCCAGCTCTGCATTGATTTCTAAATGCATGATGAAACAATCACCTCTTCCAATTTCATGGAGTAGGTTCTGTAGGGAAAGGTTTATTTGTATGGGTCTTGGGGTGTTGCTTCAATGAAATGTGTTGGCTTTCGTTCTAGGTGGATGCAGTAGTGTATTCTCTATGTAGTTTCTTCAGCTATAATACATGCTAGTGACAGGCCAGTTGCGGTGGCTCATGCCTGTAATCCCAGCACTTTGGGAATTTGAGGTTAGGAGTTTGAGACCAACCTGGCCAAGATGGTAAAACCCCATCTCTACTGAAAATACAAAAATTAGCCAGGTGCAGTGACGGGCACCTGTAATCTCAGCTACTCAGGAGGCTGAGGCAAGAGAATTGCTAGAACCCGGGAGGTGGAGGTTGCAGTGGGCCGAGATCACACCACTGCATTCTAGCCTGGGTGACAGAGCAAGACTCTCAAAAAAAAAAAAATGCTAATGACATTTGTAAATGTCTCAGTGGCCTAGGCTGAGAGGTGGTAGTGATGGTCATGTGGCTTTTGCACAGGGCTGTTTCTCAAGTCACGGGCTCATTTGTGCACATGGTGGGTCAGCCAACTTGGGCTCTGGATCATTGGGGTTGGGGCTATGGGGCTATTAACTCTAAATGGGAACACAAATGCATTGTTGCCTGGCCAGCCTAGAGGGTGCCTGCCAGTGGTGCCCTGTGGCAGTTTCTCAGACCCTGGACACAGAAGCACAGCTGCTTGGCTGTCCTGGGAGCATGTCTTCTAGGCAAAGCCTGTGGGCTGTTACTTAGGCCTGCGACAAAAGCACAGAGCTGCTTGGCTGGCCCAGAGGTGTCTGTCCTGGAACAGTAAAATAAAAATATATTGTATATGTTCAGTTAAATAAATATGTTTATGTAATTAATTTCACCTCTTAAAAAAGTTTTTAAGATATAGTGACTAAAAGTTAAAATTATATATGTCACTTACATTATATTTCTCTCTATATATAGTGGTATAGATGTATATGAATTATTTTAAATTCACTGAAGAATCATCTGTGTTTTAGCATATGATCAGCTTTCCTGAATAATGCATGTGTGCTAGAAAAGAATGTATATTCTCTGCTTGTTGCATCCAAAGTTGCATGTAGATCTATTATCCTGAGATTCATAATCCTGTTATTGAAATTTCTCAAGCTCTCCTTCCTTTTGTCTATTTGATATATTTATTTTTCAGAGGATTATGTAAAACTTTCCAACTACAATTATTGATTTTTCTGTCAGGCAATATAGCTTCTTGATCTCACATTCCTTTTATAAGTGTATAATGTGTCCAAACAAGGTGCTGTAGATATATTTTTCTCCATTCCTTCCTACTGATTACTATGAACACTAGAAGTAACAAACAAGAACTCTAACAGGTAGAAAAAGGAAATTGGGGCCCAGCACAGTGGCTCACGCCTGTATTCTCAGCACTTTGGGAGGCAGATCACGAGGTCAAGAGATCGAGACCATCCTGGCCAAGATAGTGAAACCCCATCTCTACTAAAAATACAAAAATTGGCTAGGTATGATGGCACATGCCTGTAGTCCCAGCTACTCAGGAGACTAAGGCAGGAGAATCACTTGAGCCTGGAAGGCAGAGGTTGCAGTGAGCTGAGATTGTACCACTGCACTTCACCCTGGCAACAGAGTGAGACTCCATCCCCCCCAAAAAAAAAAACCAAGAAAGAAAAAAAAGAGGCCGGGCACAGTGGCTCACACCTGTAATCCCAGCACTTTGGGAGGCCGAGGCAGGTGGATCACGAGGTCAAGAGATCGAGACCATCCTGGTCAACATGGTGAAACCCCGTCTCTACTAAAAATACAAAAAAAATTAGTTGGGCGTGGTGGCGCATGCCTGTAATCCCAGCTACTCAGGAGGCCGAGGCAGGAAAATTGCCTGAACCCAGGGGGTGGAGGTTGCGGTGAGATGGCGCCATTGCACTCCAGCCTGGGTCACAAGAGCAAAACTCCGTCTCAAAAAAAAAAAAGAAAAGAAAAGAAGAAAAAGAAAAAGGAAATTGGACTGGGTAGAAGGAGACCCCAGCACTGGAGGGCATGTTAGTGGGGCATCTTATAACCCCAAGCCTAGCACTAGAAGATGGCCCACATAGACTTATTCCTCCCCCAGTGGAACAAGGGCCCCACTAACAACACCAGGTAAGCCTGGAGGGATTGATTGGAAACCTCACTAACCATAGGCAGCCAGAGGAGATCCCATCAAACCTGAGACTCTCCTCTCCCATCTAGAACAACAGGTGGATGGACACTACCATCATAGGAGATCCTGCCACAGCAATCACTAGCCCAGTGAGACCTGGGAATCCCCATTCTCCCACCCCAAATACACACACACAGACACACACACACACACACACACACACACACACTCCTAGCAATGCCAGGTGGTTGGTTAGTACAGGCAGGTGGAAATTCCACCATATAGAGGGTGCCATACAGGAAGCACTCTACTTCCACATGGACTGAAGAATCTGTTTCCCCACCTTGGCCCAGCCTGGACAAGCTCTTTCCACTCATTTGGGCAACACTAACAGGGTCCAGTAGATAACCCAGAGCAGACCAAAATAGTGCCACAAAGGCTCTGAAGACTAGATAGTCACTGGAAGGGCAGCCCACCACAAAAAGTAGACTAAGGCCTAGATATTATATTCTAAACCTAAATAAATCTTCTAAAATTAAAGATTTAAATAGACTCCAGAGTTTCTTAATATCCAGAAATCAATCCAGAATCACCCATAACACCAAGAAATAGGAAGATTACAACTTGAAAGATCTTACCAGGATTTAAAGCAGCCATCATAAAAAACAGGTTCAATAAGAAATTACAAATGTTCTTAAAACAGATGAAAAAATAAAAAATAAAAAATCTGCACTCCAGCTTGGGTGACAGAGTGAGACTCTGTCTCAATAATAATAATAATAATAATAATAAACAAAGAAACAAACAAAAATAACCCCCCAAAATTATCTGGGCTTGGCAGCATACACCTGTAATCCCAGCTACTCAGGAGGCTGAGGCAGAAGAATCATTTGAACATGGGAGGGAAGAGAAGGGGAAGGGAGGGGAGGGAAATGTTACAAAAAAGAACCAAATGAAAATTATATTGTTTAGTAATATACAATTACTAAAATATTTAAAATTCACTGGATGGACTTGATAGTAGAGTGGAGATGACAAATAATAGAACCAAAGAACTTGAGGAGAGATGACTAGAATTTACCCAATCAGAACAACAAAAAGGAAATGGACTAAAAATAAATGAACACAGCTTCATGGGCCTTTCTTTGGGACAATGACAAAAGATCCAGCAATCTTAACATCAGAGTCTCAGGAGAGAAAAAATGAGTGGGACTGAGAGTATTTAAAGAAATAGTAGGCCGTCCACAGTGGCTCAAAACTGTAATCCCAGCACTTTGGGAGGCCAAGGTGGGTGGATCACAAGGTCAGCAGATCAAGACCATCCTGGCTAACATGGTGAAACCCCATCTCTACAAAAAAAGCAAAAACTTAGCTGGGCATAGTAGCACATGCCTGTAGTCCCAGCTACTCGGGAGGCTGAGGCAAGAGAATCACTTAAATGGGGGAGGCAGAGGGTGCAGTGAGTCGATATTGTGCCACTGTACTCCAGCCTGACAACAGGCTGTTGTCAGGCTGGAGTACAAAAAGAAAAAGAGAGGGGCCGGGTGCGGTGGCTCACGCCTGTAATCCCAGCACTTTGGGAGGCTGAGGCGGGTGGATCACGAGGTCAAGAGATCGAGACCATCCTGGTCAACATGGTGAAACCCCGTCTCTACTAAAAATACAAAAAATTAGCTGGGCATGGTGGCACGTGCCTGTAATCCCAGCTACTCGGGAGGCTGAGGCAGGAGAATTGCCTGAACCCAGGAGGCGGAGGTCGCTGTGAGCCGAGATCGCGCCATTGCACTCCAGCCTGGGTAACAAGAGCGAAACTCCGTCTCAAAAAAAAAAAAAAAAAAAAAAGAGAGATAGTAGAAGATAATTTCCCAAATTTCGTTTATGTTCCAAATTATGAAAGACATATACTTACAGATTCAAGAAGCTGAACAAACCCCAAATAAAGTCAAATAAATTCCTAACAAGATACATCATAATTAAAATGCTGCAAACAAAAGATTAAAAAGTTACTAACAGCAGCAGAGAGAAATGTTTCCATTACATCTGGGGAACACAATTCGATGACATCAGTCTTTGTGTTTGGGAGGCTGAGGCGGGTGGATCACGAGGTCAGGAGATCGAGACCATCCTGGTCAACATGGTGAAACCCTGTCTCTACTAAAAAATGCAGAAAATTGGCTGGGCATGGTGGTCCGTGCCTGTAATCCCAGCTACTCAGGAGGCTGAGGCAGGAGAATTGCCTGAACCCAGGAGTCGGAGGTTGCTGTGAGCCGAGATCGCGCCATTGCACTCCAGCCTGGGTAACAAGAGCGAAGCTCCGTCTCAAAAAAAAAAAAAGAAAGAAAGAAAGAAAGAAAGAAATCATGAAAGCCAGAAACAAACAGCATATTTTTCAAGTGCTGTCAACTTGAAAGGGGCGGCGGGGAGGGGGGGTGGGGGGGGGACTGGAAACTGTGAATCGTTTCCAGTGAAATTATCCTTCAGAAATGAAGAGGAAATCCAATCATTCTCAAATGTACGTAAACTAAAGAATTTGTTGCTATAGATTTAGCCTCAAGGAATGACTAAAGGATCTGTAAACAAAAAGAACATAATAAATGAAAGTATCATGGAGTATCAGGAAGGAAGGAAGAAAGAATAGAAAAATTTTAAATATGATCAAATACAGTAGGCCATCCCTCTCCTCAAGTTTTACAATATAATGTCCATTTTTTGTCCATTATGATTTTTTTAATCTTGAGTTTGATTTTATTAAAATAACATTGTTATTTGGCTATTTTTGTTCATATTAGCCTGGTATGTATTTTCTAATAACTTGGATTTTAATATTTTTGTTTTGCTTGAATTACAATGTATGTTTTATTTTTTAAAAAATTGCTGCACTTTGTTTTTTTACTTATTAGGTTTTTTTTTTTTTTTTTTTTGAGATAGAGTCTCACTCAATCACCAGGCACCAGGCACCAGGCACCAGGCTGGAGTACAGTGGTGTGACCTCGGCTCACTGCAACCTCTGCCTCCTGGGTTCAAGCAATTCTCCCTCCTCAGCCTCCTGAGTAGCTGGGACTACAGGTGCGTGCCACCATGCCAAGCTAATTTTTTTTTTGTATTTTTAGTAGAGACAGGGTTTCACCATGTTGGCCAGGATGGTCTCGATCTCTTGACCACGTGATCCACCCGCCTCGGCCTCCCAAAGTGCTGAGATTACAGGCGTGAGCCACCTCGCCCGGCCACTTATTAGTTTTTAATTCATACTGAGATTCTCAGCCTTTTGATAGATAAGTTTGACCCGTTTACATTTACTGTGATAAATGATATAATAGGTCTCATTTTGTGTTTTCTTTTCTTTTTTGAGACAGGGTTGTGTTTTCTCTTTTCCATACTTTCTGTTTCTTTTAGTCCTCTTCTCTGAGTTTGCATGGAATAATCACTTCTTTTCTTCTGGTTTGAATAGTATACATCCTGTTTTTATTCTCCTGGTGTTTGTACCTAACTTATTAAAACCCACACATATGTTTCTTCCCCACCTACCATCCAATTTTTACAGTTGTGAATGTGCATTTTTTATGCTGTTCAGTCTAGGATACTATATACAGCAAAATTATCTTTCTTTTTTCGTTTTTCTTTTAAGACGGACCGTCACTCTGTCTCCCAGGCTGGAGTGCAGTGGCATGATCTTGGCTCACTGCAGCTTCCAACTCCCATGTTCAAGTGATTCTCCTGCCTCAGCCTCCTGAGTAGCTGGGATTACAGGTGTGTGCCACCAAGCCCAGATAATTTTTTGTGGGTTTCTTTGTGTGTGTGTGTGTGTTGTTTGTTTGTTTATTATTATTATTATTATTATTACTATTATTATTGAGATGGGGTCTCACTCTGTTACCAAAGCTGGAGTGCAGTGTCATGATCTTGGCTCACTGAAGCCTCCTCCTCCTGGGTTCAAGCGATTCTCCTGCTTCAGCCTCCCAAGTAGCTGGGACTACAGGCATATGCCACCATGCCCAGCTAATTTTTGTATTTTTAGTAGAGACAGATTTTTGCCATGTTGGCTAGGCTGGTCTCGAACTCCTGACCTCAGGTGATCCACCCACCTTGGCCTCCCAAAGTGTTGGGATTACAGGCATGAGCCACTGCACCTGGCCAATTTTTATTTTTTTGTATTTTTAGTAGAGATGGAGTTTCACCATGTTGGCTAGGCTGGTCTTGAACTCATGACCTCAAGTGATCCACCCTCCTTAGCCTCCCAAAATTCTGGAATTACAGGCATCGAGACACCACACTCAGCCTAAAAACTCAAAATAGAACTACTATATGATTCAGCAATCCCATTACTGAGTGTTTATCCAAAGGAAAAGAAATTAGTATATCACAGGGATATCTGCACTTCCATGTTTATTGCAGCCATATTCACAATAGCATCTTAAGTGTCCACCAATGAATGAATGGATAAAGGAAATGTGGTATATATACATAATGCAATACTATTTGGCCATAATAAAAAATGAAATACCAACATTTGTAGCAAGATGGATGTCATTGAAGGTCATCATGTTAAGTGAAATAAGCCAGGCATAGAAAGACAACTACTGCATGTTCTCACTTATATTTGGGAGCCAAAAAAGTCCATCTTATGGAGGTAGAGAATAGAATGATGATTACTAGAGGCTGGGAAGGGTGTGGAGAGTGATGAAAAGGGGCTAGTTCATGGGTACAAACACACAGTTAGATAGAAGAAATAAGTTTGAATCTTTGATAGCACAGTTAACAACAATATATATATTTCAAAATCATATAGAAAAGAACATTTCAAATTTTTCCAACACAAAGAAATGAAAAATATTGAAGGTAATTGATATTATAAATACCCTGACTTGATTATTACATATCCTATGCATGTAGAACATTTCAAATTTTCCCAGCACAAAGAAATGATAACTGTTGAAAGTGATGCATATCCTGAATACCAACTTCATTATTACACATCTTATGCATGTATCAGAATATCACATGTAGCCCATAAATACATACAAATATTATTTACCAGTATTACATTTTCTTCTTGCAATCAGTCCTGCTATTGACAAATCAGGTTTTATTATTTAATTATTATTTGTTGAGAAGCCACAAAATGCCAACAACTGTTTTTAATACTGAGGATTTTTCTTTGTGATTTTTTTTTCTTTTGTTTTTCTTTTGCTTCTGGAAGGCATTAGAATTTTTTCTTTGTTAGATTTCACTGTAATATGTGGAGTCTATTCATAGTTTTTTTGACTCTCTATGCATACTTTCAATCTGAAGTCTTCAATTTTTAATTTTTCCATAATTCTTGATTATTGTTTCTTAAAATAGTACCTGCTCTCTGTTTTTCTTTCATTCTTGGTTCTTATTATATAAAATCTAGTCAGTCTCCATACTGCTTAACATTTCTTTCATATTTTTCAACTTTTTCTCCCTGATATTTTATGGAAGTGTAGAGTTCCCTGGCCTGATATTCTAGCTTCACTAGAATATTCTAGATATTCACTCTTCAATTTTACATATTCTGCCATTCAACCTAGTATTAACCATTATATTTTGACACATGGTTTTGTTGTTTTTATTTTTAATGACACGTTCTTGCTTGATATTTCAAGTATTCTCCTTCATCATTCTTAGGATAGCTTTTTAAAAGTATATATACAGGCCACACACCTCCTAGGACCAACTGTAGAGTTGCTCAATCCAACAATTTTCCCCGTTCCAGAGAATCTCAAGATTGGATTTTGACAAAGATCCTCTTTTATGTTGAAAAGTTATATTAGGTAAATTTCCCTGCATAACAATATTGCCACATACTTAGTGGTTCAAATAGCACAAGTTTCTTTTTTTTTTTTTGAGACGGAGTTTCGCTCTTGTTACCCAGGCTGGAGTGCAATGGCGCGATCTCGGCTCACCGCAACCTCCGCCCCCTGGGTTCAGGCAATTCTCCTGCCTCAGCCTCCTGAGTAGCTGGGATTACAGGCACGCACCACCATGCTCAGCTTTTTTTTTTTTTTTTTTTTTGTATTTTTTAGTAGAGACGGGGTTTCACCATGTTGACCAGGATGGTCTGGATCTCTTGACCTCAGTGATCCACCCGCCTCGGCCTCCCAAAGTGCTGGGATTACAGGCGTGAGCCACACAAGTTTCTTGTCTCAGAGTTTGTATGAGTGAGATTCGGAGCACAGCTTAACTGAGTCCTTTGCAGCCTGCTATCAAGGTGTCAGGCAAGACAGGGTTCTCATGGGAAGGCTCTACAAGGAATAATTTCAAGCACACAGAGCTGTCCAAAGGGTTCAGCTCCTTGCAGGTTGTGAAACTAAGGGCCTTCCATTCTTGCAGGCTATTGGTTGGAGGCCATCCTCAGTTCCTTGGCATATGGACCTCCCCAACATCACCACCACTTCATCAAAGCCAGCAAGAGAGGAGTCTCCTAGCAAGACACACATTAGACTTTTATGTCACCTTTATTGTACTGTATTGGTTACAAGTGAGTCCCAGTCCATATACAAGAGGAGGGGATTGCACAAGGATGTAACTACCAGGAGTTTCAGATAATGAGAGTAACAAATCCCTTTTGGGAACTGGAAATTATCTTTTCCTGAAGTTTCTAAAAACCACTGAATGGTTTTAAGCAGTAAAATAATAGCATATGCTTGTTTTAGAATGAGCACTAGCCAGAAAGTGTTGAGAACAGATTGGTGGTAGAGAAAACCCTAGTTAGGGAATCCAGTTATCAGGCTGTAATGGCAATCCTAGTGAAATGGTGGTGGCCCCAACTAAAGTAATGCTACTGGGAATAGAGAAAGATGGAAAAATTGGGGTTACTTAAGATACAATGAATAGGACTTGGTGATAAATAGATGGTGAGATTAAAGAGTTAACAATATTCAGGTCCTAGCTTGTGCAAATGAGTGAGTGGGCAGTTAACTCATTCACTGAGAAAAGGAGGGCAGTCTAGACACAAAGTTGGAGGTGGATGGGTTAGTCCCCTAAAAGAATTGGAGAGACTATATCACCATCTCTTGAAAGAACCACTTTTTATGATACATTTAAACTAATTTTTATGTCTGCAAAGAACCTGTTGCTCAAATTTGTTAAAACAGCATCAATCTTTTCAACTCATTTTAAATACATGAATTTTTAGGATTACAAATAGTCTGTGGATACAGGAACATCAGACTGAGCGTACAAAGAGGGACCTGCTCTCCCTAAAAATATCCGTCATATGTTTTGAAAGCAAACGATGAGCTCTTGGAGGAGAAAATATGGATAAAAGCTATGTTGTATTTTAATGTATCTTACACCGGAGTAATTTGGGTTGAACTCAGTAGTCTTTTTTTTTTTGAGACGGAGTTTCGCTCCTGTTGCCCAGGCTGGAGTGCAATGAATGGAGTGATTGATCTGGGCTCACCGCAACCTACGCCTCCCGGATTCAAGCGATTCTCCTGCTTCAGCCTCCCGAGTAGCTGGGATTACAGGCATGCGCCACCACGTCTGGCTAAGTTTTTGTATTTTTAGTAGAGCCAGTTTCTCCATGTTGGTCAGGCTGGTCTCGAACTCTCAACTTTAGGTGATCCGCCCGCCTCAGCCTCCCAAAGTGCTGGGATTACAGGCGTGAGCCACAGCTCCCGGCCGAACTCGGCAGTCTTAAGCACTGTGCCGCAGGACCTTGTGCAGACAAAGGGCGGGGACAGACCGGACTGGAGTCTGCCTCTCCGCTGCTCCCTCCCTCCCAGGACCCGGGGGAGTTGGGGGGGGGGAAGGGACGGGGCGGGATCAGACACAAAAGATGTTGCATCATACTCTCGCGAGATGGACGGAGCTCTTCCATCCTCCGATTCTCCCAGCAGCACCACGGGTGCTCCCACCCGCGGAGAACTGGAGTCTGGCGATGCCCAGGGTCTTCTGGGAATTGTAGTTCCGGGCGGAATGAGGGCAACCCGCCTGATTCCGCTCCTGCTTACGCATGCGCGAATCCGAGCTGGCCCAAGAAGTTCATACCCTTTGTGAAGCCCGGGATGGGAGGTGAGTCGGTTGTGGTGATGTCCCTCGTCTCCGTTCGGCATCTGCGGTGGTTCCCCGGGTCGTTCTGCGCCGGGTCGGGGCTGGAGTGAGCGTTTGTTAAATGGGCCTCGAGGGCATACTATGAGCCCCGTCCCTTCTTGCTCTAGCCTGATCCTCTCCTCCCGGGACGCCGTTGTGCGACGGGCGGGGCGGTCGCGGGGTCCTGGGCCAGTGCCCCCAGCGCGGCGGAATTTGTCCATGCTCCCGATGCCCCAGCGCCACCTCTTCCAGGCGCCGGGTCCCCACCGTGACAGCTCCAAGCGGTGGGGACAGACATCTGAGGACCCAGACTCAGGGATGCTGTCCCGGGTTTCCAGGGTCCAGCTCCGTAGGACCGAGGCAGATTCCACCGTGAGGAAGAAACCCGACACAACCTGACCCGGGCCTTTCATCAGAGCCAAGGAGGGAAGCCAGGAAGTGGGACCACGAGGCCCGGGCTTCTAACTGTCTGGCCAGAGAGGTCTGAATTGGGGTGAAGAGCAGAATCTCCAGAACAAGGAGGAGGTGGTGATCATGGAGACAGAGTTGACTGAAATGCCTGAGAAAAGAGGTGAGAATTGCGGACATATTGAACTTGTGGCGTGAAAGGGCAAAATTTCTGCTTCTGAACAGAAAACCGTTGGCTCAGGGGTGGTGGCGTTTGGCTGGCTGTCTCCATTGTCTTGGGGAATGGATGGACTTTTTAAGTGAGACTGGAGGGCTTGGTATGGGAGCATTGCCCTTTCCATGGCAGCTGGACACACAGTGGACCCTTCAAAGCTACCCCCAAAATGTGAGTGAAATGTTAACTTATACGGCATAAGTAACAAAGCCTCAGTTAATTCATTTTCTCAGGTACTCTTCCTCCCAAATGATTATCTCATGCTAGTCTCCATTGGGGCTGAGAATTCAGCTCTTTGCTTGGCAAAAATATATTGTTTTACATAGAAGAAAACAGGCATAGTAGTCAGTGGCTGACTTCAATTCTACCTGACCACTTTCATGAAGGTTGTGCTGTGACCTCCTATATCAGAATTCCTCCTGGGGTGTTTGTTAGATTTCTAGATTGTACCCCAGGCTCAGCTAATGCTTATTAATTTGAGGTGGGGTCCAGCAATCTACATTATAAATAAGCTTTCAGAGTGAGAACAATTGAGCTTATTTCTCTGATAATTATTTAGTATAGATTAAGCTGGGAAATTAACTGACATATTCTAATTTCTAGATCAGAGGACGCCATCTTCAGAATGAGTTATGATTATAGCAAATGAATTTGAGCCCGGAGTAGCAGTATTCCTGTACATCCTGGGACGAGGGTCCTAGGGGGAGACTGGTTTTGGTCTACCTTCAGTCTCAGTGTTTGTAGGGTGCACATACAGGATGTTGGAGCAGTTTTTAGACTTTATATCTGAGTGGCTAGATAAGTCTAGGCCTCATTATTACTGCTTTCTTGCCGTTAGCTCTGTCTTCCCAGGATTCTCCCCATTTCCAAGAGAAGAGCACAGAAGAGGGAGAAGTGGCTGCTCTGCGCCTCACGGCCAGATCTCAGGTGAGTAAGTCTGTTGATTATTGGAATTACACCTTGTTTCTTAGAGTACAGATGTGCTCCCTTTTTGATGTGGAGTTTCTTTATCCACTAAAATCTATCTACAGAGCTGAGTTCTAAATCTAAGAGACTACTCAGGAGGCTGATGAACTCAGAAGAAAATGTTTTCTACTTACTCATAACACTGGATGGATTTCTTCCCCAGTTAGTGTTTATTGCCCCTTAACAGACAGGTATCAGGTAAGCAACATTTCCCTTTCTTAGCCTACTATGCTCATTTCTGTGCTTGGTAATGTGAGAAACTATTTTAAATATAATGTGGTAATACCTCTTAAAACTTGTTTCTCTAGAGGAAACAGGATGTATGTGACTTTAAGTAGCAATTTAAGAAAGCACTTGAATGCTGAAGTGATTGTAAAAATAGTAAGTACTCAGGTAGTTCAAAGAAATGCTGGAAAAGGAAAGCCTATGAAGGCATAATTGAAAGTGTTACAATTAGAATCCAGCCCTCTGAGATGATGGAAGCTAAGGTATTATGTCTGTAACTTACTTTTATATTGTTACCCCCTCTCTCCCAAAAGGCAAATAGACAAATATTAAGAATTTTTGAATTTAGGTGGTGATTGTACTGTATTAATGATTATTATGTTCATCTTTAAACTTTTGTATGTTTGAAAATTTTATTAAAAGAATTTGGGGCTGGGTACAATGGTTCACACCTGTAATCCCAATACTTTGGGAGGCCGAGGTGGGCAGATCACCTGAGGTCAGGAGTTCAAGACCAGCCTGACCAATATGGTGAAACCTCGTATCTACTAAAAATACAAAAACTAGCTGGGCGTGGCGGTGCATGCTTGTAATCCCAGCTACTCTGGAGACTGAGGCATGAGAATCACTTGAACCCAGGAGGCAGAGATTACAGTGAGCTGACATAGGGCTACTACACTCCAGCCTGGGTGAGAGTGAGACTGTCTCAAAAAAAAAAAAAAAGAAAAGAAAAGAAGTTGAGTAGGAAAAAAGGAGCTTTCCATGATGGGTATGGCATACCACAACTCAGAGATTCCTCAATCAGCCTTTGTCTTTGCTTCTATAATCCAAAGTGTAAAAAGTAGATGCTGCATGTTTGTAGTGTTTGTAAAAGTGACTCTTCAAGATCCTTTATTATACTTGCCTGTCTCCATTGGCTTCTCAATGAAGTCTTGAAGTCTTGAAGACTTTATTAATCAAGAAGCTTTAAGTTGCAGCTAATGAAATCAATTCAAATGGGCCTAAGTGAAAAGAAGTAACTAATGATGAACAAACTGAAAAATCTAGGTCTGGCTATATCTAGGGCTCAAGCAAGAATGTTAAAACCTGTTTCTTCATTTTACTGACCTTTTCTTTTTTCTCCATGAGTTTTGTTGTCAAGCAGGTTTTTCTCCTAGTGTTGGCCTCTAACAAGTTTAGGCTTACATTTTCCTGTGTTGAAGGCCAGAGAAAAAGGCAGATTCTCTTCTCGTCATTCTTGCAGAAGTGCTGGGATTGACTCTAATGGGGTATTAGGCTCATTCCTGGATGAGTTATTGGCCAAATCTAAGTGTAATTCTCTATAGAATACACACACCCCTACACACACACCTGAGCATGCACACATCCCACCCATGAGTCAGAGTTGGAGTCAGTGCTACCTGAACTACACAGACTCAAAGTGGCCAGGCATAGTAGCCAGGGCAAAATTAGGGCACAGGTACCAGAAGTGTGAATATATATTTCAGTACTTTGATATTAGATTCAACACTATTACAGCATCAAGGTGATTGAATCTATTAATGGAATATTTTAAAAGCTCTCTTTGTTCTGTTTGGATTTTATTGGATTTTAAAAATGCAATATTGCAGCTTTTTTGCTTACTAGAATTTGCCTGGGCTATTTTTTATCTTTGATTTATTAGATTTTTTTAAATATTAAAGTTCTAATTCTTGCTCATTGTAACGAAGTGAAAAACACTGATAAACAGAAATGTAAAGGTAATATACCAGGCACAGTGGCTCACGCCTTCAATCCCAGCACTTTGGGAGGCCAAGTTGGACAGATCACGAGGTCAGGAGATTGAGACCATCCTGGCCAACATGGTGAAACCCCATCTCAAATAAAAATACAAAAATTAGCTGGGCATGGCAATGCGTGCCCATAATCCCAGCTACTTGGGAGGCTGAGGCAGGAGAATCACTTGAACCCAGCAGGTGGAGGTTGCAGTGAGATGAAATTGTGTCACCGCACTCCAGCCTGGCTGCAAAGTGAGACTCCATCTCAAAAAAAGGTAGTGCTACTTCTTCTTCAATTTCAGTCCCTGCCTCTCCCTGCTAACATTTGATGTATATTTTTCCATATTATTTTTATGCTTGCACTACTACATTCAGGCATATGGTATACCATATTTCCTTCCATTTAGCCACCAGTACCCAACCTAGCAGTCTGCATGGCCTATTCGGTATATAGGATGTGGCTTGAAAAACAAACAAAGAAAAACCTTTTTATAAGGGAAATTTTCTCATTCACATTTAATACATATGTTTCAAACTTTTCTTGCCATGTGACTTTTATAATTCTGTTTCCTGTGCTTTCTTGTTTCCTCTTTTGTATTTTCCCTGCTGTTTGTGCAATGGTTTGCATTTTTGTTGTTGTCAATTTTTCTTCTGATTGTTTAGCACTTAATACCCACTGAATGTTGATTTAGTTATATATATGCAGATTCCGGGCTAAAGGTCATCTTCTTCATAATGTCTTTTCTACTTAGGGGCTACTTAGTAATTTTTACATATTATTTTATCTTATGGGAATAATTATCTTATTTCTTAAATCTTAGATTATTTTCCCTATAGTAGCTTTACTTTGAAATCATTTTATTTATAAGAAGTGTTGCAAATAGTACAAAAAATTTGTATATGTTTCACCCAGATTTTGCAAAAATTTATATTTTACTTAGCTTTATTATTATTTTTTCAAAACCAGGACATTCACATTGGTATAATATTATAACCTACTGACCTTATTCCGATTTCCCAGCTGTCTTACTTTTCTCATTTAAAATTTCTGCTTTTATATTGTAAATATTTCCGGTTTTTTGTAAATATCTATGTTTTTTGTTCTAAATATCTATTGTAAGTATCTATGTTTTTTGTTCTAACTCGATTTGTGTGTTCTGCTAATTTATTTGTGTTTTTCAGAAATGTAGTGGAAGTGTTTAAAGCTATGAAATTTCCTCTGAGTACAGTTTTAACCATTTAGCATTTTTTCTATTTTATTTCACCATTATTTTCATATTTTGATATAGTTTTTTAGTTATTTATCAATTATTCTGCTCTATTTTTGTTTTGGATATACTGAAATTTGCTTTGTTACTTTTTGCAAATGCTACATGAATGTTTAAACAGTAGATGTTTTCTTTTTTTTTCTTTTTTGAGACGGAGTTTCACTCTTGTTACCCAGGCTGGAGTGCAATGGCGTGATCTCGGCTCACCACAACCTCCGCCTCATGGGTTCAGGCAATTCTCCTGCCTCAGCCTCCCGAGTAGCTGGGACTACAGGCGCGCACCACTATGCCCGGCTAATTTTTATATTTTTAGTAGAGACAGGGTTTCACCATGTTGACCAGGGTGGTCTTGATCTCTTGACCTTGTGATCCACCCGGCTCAGCCTCCCAAAGTGCTGGGATTATAGGCGTGAGCCACCACGCCCAGTCAACAGAAGATGTTTTCTATCCAGTTAGAGCATTTGGTTTATATCTATTTCAGTAACCTTAAAATATTCCTGTTGCCTGTGGGTTTACTTAAAGCTGCCAGTTCAATGCAGATATATACCTATCTCCTTATGGTTTTTGTATTTTTTGTCTTATAGAACTATAATCTTATTTTATTTTATACATAAATATTTATTAATTGTATCTCATAAATTGGAGCTGTTTCCAATGTAATGCTTTTGCCTTGAATTAATTCATGTTTAACTGGTTGCTTTTTGCTGTTTTTTCATTCCATGATTTCTCCATTTACAAATTCTGTATTGCATTTCATCTTGTGATTGGCTAGATTCACTCTGCAATTTTTTATTGACTCAGAGAAGCATTATGTAGACATGACCTTTTTTCCCCTCTGCTTATATTTCACTTTAATCAAACTACATTGTTGACTCATTGGTTCATATTTTAATACTTTATTCCCCAGAAAAATTGTAGTGTCTCAATGGAGAAACCAGGGTCATCTTTTGGTTCTCATATTGAATCTAGCATAGTGTACCTGGCACATAAATGATAGTGACCCTTTATGTAAAATATTCTGAATCTGAACACCATTAGAACACTTGTTATTTATCATAGTCAGTTCCCCTGTTAAGTGCATCTCAGGCTTTTGCTCCAGGGCCAGTAGAAATTGGGGGATGAAAGAGAGGTTGCAAGGGAAAAATGTTGAAAAAAATGCTCTTATGTCTTAGGAAACAGTGACATTCAAGGATGTTGCCATGGACTTTACACCAGAGGAGTGGGGGAAGCTGGATCCTGCACAAAGGGATATGATGCTGGAGAACTATAGGAACCTGGTCTCACTATGTAAGAATGGATTCTCACTGTGACTCTGGAATCTGCTTATGGGAACATCATTAGTTTAATGACAGTGAAATAGCTTAACAAAGCCTTCACCTTTGCATTCAGGAGTCAAAAAGTGTTAATTCGTTTTGGCCTATGTTGAAAATCTGTTCCTCCTCTAGATTCTTGATGAAATGTCTATGCTTGTCTTTTATGAGGATTCTTTAGATTTAAGTAACAGAAACTCAACTCACACTCTTAAAGGGGAAAAAAATCTTGATTTTTCAGGGATCCAAATATATTATCAGGAATTTCCTTTATTTCTTAATTGATTTACTTTTGACCAATTGGCTTGGTTTTGCTCTGTATTAGCTTTATTCTTGAACTCTTGACCTCAGGTGATCCGCTCGCCTTGGTCTCCAAAGTGCTTGGATTACAGGCGTGAGCCACCACGCCTGGCCCTATATTAGCTTTATTCTTAGGATTTCCCCATGTGGCAAAGATGGCCAGTGGCAGTCCAGGGTTTTGTTATTCTTCTAGTTAGATAGCTAAGCTAAAAAACAAACTGCTTCTGTCCTGGGAGTTTCAGCAAATAAAGTCACATGCCCATTGGTGAAACAGTCTCTAGAGCCAGAGAGATTGAGCACTCTGGCCAGTTTTAGATCCTGGGCCTACCAGCGTGAATGCTGGTACACACATGCATGCATATGTTTGTATGACGGGTGGAGGGGATGGTTAGCCCCTCCCAAACCTCATGTAAAAAAAATCCCCTAAGAAAGTGACTTCTTGTAACTGAAGAAGGAGGAAAGGGAAAACATTAGAAGATAAAAACTTAAGTTACCACCATTACAAATTGTGTGGTGCTGCCACTGAGGTCCCACTTTTTCTTCCTTTCCTGGGGTAAGGACTACTTTGCAACATCTCCGAAGTTTCCTCACACAATAAGGAAATAAAGAGAAATTCCTTTCTTTTCTGATGGTCGAAAATATTTGTATTTATAAATCTAGTTGAACTCCTTACCAGGCCCAGACACTTACTGCAGATATTTTAAACTTCATTTAGAGGTCCATCCTCCCTTACTTCAGCTTTTCCTGTAATACTTTGCTTTTGTAGATCAAGAGGTTGAGACCATATTCTGGTTTAGATCTTTATACCCATTACAAATAACTAAGTCCAGCAGGTCAGGGACCATGAAAGTTGGGCATGGTAGCTCACGCCTGTAATCCTAGCACTTAGGGAGGCAGAGGTGGGAGGATACCTTAAGCCCAGAAGTTCGAGACCTGCCTGGGCACTGGAGTTAGTCCCCATTAACTTTAGAAATAAAAAATAAATTTTTATAAATTAAGAAAATAAAGAAAATTGAGATTCACTAAGGAATATATAACAATTCAACCTACTGGGAGAAAATGTCCACAAATAACTTACTCCTATCACTTTCTTCTTTTCCTTTTTTTAAATGAATAGGGCTTCCAGTTTCCAAACTTGAGAACTACACCTTGGAGAATGGAAAAGAACCATTGAAGCTTGAGAGAAAAGCCCCTAAAAACAGCTATTCAGGTGAGTCAGATCGATGGGAGTCTTCAGAAATGATAGCCCAGCAGGACAACTAAGAAATGATACTTTTCAGTGCTTAAGAAAGAATATTAGAAGTGCCTGTGTGCCTTTATTTTTTAATTTTTAAAAAATTCTCAAGCATTATAAATATATAGGGAAGTCCAGAAAATAAAATAACATTCGTATGTCCATCAGTGAGATTAGACACATACTCCTATTTTGCTTCGTTTGCCTCTTTTCTTTCTCTTTCTTCCTTTTTATTAAAATATAAAATTCATAATTATACAGTGCTGCTTAACAAAGAATATTAGAAGTGCCTGTGCACCTTTATTTTTTAATTTTTTAAAAATTCTAAAGCATTTTAAGTATATACAGAAGTCCAGAAAATAAAATAACATTCATATATCCGTCACTGAGGTTAGACACATACACCTGTTTTGCTGTTTATCTTTTTGTTTCTTCCTTTCTTTTTCTTACAATATAAAACTCATAATTATACAGGTGTAAGAATTTTCGCAAATTTAGCACATTCATGTATAACTATTGTCCAAATCAAGAAAATAGCCTCTCCAGCACCCCTAGAAGAACGCTTGTGCCCCCTCTTTCAGTCCCTGCCTCCTCCCAAGGGTAACCTTATCCTAACTTAGAGCACTAAGTTTTGACAATTCTTGGACTTTCTATAAATGGAATCATACTGTATATACCCTTATGTCTGGCTTCCTTCACTGAGCATTAACTGTGAGATATATCCATGTTGTTGCATGTCATTGTAGTTTATTCATTTTCATTGTTACATAATCTTTCATTTTGTTACTATACCAGTTTATTCTCCTGAAGATGAGTATTTGGATAGTTTCCAGTTTTTAGCTGTCTGAATAATGCTGCTATGTACACATTTTTAATGCCTTTTGGTGAACAAATATATGCATTTCTTTTGGATATATACATGCAAGTAGACTTGTTTTATCATAGGATAGATCCATGTTCACTTTTGGTTGATGTTGCCAAAGAGGTTTCTAGAGTCATTGCACCAGTTGCATTCCCAGCAGCAGAGTATGTGCGTTCTAGTTGTTACACATGGTTATCAACACTTAATATTCCTCGTTTTCATTTAACCATCCTTTTGAGGTGTGTAGTATCTTTTATTTTTTAAGAAATGAAAAGTACTACGTATTCAGTTTAAGCCCTTTTATTTTTGGCCAGGTGCAGTAGCTCACACCTGTAATCCCTGCACTTTGGGAGGCCGAGGTAGGTGGATCACCTGAAGTCAGGAGTTCAAGACCAGCCTGGCCAACATGGTGAAACCCCGTCTCTACTAAAAATACAAAAAATTAGCCAGGCATAGTGGTGGGCACCTGTAATCCCAGTACTTGCAAGGCTGAGGCAAGAGAATCTTGAACCCGGGAGGTGGAGGTTGCTGTGAGTCAAGATCGTGCCATTGCACTCCATGGGCAAAAGAGGGAGACTGTCTCAAAAAAGAAAACAAAAACAAAAAAGGAAACCCCTTTTATTCTCTTTCTTCCCTAAAAGTAACCACTATATTTTGAAATTGGTGTGATTTCAGTGTTTCTGTATACGTGTGTATACACAGAGACATATATACATATGTATATAAAGCAATATGTACATTTTATTATTATACCTTTTGTTATGTAGTCTAATTTTTTTAATATTCACATTGTATTTCGATATTAACCTGTTAATATATATGAATTATGTTTATTCATTTCAACTGCTATGGAGCAGTAAGTCCATTATGTGAATAAACTGAACAGTTTATTTTTTTGCCATTAGTAACAGTTGCAGTAATCATTCTTTATTGATTCCTACCTACTGTTCATCTTGAGAGCTGGTTTAGGGAGATAACTGGAAGAACAATTAGCAGATCTTAAATCATCACATTTAGCTTTACTAGGAGCTGCCAACAGTTATCAGACTTGTTAATTTTTGTCAATCTGATGGATGCAAATTGATGTTTTAAAATTTTCATTTCTCTGAGTGATAAATATGAGTTTCAGCATTTCATGTGTGTTAGCTATTCAAGTTTCTTCTTTTGAGTTATCTGTTGATACCCTTCGCCTATTTTTTGAGATTGGGCTTTTCTCTTGATTTGGTGGGTTCTTCATACATTTTAGGTGCTAATATATGACAGAAGTAGCATTGCAAATCAATGAGAAGAAATTGGTTCTGCCAATCTTTGGCTTATTTTATTTTCTGGTCTTAGGCATATAGAATTTTGATTTTTTTTTAAATTGTTTTTTGTTAATTCTCTACCTACTTTATCCCAGTGTCAGAAAGATAATCTTTATTTTATTCCAAAATGTTCAATTTTGCTTTATGGGTATTTATTTTTGTATGTGGTAGAAATAGGAAAACTAATTTTGTCTTTTTCCATGCTTGAAACCAGTAAGTCCAGCATTGTTCATTGAATAACTTTCTGCTACTGATTTGCAGTGCTAGCTTTGGTAAAACCAGTTCTTCTGTTTCTTGTCTCTCTGGTTTACTTGTCTGTCTATGTCCAATACCATACTATTCTAATTACTATACTTAGTAGTATGTATAGCTCATAAAGAAAATCCTTCCTGGATATTCTTATTTTTTTTTAAATGTTATACTTTTGAATATTGAAAGAGTTTTAAAATCTTTACCTGTGATTATGAATATGTCCCTTTTTCCTCATAGACCTATCAGTTTCTGTGACTTGCCCACTCACCACCCCTCTCCCTTTTTGGGGGTATTGCAGTTTTCATGGTGATCTGTTAAGAGATCCTTATATATGAGGTTTTTACCTTTTGATATGTTACAGGTATTTTTTCTAGTTTTCGCCTTTCAGTTTTGCTGTATGTTTTGATTTACAAATTCAATGTTTTACAGTCTTTTTTCCTGCCTTTTCAGAACTGCTTAAAACGTTTTTCATTACCTCAAGTTTTTGTAAATTCTTTAAATTCTTTTTTTTAATTGCATTTTAGGTTTTGGGGTACATGTGAAGAACATGCAAGATTGTTGCATAGATACACACATGGCAGTGTGATTTGCTGTCTTCCTCCCCATCACCTATATCTGGCATTTCTCCCTATGCTATCTCTCCTCAACTCCCCACCCCCCGCTGTCCCTCCCCTATTTCCCCTCAACAGACCCCAGTGAGTGATGCTCCCCTCCCTGTGTCCATGTGTTCTTATTGTTCAACACCCACCTATGAGTGAGAACATGCGGTGTTTGATTTTCTGTTCTTGTGTCAGTTTGCTGAGAATGATGGTTTCCAGGTTCATCCGTGTCCCTACAAAGGACACGAACTCATCGTTTTTTATGGCTGCATAGTATTCCATGGTGTATATGTGCCACATTTTCCCTGTCCAGTCTATCATCGATGGGCATTTGGGTTGGTTCCAGGTCTTTGCTATTGTAAACTGTGCTGCAATGAACATTCATGTGCATGTGTCCTTATAGTAGAACAATTTATAATCCTTTTGATATATACCCAGTAATGGGATTGCTGGGTCAAATGGAATTTCTGTTTCTAGGTCCTTGAGGAATCGCCACACTGTCTTCCACAATGGTTGAACTAATTTACACTCCACCAACAGTATAAAAGTGTTCCCGTTTCTCCACATCCTCTCCAGCATCTGTTGTCTCCAGATTTTTTAATGATCGCAATTCTAACTGGCATGAGATAGTATCTCAGTGTAGTTTTGATTTGCATTTCTCTAATGACCAGTGATGATGAGCATTTTTTCATGTGTTTGTTGGCCTCATGTATGTCTTCCTTTATAAAGTGTCTATTCATATCCTTTGCCCACTTTTGAATGGGCTTGTTTTTTTCTTATAAATCTGTTTTAGTTCTTTGTAGATTCTGGATATCAGCCCTTTGTCAGATGGGTAGATTGCAAAAATTTTTTCCCATTCTGTTGGTTGCCGATTTACTCTAATGACTGTTACATTTGCTGTGCAGAAGCTGTGGAGTTTGATTAGGTCCCATTTGTCTATTTTGGCTTTTGTTGCCAATGCTTTTGGTGTTTTGGTCATGAAGTGTTTGCCTATGCCTATGTCCTGAATGGTTTTGCCTAGATTTTCTTCTAGGGTTCTTATGGTGTTGGGTCTTATGTTTAAATCTTTAATCCATCTGGAGTTAATTTTAGTGTAAGGTGTCAGGAAGGGGTCCAGTTTCTGCTTTCTGCACATGGCTAGCCAGTTTTCCCAACATCTTTTCTCAAACAGGGAATCCTTTCCCCATTGCTTGTTTTTGTCAGGTTTGTCAAAGATCAGATGGTTGTAGATGTGTGGTGTTGCCTCCAAGGCCTCTGTTCTGTTCTACTGGTCTGTATCTCTATTGTTGTACCAGTACCATGCTGTTTTGATTACTGTAGCCTTGTAGTATATACAGTTTGAAGTCTGGTAGTGTGATGCCTCCAGGTTTGTTCTTTTTGCTTAGAATTGACTTGGTTATGCGGGCTGTCTTTTGGTTCCATATGGAGTTTAAGGTGGATTTTTCCAGTTCTGTGATGAAGGTCATTGGTAGCTTGATGGGGATAGCATTGAATCTGTAAATTACTTTGGGCAGTATGGCTATTTTCACAATATTGATTCTTCCTAACCATGAGCATTGAATGTTTCTCCATCTGTTTGTGTCCTCTCTTATTTCATTGAGCAGTGGTTTGTAGTTCTCCTTGAAGAGGTTCTTTACGTTCCTTGTTAGTTGTATTCCTAGGTATTTTATTCTCTTTGTAGCAGTTGTGAATGGCAGTTCATTCTTGATTTGGCTCTCTTTAAGTCTGTTGTTGATATATAGGAATGCTTGTGATTTTTGCATATTGATTTTGTATCCTGAGACTTTGCTGAAGTTGCTTATCAGTTTCAGGAGATTTTGGGCTGAGACAGTGGGGTCTTCTAAATATACAATCATGTTGTCTGCAAGTAGAGACAATTTGACTTCCTCCTTTCCTAACTGAATACCCTTTATTTCTTTTTCTTGCTGATTGCTCTGGCTAGAAATTCCAATACTGTAT